TACACTATTGTGTCTTTTCCATCTCATTCCATGTTTGGAGTATGGCCACACTCAAGGAGAAAGGGCTGTGGTGAAAGTGAAGGTTTTTAAAAAAATCTATAAATTGACTGAACAAACAACTTTCCTTAAGGAAATACAATAGTCTAGACTTCAAACGAAAACATAAATTCAACTAGGTCAGACATCAAATTTTTAGCATGCTCGCTGATAATTTCCGTGTAGAACTGCACATTATGGAGTATTATTTATTAATGTTATTTAAATTGCGGAGCTTGGAGTTGAACTCTGTTCAAATATTTAAAATGATCAGGTTTAGATAAATAGCTGTAATCTAATATATCTATTACAGGATCTGCAATTTATTTAAAGCAAGTATAATTAAGCAGTCTGTGTTCCAATAGAAATGAAAATTACGAGATAAATAAAAAAGTAAATTGAAATGATAAAGATATTTCCTCCCACATGTTTATTGCATTCTAACAACCAGAACAGAGCGCCAAACAGCTATTTCTCTTACAAAGAGAAGAATTGTTGGTAGTAGTGAACCCTTACGACAAGATGAACTGTGCGTCTCATTCTCATCCGATACTTATATGGTTGTCCACTAACGTGAGAATTCAAAGTAAATTTCAAATTTAAGGTCACAATAGATTAACTGGAAAAAATCTCTAATTTAGCTATGCATTGAGTTCAGCTTCTCTGGACTTAAAGGGACTCTCCAGTGCCAGGAAAACAAGAACTGCATGTCCCCTCTCCCTCCCACCTCCATCCCATGTTAAAACCCCTTCAGTGACTTACCTGTATCCAGCGCCGATGTCCCTCGGCGCTGGGTCAGGGTTCGCCCACACTCCTCCCCCGACTATGTCATCCGGCGGGGGGAGACTTATTGCGCATGTGTGGCCGGCGACGGGGGAGACCTAATGTGCATGCCGCGCATTAGAACTCCCTATAGGAAAGCATTGAAAATGCTTTCAATGCTTTACTATGGGGATTCAGCGACCCTGCAAGGTAAATATTGCAGTTTATGAAAACTGCAATATTTACAGTTGCAGGGTTAAGGGTAGTGAAGTTGGCACCCAGACCACTCCAATGGGCAGAAGTGGTCTGGGTGCCTGGAGTTTCCCTTTAAATTTGAAATTCACTTTGTATTCTCATTGTAGTAAATAATCTTGTAACACTCCTGCATCCTTTCTAGTGATATTCTATACCATGTGTACAACTTCTTCTGATAGTTCTATAACCACTGCATCTGTTCTTCTGATAGCTCTATAACCACTGCATCTGTTCTTCTGGTGGCTCTATAGCCACAGTTTTCCTTCTTCTGCTGGCTCTATACCCCCTGCACTGCTTTGCCTCGCTTATAGAAACCCTAACCAGGAAATATCCCAGTGGGCCAACCCAGTACTGGAGAGCATCAAGATTGTGTGCCACCAAAGCATGTACAAACCCACAGAGTGCTGCGCTAGCACAAACCACCCAACATTTCAAATGGAAAATAGGATCACTTTAATTTTAGGAGTGTGTCAAGGAGCGGAGCTGCTCTGAGAACTTTTAGGTGACGTAAATGCCATCTATAACAAGAACAATGGACTCAAATGAATAAGCATTCCAAATGAGTGAATACTGTTAAAGGAACTACCATTAAAGTCCCTCTGCTCCCCTCACCCCATCCCAGCACTGGCTAAAACCCCTTTTTACACTTACCTGATTCCAGTGAGAAACCTAATGTGCATGCACCTTCCCCATAGGAACTAATGCTTTCCTAACACAATAGTGCCATATGGTCCCCCCTACCACCCTGCAGATAAAGGGTTAAAAAACTTTTATTTACCTACCCGATTCTAGCACCAATGTCCTTCAGCGCTAGGTCGGAGCTGCACCTCCTCCGAATGGGGAACCTAATGCGCATGCACGGCGAGCATTGCAAGCACATTAGGCTCTTCCCATAGGAAAGCATTGCCTCAATGCTTTCCTATGGGGATTTCAGTGACGCCGGATGTCCTCATGCAGAGCGTGAGGACATCCGGCATCGTTTAAGGCAGCGGTTCCCAAAGGGTGCTATGATTATAGCACCAGGGAAACATTACTACTGAACAGGGCCCGGTTGGGTGCCCTGGTATGCAGGGAGACAGCGCGGGAGGGAGAGGAGGCACCCGCAATGTGAGGGGACAGGAACACGAAGAGCTCCAGACCCCTCACTCCCACCAGCAGCAGGACTCCAAGCCATCCTCCTTGCACATAAGGTAAGCTGGAGGGAACAGGTGGGCGGCTGTAGATATTAAAAAAACAAAAATCCCGTGTATGTGCGAGAGTGTGTGTGTGTATGAGTGTGTGTGTGAGTGTGTGTATGAGTTTGAGTGTGTCTGTGAGTATGAGTGTTTGTATGTAAGAGTGTGTGTCTGTGTGTGTGTGTATGAGTGTGTGTGTCAGGGTGTTTGTGAGTGTGTCAGGGTGTGCATCTGTGTATGTGCATCTGTGTGTCAGGGTGTGTGTTTTTATGTCAGTGTGTGTATCTGTGTCATGCTATGGGCATGTATCAATGTTTGTGTGTGTCAGTGTGCATGTGTGTAAGTCGGTGTGTATCTATATGTGTGTATGTGTCGGTGTCTATATGAATTTGTGTGTATGTGTCGGTGTATTTATATGCATCTGTGTGTTAATGTGCATGAATATATGTGTAAGTATGTATGTATGTATGTGGTAGTGTATGTGCATACATCCAAGCAGTCAAACGCCAGCACAACATACAAGCACACTACTGCAATCTAACAAAAAAAAAATATTTAAACACACCCCTTCACTCAAACACAACTACTTCACTCAAATGTGCATCCGCATTTAAAAGTTAACATTACATTCAGACACACCCCTACAATCAAACGCAAACATTACATACAAACACACCAGTGTATTAAAACACAATAACTACATACAGACACCCCTTCAAACACCAACATTGTACAGTACACTATAGCGCCAGTAACTGCTGCAGCGCTGTACAGATATACAACCTAGAAATTTTGACTTCGGGCGCCTTGAAAATATACTGAAAATTAAGGGCGCCTTGAACCTAAAAAGTGTGGGAACCACTGGGTTAAGGGATTCAGCATCCGTTCGAATCCCAGAACTGCCCCTAGTGTCTGCCTGATATACAGCCGCTGGAGGCAGTCTTAGTCCTGCAAAGTAATCATTGCTGTTTCTCGAAAACTCCAATGATTTACATTGCAGGACTGGGACAAGGACACTGCACCCAGATCACTTCAATGAGATGAAGTGGTCTAGGTTACTATAGTGTCCCTTTAAATATAAGTTCTAAGAATGGAATAAAATAATATCTTATAAGGAATGCGACAGAAATAGCAATGCCTCATACACTATACAGCTTGAGTTCACCACTGCCCACAACCCTTACATGTTGTCCATGCTGCCCTTATAAAAAGGGACATTTATATATATATATATATATAAAAAGAAATATGCATTCAGCAGGACAATCAATTTTTACAGCCCTAAAGTCTGCATTCCTCATTGGTATCCCCTAAAATAAATACATAAATAAATATCACATTTTACATCAAAGCAGGCAGTGCACTTTTCTACCTGCTGGGGCGCCAGAGAGCCTGCTCACTGTTTACAGCACGTCTGCGGCCATGTTTATTGAGGGCACGTCGCAATGCCCTATAAGGATCCCTTATTTGGGAGGGACGGCATATGCTGGCTGTTGTCATAGAAACAGAACGCTGGCCCTCGAACAGGTGAAGCATGGCCGAGAATCTCCAATGATTCCAAAATCAGGGGATCCTTTAACACGTGCCTGTGGCATGGAAGCCTAGAGTGCACTGGTTACAGCTAGACATTGTATTAATAGTAATAGAAAGAGAGTCTGGGATAGAACATGCCTGCCATTAGTATACAGCTATGCTGTTGGCTGAGGATAGTGGGGATTATATATATATTTATTCTGTGAGATAGAGATGAGATACAGTGACCCTCTAAACTTTTTTGGTCTACAATTGACTCCCAGCAGCTGAAACATGATTCTGTAAATAGCTAAGTTATTATTGAATATATTACAAAGTTCTAAAAAAAAAAGTTTTTTTTTTTTTAAATTTTTTTCAGCTGGCAGTAGAGGTTATGGTCCACCCTCCTTTAGAGTGCCCCCTTTACATCTGATTTACCAGGTCCCACTGAAAGTAGGTCATGTTTGTATAGTTTTGACTATAAGAGAGAGAGAGAGAGTGAGTGAGTGAGTGTGTTTTAAATTTATTTTATTTTTTACTTTTTTTTTCTTCTTTGAGGGAAGGACTAATAGCTAAATTTTAGTTATTTTTTTTAATATGTGCCAATGCCTCTCATGTGACAAGTCTGACAATTCCTAAATAAATAATTGCATTGTAAAAATTTAATCTAAGTATAAATGTCAGTTTTCATAACTTTGTGATGAATTAACACCTTTTTTCTCCCTGTATATATTCTGTGTGCTGTACATAAATTTGTGGTAAGTGTCACTGAATCTTATCGTATCGGGTTCCTTTCAAATGTAGAATATCTGGATTGATAAGGGGATATAACCACAATGAAATAACACCAGAATCCCATAACAAGGACTTTGCACAATTTGGCAAACTGTAATAATAATAATAATGAACGTCAATGCAATATATACTACAACGTTCAATACAATTACCAATTAACTAGCATCTTATTTCGACAGTTATGGGAGTCCAACATTCCTTCTTTAATTCTTCTAACATGAATACTAGTTGCTAAGTGTGAAGTTTCTGATTATGTACACTTAGTTCTTCAATTAAAAATCTAACATTAATTATATAGTGTATTTAATACTGTTCTTTGATCTCTTTCCGTGCGTATTAATTCAAGCCTCGATCTAGTTCATGTAGTGACTGTACTGGGCGTAGAGATTTTATTGTCACTGTTAAAACATGATTTAGATATACTCTGTTCTTTGGTTTTTTTTTCAGAGCTGTACAAATTAGATTATGGGAGAAGCAAGTGAACCAGCAACAAACTATCTAGATGTTTATAATGTGGAATTTGAGAGGGCAGCCGTCGTCATTCAACGAGCCTTCCGCAGAGTTTTAGTAAGTGCTCCACGTGCTCCACACACCGTCATCATGTAATTATAGTATTTTAACTAAGAGGAGAGCTGAAGAGGAAGTTGTCAAAATTGAAGGACATTTAAATACCTAATGAAACTACCACAGCGACAGTATGATGTCACATATTATAGTTAACCAATTTATTTTAATGTGCCATATTTCAAGACTACATTCATCAACATGTTAATTATAGTTATTGGTGTTTATTTTTATTGTTTAAGTGCTGGCACGTCAATCCAGAAATATAGCAAGGCATTAGTAACCAACACTGGTAAGAGTTGTTGATAAATTTGGAAGGATATATTGGGGGACCTCTGGGCTTTATCATAATGGTGGTGAACATTTTGAATCCAGAATGCCAAGTATTCTGCAGGAATGAAGTAACCGATCAAAAGGTGGCCACTTGTGCTTCATTTCCTCCCCAATATTCCCAAGTAAAAGTCTCCATACTGCCAGTTTCTATTCAATTAAAATGCTTGATGTTAACAGCACTAGCTGCAGCGAGTTGTGTGTTAATATCATGAACCATCATGTGCAATTCTTACACAGGTCTCCAGCAGAGGCAGTTATACTTTCGACGTGCTATAGGTCCCCAAACACGTATTTATTGTAAAGTTGAGAAGTAAGAGTTATGGTGGCTCCTAAGCAGGAGCTTCTGGTATCTCTCCAGAGCTATACCCTAAGGTGTAGGGCTAGCTAATTGGCTGAGAGAATCAGTTGAGCACTATCAGCCCATTAGCTAAGCTCAGCACCCACCTGCTGACCCCATGTAAGAAGTCAAGCCATTCTAAAAGGGTTTCACTACTTACAGGAATGGGGTGGGGGGCACCGTAACCTGTACAGAACCCTTATGGTGTTTAGAGTGTTAGTTTAGTCTTATATTTAGCAACAAATATGTAATTTCAAACTCAAGGCAACACTTGACCATAAAGAGGAACTTTAAAATGATTCCAGTGAAGTTCAAAACATTACCACGTCCATATGACATCTAACTAAACATCACATTATTATTCAGTGGGGTGCAGCTTTATTTGATTTTACATTTTGGGTGAAGAAGAAGAATATTGCTCAGAACACTAACTAGATGAATGCTTATCTACTCAACTGAACTCTGCTAGAGAGGAACTGCACTATAGAGTTAAACATTCTATACTTAATTAAATTTAACTAAATAAAAGAACCCCAGGCTGTATTTGGAATAGTATCATTTGTAAGGCTGTGCTAACTCTGGCTTGTTTCCCAAAAACATGTAAAATGTCACACAATTCCTTACACACCCTGTCAAACACCTGAGATGGACTTGGTTATAGATAAAGAGGTGATAAGTTTTCATGAACACACTCAGGATCTTGTCCTCTGATCAGCACTTTTGCCCAATGCACCTTTAGTGAGTAGAACACTCCAGGAGACATCCAGAAGCAAGCGGTACCTTACTTGTCTCATGTTACAGATGTAAACTAATGTTCCTCATATGACTAAAATCCAAATATTAAAAATAAGGTACTTACTAAATATTCTGCTGTTTTGTTTATCTTTTACAAGGACATAAAGGTTTTTAAGTATTACAAAAATCTCATAAATTTTAAAGGAATTGGAGATCCAAGACTCCTGCTTAAGTGCATCAACCCTCGAGAGGTGAGTACTTCACATGAGTGCCTTATGATTTAAATCCAATTCCCTGAAATAATTATGATGCAACACTTAATGTGTTTTTTGGGTTTACTCAGCAAAAATTGTCATATTTATTTCAGTAGATATTATGGTGTTTTCATTAAATCATGCATTTAGGAGAACTTCTCCTATGAATAAATCAGGTTCCCTCAAAACGTGATGAGATCTGACGACCGAAGACTCATATTCATAAGTTAGCTAATGTCTTATTCTCTAACTTTTTGATAACAAACATGTAGCTTTACCCATCCAAGGGTCAGTCCCTCTGGACAGCAGATGAGAACGAAGCCTTACTGCAGGATCAGTTTTTCGAATTGAGTAGCAGAATAAAATGTAGAGATTGGCAGCATCCAGTTCATATTTAGGAAACCATGTCAAATGGTTGAGAAACACAGCATCCAATAAAGAAGAAACCATGTGATAATAGATAAGAAAGCTTGTCGTGTATATAAACTGTTTGTGCTCATATGAATCAGTTGGGTAGACCAAAGATGTGAAAATAACCAACCAAAGTCTTTCGAATGGGCCAAGAGCGTAAAAGGGGTCAGCAAGTCGATCCAGTAAAGATGCATCAACTTTAAAACTATGTTCAAGACCTTTGTTATCAATGTGTGCTGTCTTCTATTTTTATTTATTTATAAGTCTTTAAAATTCCAATAATAAAGAATCAATTTTTTTTTAATTATGACAAATCAGATAGATAACTAATACTAAAGTGCTATTTTCAAGGATTTACCCAACATTGTGATTTGGGGAAAAAAAACAAGTAAAAAAAAAATTGAATGTGCGCCACTAAAACTCAGAATGCCATGAGGCTGTGCGTATCTTGATACTGGGTAGAAGATATGCTAATAAAAATATATTGCGCGCTAAACATCTGTGGTGATGTAGATAAGGGCACCAGACACTTAGGCGTTGATTTCATATTGTTGGATAAGCTTTTTGAAAACAAATTAATATTATGAATTAAAAAAAAATCATAATTAGATTTCTGTTATATAACTGATTTTTTTTAAATATGTTTTTGGAAAAAAAAATATATTTCAAAAGTTTATCTAAAAATATATATATATTTTTTTAAATCTTTATTTTTGTAGTGCATAGGTAAGTAACAGTTGCTTGTAAGGTACCCCAAAGGCAATCCTCCAGCGTTTCATATTTATGGTTTACATTGGGGTTTAGGAGAAACATGCACAATTTTTAGTGTTATTACGTAACGATTAATAATTTGTTGCATACAAGTTCGATTACTTATGTCTTGTCGAAAAGGTCAGTAAATTTTTTTTAAAAACAACAACAGTGAGATTGCAATGCTACCTTGCTTAACTAGTAATGCGTTAGGTCATGTATGATATATATGAGGTCATGCTTAAACATTATATTACGACATGCTTAAATATTGTATTTACTATGAAACACACGTTTACGTTTAGGTACCATGCAAACAGATTGCGTCTGAAGCAAAGCGGCTAAGTCATACATTTTTAAAAACAAACAGGATGTGTTACTGCTTCCACATCTAAACAGTCAGGTTAAGGCATTGTATGGCACATCTGGTTTATTCACTCCCATCTTCACGTCTGATTGCTTATGTGTTTAAGATGGTGGGTCTGATCTGTGCCGTGAGTGTTATGTATTCTTCGCTTGGTAAAAGAGAGTGAATATAGAGCTTGGTGTGTTGTGTGTGTGGGGTCGTGTGTCCCTGTGCTGGGAGGGATGGAGGCCGTGGCTAGGTGTGCGTGTTGGCTGAAGTACAAATGCTGAGAGAGTGGGGATTGGTGCATAGGTTGAGTTCCTTTCGGATGCAGAGATACCTGTCAAAGTCACTGATACCAAAGTCTCTAGTTTCAATGTCCCTCACGTGAAGGTATTTTTGCTTTGGCAAGCGGCTTATCTGGTCAGCAGTTCGTCTCCTTGTAGGACCGGGTATTCGTTCAAGTAGTGAGTGCCACGTACGGGTCGGGTGTGCGACCTGTCGGTATGAATGGGATGGATCTCTCCGGGTCCCACGAGAGTTGTTGGTGGGTTGCTCTCTTTTGGCCTGCCTGAATGAGGGAGTCCGGTGGTAGGCCCAGTGCCTGTAGGAGCGGAGCTGCGTCGGTCAGTTCCCTGATCTGGTGGGAGTCCGGCCCTTGCTGTACGGTGAGAATGTGGGTCTTCTGCCATCGGTATTTAATGTCTCGTTGGCGGAGAAGCGTGGTAAGTGGCTGGAGGGATTGCCGCCAAGCCAGGGTGTCTCTCAAGAGGTCGGCAAAGAAGCTCACTGCCATCCCATCGAATTGGTACGGTGTCTTACCCCTCACGGCGGCTTGGATTGCTGTTTTGTCCTGTCTGGTTTGGAAGGTAAGTATAGTGTCTCGTGTGGCTTCGGTTGGCGCCTTTGGCGATTTGGGGATCCTGAATATGTTGGCGAGGACAATCTTGGTAGCCTGTGTGGGTGACAGTATAGCTGCAAGGAGGCGCTTGACCACCTGTGGTAATTCTGTGCCTGGGATCGTTTCAGGGATCCCTCTGACTTTCAAATTATCCTGTCTCCCGGCATCTTCTTGCTCCGCCATGCGGTGTTCATGTAGCTTTTGTTGCCGTTGGAGATCTTGCAAGCTTTGTCTAAGTTCCCAAATGTCTCGGGTAGTGGTTTCTGTTGTGCATTCCAGTGTGTTTAAGCGAGTTGTTAATCCCTTCAGGTCGCCCCGTAGTGCCGTAATATCATTATACAGATCTTTATGATGATCTGCAAGTAGCCGCGTGAGGACCGATATAGTCACTGGTGCGGTGTCTGGGTTAGTGTTAGTTGGCTGTGTCTGCTTTCCCAGCCTGGGGGCTGGCAGATATTCCTCTCCGGAGAGGTCCTCGGAAAAGTCAGAGCAGCCACCGTGGAGCGCCGCCATGTTGGTCTCGTTTGCCTCGCGGGCCTGTTTCCACATGTCGCCAATTGTAAGTCCCTGGGTGTTTTTTTCCTTAGGTGATTTTTTTGTTTTTCGCCCCATGTCACACAGGGGTGTGTAGTGTATCTTTGCTGTGGTTTGGGGGTGCTCAGCCTGGGTTTTTCCGCGGTTTTTCACGTTCTCTCTGTCCGTGCGACCGCTTGTCTCTGTGGTCAAGCTCCGCCCCCCCATCTAAAAATATTTAATCATTTCAAAACACATCCAACAATATTAAATTGAGGCTTTAATTTGTAAAATCCCACTATGCCCACAGAACCGAAATAGAAGACGAAATATAAAAAGTTGCACAATACACTAAATGACACAAAAATGCTTCTTCTGACGAGGACAACATCCAGATATCCTCTGATGAATTTCTTCTGTTAATTGTCCTTGAATATAGTAATCCTCAATATGATATGAAACAGATGGACACAAGTTCAGGAGAATCTCAATAGGGTAGTATGTAGAAACACCAAAGCTTAAGAATTAACATTTCTGGAAAAACGTTTCAAATGATTCCAATCTGTTAGAAAATAACTTTCAAGTGATTGATTTATTTATAAAAATTCCCATGAACGTAAATGGTGAATTCTGTAGATAAATCATTTGAAAAAAAATTTCTGACTAACACGCAATCATTTGAAAAGCTTATCTGGAAATATTAAATGTATCCCCAGTGGACCAAGATGGATTTGATTACGTAAAGAGAGGAACACAAAGAATCCAATAGTTCAGTATCTTAAAATATATTTGTGTATAAAACATAAAGAAATATGGCCACTCACAAATGTGGTGCACGCTCAGGTATTTCAGCGTACAGAGGTACAATCGCCGCTTAAAGATATTTTGCTATTAAGTATCTTCCAAACCAGTAGTCACCCAGAAAACACATTTAATAGTGCATATCGTGCTCACTGTTTCGCTTTTGAAATTCGAAAAACAAGAATACTACTTGCAATATCTGGAGCAATGACAGTGCTCTACTGAATGAGCATGGGTGGCTGGTATCTTCACCACTAAGGATGGGTAATCTGGAGATCAAGACATTTTGGTAAATTATTCCCAATAGTTGGCCAGGAAATGTGTAATCAAACAGAATTATTAAATAACAATATATCAATTACAAAAAAATAAATAAATCAGGAGTAAAAAGTCACACAACGCGTTTTACCAAATAAACAGGCCTTTTGAAATGTTTATTGTAGTCCTGCCATCTTCCTTTGAAGTAGAGAAGGGAAGCTTAGCTTACACTTGCCTGGGCAAATAACGTCACATGATATCATTCTTATATTTTGTACATATTTACATTAATATATTTACAAAAATATGCTTATCGACATGGGCACTGGGAAACAGAAACTGAAGAGGACATGAGGCACCAAAATGATCCAAACAGGATTTAAAGATTTGGAAATTACTTCAAAATGTCAAAATGGGTTCAGAGCTTTTACTATTCGCAAAACTGAATATATTTGTTTAAATGGAAATTAGTGAATGGTTACTATAGAGATTATAAATAAAGAGAGCCTAAAATAAACAATAAATATAATAATATACCCCTCTAAATGCAACACTTTTGCAGCACAGAAACTTTGTCTGAAACAATAAAAGAACCTGAGATCGGAAGATCTGTAAGCCAGTACTGGTTCTCTCATAGTTTTTTATGTGGGAGCTGTGCATTTCCCAGAAACCTTTGAGTACAGGCAGATAAATATGACTCTTTATCTGCAAAAGTTACTATGTATCAAATTTCCAGAGTTTCTGTAGTCCTCCAAGATGTAGGTTTACAGGTTCTGTGAGGCTATTTATTAATTAAACCCATATGTGAGGTCTTCACTTGCTACACATTAAAAGAATGATTTGTTTCTATAAGGTTAGACAATGTGCTATCGTCACTGTGCCATTATACAGTGCAATGTATCTGTTACTATATATATAGTCTCTCACATTGTTCCTTGAAAGTGGCCTTTCATTGACATTTTAATTTATCTTACTGTATTTGTCAGGCAGAGCTACTTGATGCCGCTGCTGGTGTTCATGTACGTTTTAGATTGGGAGGGGTAAGTATAATGCTATAAAATATAAAGTGACACATTTATTTTTTACATCCTTTCGCTTAAGAGAACTGGTAATTGGCGGCTTAGGGTGCATTTTATATATATATATATATATATATATATATATATATATATGTAGCCACTTGACTACCAAGGGCAGGTTTTATACTATCTTAGTAATAAATCCACTTGTTTCAACAAAAGGTTTCTTTTACAACAACAACAACTAAAAGGTTGGTCAGTGCGGGTATTACCAGCCCTATCCTGGGCTTGACCCGATCTTTTCCATAGAATGTATTTTCCAAACCAGTTATCATGGTTGTACCCTCTCTACTGGTTTGCAAGTTGCAATGCTGTCATTATATGGAACGTTCATCTCCTACTGATGTGAACGATTTTGTCAGAAATCTAACACTGGGAGATAACTATGGAGAACACATGGAGAAGACATCAGCGCCAGTTATGCTTTAACACCCTGTGAGAATCAACTAATAAATGACAGTGATGGTGATAATAAGAATAGTGAATCATATTACTGGGAAGATACTGATTTCTTGTTAGCAGTGTTCTGTTGTCAGAAACTGCACGTTGATGAACTTGCATTGTCTCAAGTTCAATTAACACTGAAATAATACAAGTATTGTTTTCTATTTGCAGGTGAAATTCCCACCGAATATCTATTACAAACTGTTTACTCACCGACCTATAGTGGATATGTGTGCCAATAGCCCCAAGGACTATACTAAGCAATCTCAGAAACAGCTGCTGCCCAGGCACATCCACAATCGTGGAGACCTTCCAGAGTCAGACCACGAAAACTGGTATACTCGAGTGGAGAACAATGGTTGGCGACTGCTCACACTAAGAGTAAGTAAACAGTATGATCGGTGCTTACTTTAACTTGTATAGCTTTCGATATAAAATGTATCTTGAATTTACATTGAAATAGATTAGTTATATGACTTGCTATCAATTCTTATACCATGCTTCCTCCACGAAGAGAGGGCTTCGGACCTTCACCTGACCAATTCTATTAGACTTGACAGCTAAAGATACTTTTCTTTGTTTCTGCCAATGTTATCTGGGCTGCCTGTTTTTGGTTATGCAATATCACAGCCTTGTATGCAGATACAAACTTGAATAATCTTCTTTGTGCACAACAACACAATACTTCTCTGTCTCGTGGCCAGAATACTGTGCCCAACGAAGCCTACTTAACTAGCAGCTATGTGATTCTAAATGATGGATTATGCTGTATACTGTGTTTACTTTGTCTGGTTTATGGTATATCATATGATAGGGGCATACACAACATAAATTCAGCATTATTAGCAAGGGTACCAACATCTGTCATTTGATTAGCATATACTTGCTTAACGATAGCATCAATTGTATAAACAATGGAGCACACCATGTAAATGAAAATATTTTTTATTACATATCATTAAGTGCCTGGATAAAACCATATGTAGCCAAGTGCTACCCTAGAATGCAAGTAAAATTGTACAGTTGTCACATATCTTTCTCTCTGGTCACAGTTGTTCGATGGCATGGACCAGATAACAGCAACTGATAATATTAAGAAGATAACGTTTCATCATTCTGGACTGCGGAGGAAACAGGATGTGGAAAAAAAGCAAAAACAAAGAAAAATTGACTGGATGAGAAAAATGTGAGTAATTTAAAAGACTGCTATATATAAAATTATTGTATGTAATAAACGAGCCTACATATGACTTTATAAAGGGTTTGTTTATAAATGGTCATTTATTTTCTGTGTTCGTATTTTATTAGTTAACCTTATTTTTTGTAGAGATATCACAAATAAGCGCTGTTTTTATTTTGGGAATGTTTTAGGTATAAATGTAGTGAATATTATTACATACAGGACAGAAAACTGGACGAATCAGGTGGTAGTGCCAAATCCATCTATCTGTCTAAATATCTACCTACTTACTTAACTATCTGTACGTATGATGCATATACTGATATTGTTTGATAGTAATAGCAACTATTATTGTTTATATAGTGCAGAGCTTTACAATTCTAGAAAAGGAAGAAAATCCTGCTTAAACAAGTTTAGAATCTATGAGAATTGTATGTAGGCGTTGGGGTTCTGCCTTGACGTTGGCAGGCGAGCATTCCCTCCAGTGGCCATTGGAGCAACTAAATGACCTCCATTTGTCTAAATATACATAGGGATTAAGGAGAGAGCGCAGGTAACTTTTTTTCTTTTCTTTGGTGTTTACTATATATTGGGGCTGAAGTTTACTGTAGTCATTGCTACCGGCCCAGTAGTGATGGGCGTGAGCGCAGGACTTCTCTTTTTGTATTTGTATTTACTTTGTATCACACTGCCTTGTTACAATGCTGCCGCCCATCCCATGTGTTCCCTATTAAGGGTTAATAAGTATATAGGGGTGTATATATATATTAAAAAAAATACCCCTCTCTGACTCATTAGCGATATCTTTTGCCAGAAGCTCAAGGAAGCAGGCTAAAGGGTCAGTGTTAGGACCCGCTTAGGGGGGTCTGCCTTGACGTTGGCAGGCGGGGATTCCCTCCAATAGCCATTGGAGCAACTAAATGACCTCCATTTGTCTACATATACATAGGGATTAAGGAGAGAGCGCAGGTAACTTTTTCTTTTCTTAGATATTTATCATTAGCTGTCTTGCCCAAGGACACTTACTGGTGAGGTGGTCTGACCAGGATTCGAACCTGGGCTATAAAGAGTTATTGCATTTGTCCCTAGACCCCTTTGTGCAGAATGATGTGTCTGTTACAAGTAATCCTTAAGACGCTATCACTGATCAGAGAGTATGTGACTAATTATGGCATTCTAGATCTTATGATCAACTTATGTGTAAACAGCTCCATCTGCTGTCCAGTGTTGTACATGACTTGCATCGGTATTTTGACAATAAACATGGTTATTTACTAAGGTGAGAATTGCCAGGAATTCGAAGAGAAATTCATATTCTAATGAATTCAGTTTGTGTTCCTGACAATATTGTGTAATATCTTCCTTAAAAGCAGGAAACCCAGGTTTGAATACCGGTCAGAATACGTTACTAGTAAGTGTCCCTCTGGAAGACACCGGATGCTATATATCTGCCTACCTCAATTACTCATAGAGTGTAATTTCTTTACCTCTTCCCATTCCTATAATTGTAAAATGCTACGGAATATAATACTAATAGAAACATAGAATGTGACGGCAGATAAGAACCATTCGGCCCATCTAGTCTGCCCAATTTTCTAAATACTTTCATAAGTCCCTGGCCTTATCTTATAGTTAGGATAGCCTTATGCCTATCCCACGCATGCTTAAACTCCTTTACTGTGTTAACCTCTACCACTTCAGCTGGAAGGCTATTCCATGCATCCACTACCCTCTCAGTAAAGTAATACTTCCTGATATTATTTTTAAACCTTTGTCCCTCTAATTTAAGACTATGTCCTCTTGTTGTGGCAGTTTTTCTTCTTTTAAATAAAGTCTCCTCCTCTACTGTGTTGATTCCCTTTATGCATTTAATAATAATAATAATAATAATAATAATGTACATACCACAAGTAAAATGCCACACGTCAAAAGGAGATGACCTTTATAACAGGTATCCAGGGTTATTTTTCAACAATGTGAAAAGAACCCACATACAGCATTACTGGACTTTAAAGGCTAGTTCAGTGGGAAGCCCTATATAAGTTTGTTCATTAGGGTGAATTCTGAATTGTATAGTGTGTTGTTTATGGTGAACTCTGGACACTGGACTACAGGTTTGATTTTTTTTCGGGGGAACATTGGATTTTACAGGTTTGTTCTTTAGGTGTAATGTTAGACTTTACAGGTTAGTTCTCTTGGAGGGACATTGGAGATCACGGGTTTGTTCTTGAGGAAGCACACTGCACTTTGCCCTTTTGTATTTAGGGGGAATGGCAGACTTTACAAGTTTGTTCTTTAGCTGAAACGCTGTATTTTAAAGCTTTGTTCTATAGGAGGAACAATAGACTTCATAGATTTTAATTTTAGAGGAAAACTGTACTTCACATAATGTTTTCTTATGAAGAATAATTGACTTTGTAGGTTTGGTCGCTAGAGGGAACACTAGAACACTAGTAGGAACTCTGGACTTTACAGGGTAGTTCTGTAGGAAAAATGTTGAACCTTACATGTTTGTTGGGGGGGGGGCACTGGGTTTTACAGGTTTGTTCTTTCAGGGAACACTGGACTCTACAAATTTGTTCTTTAGAGGGACATTAAAAAATACAAGAATTCTTTAGGAGGAACACTGGACCATCCAGGTTTGGTGTTTAGTAGGGAACACCTGACTTTTCCATGTTTAGATTTATTTAATGATTTTTTTTAATTTTTTTATTTTTTTTAGGAAAGTGCAATACAATTGGTACAGGGACACTCAAATAATGGACTGCAGTTAATTTCACAAATGATAAATGAATATAATAATATTATGTTATTAATATAGCTTTATTCATAAAACAATGTATTAGCATTAGAAAGCTAAATTGAAATCAGGCTCCCACGTAGAGTAATTATCTTATGGGGCAATTTATTTGTATTTTTCCATTCGTGGTTGAGTGTCTTATAAATTTATTTTCGTATTACACTGAACTGTTCATTGTCAATTATACGTATGCATTTTTCCTAGGTATTACCAAGGAAGCCTGCGTGCTCAGACAACAGACCCAGACACCGCGATCCTAGTTCAAAAAGCTACTCAAGGCGTCATAAACTCTGCAGAACAACATGGGAGTGGATCTGTTATGGACTGGGAAGTGGATGAACTACTCCAATGGACAAATGCTCTGAACTATGAAGAGTAAATATATGGCTTCCTCTCTAGAACTGATCCTACTGTATCCATGCCTACTCAATAGCACAGTAACGATTTATTATAACTGCTCTCAATCAGAAGGCTTATAAACAAACATGCCAAGAGGAGAACATTTCTTGAGTCTAGGAAGCCAGAATAGTGACTATAAACAAGATATTCACACATTAAAGCTTGTTAGCAGATAGAAAAACCCAAGAGGACATCTGTGTTTACACTGTGCGAGACAGCGCTTTGCTAAGTTATGTTCCCTAAAAACTAATTGGTTTTTATTAAACTCACATCTGTGCTGGAGAATACAGCAGCAACATTGCTGCACAGAGCATCTTTTTCTAATTTATGTCAGGATAAACCACAAAGTTCTATATGGTTGGCCACCTTCCCATGCTAAGGGATATTCCATAAAAATAAAATACATATGCTAAACGTTAGGGACACATAATTGGTATTCTAGAATACCAGCAAATAAACAGCCGTGGAAGCATGCTTAATATTATTATTTCTATTTATAGAGCATATAGAAAAAAATAGTTAATGAAGCACTGCGCTCAAACTCCCACTACTCTTGTGCAGCAGCAATGGCTATAGTATTCATCAGCCTATGTACACAGAATAAAATTGAAAAAAAGTTACCTGCGAACTATTCGAAATCCCTATGCATATTTAAACAACAGAGTTTTTAGTAATACTTAAATGACCATTTAAGTGTAAAGGTCACATGCCGTGTTAAGGCAGAACTTTTAGGTGAGTCCTACACACGTTGCCCAGAATGGGGCATTCTTAAGAACAACTACACACTTATTAACCCATAAAACAATACACATGGGATTGAGGCTCAGAACTTTAAGATGGCTGTGCAATACAGAAGCAAATACAAGTATATGGAACATAATCTGCAGTTTAAAACATTATTATTACTGTTATTTGTTATAAAGCGCAAACCGTTTCTGTAGCGCTGTACAACATAAAAGTGTATTTGACAAATCCGATATGTCATACAGAAATAAGAGATGAAGAGGATTCTCCTCAAACTACTTTAGAGTCCAATGACAGTGACCACCAAATGACTCTTGATTTATGACATCATCTCTCCCCCCCCCCAACTCAAGTTACTACTGTAAAGGTTACGCTAGACTAGACTGTGTCTTCTCAATCTGCAGTTTATAGTCAAGCAGGTCAACAGTCTAAGTGTTTCCAGTATTGCTGCATTCTGTCTAAATCTTATATATATCTTAATACTTTTCTTCACCTTTACAAATCAATGTAATAATCACCCAAGATCTGTCCGCAAACATTGTACAACTTGCTCCAGATGAACTGTAATATTTTGATAACAAGATCGAAAATACATTTCTTAACAAAAGAGAATAATTTAATGTTTCCACCTAGAAGTATTAGAATACCTCCATGGATATAGCATTATTTACACTTTCTCACTAACCAATAGTAATATAAGAATTAATATATAATTAGAATATGTATATTAGTAGATTTCGTTTGAGTAGACCATGTATATTAGTAGACTTCATAAGAATTAATTTGAGATGGTTCTTCCAAATTAAAAATCATTTTAATCCACAGCCAAACAAGTCAATTTACCTGGGATTTACCTTTGGAGTCTTATTCACAGAATAAGACTCCACAGCTAAATTTTGGCAAAACGATTCATTAGGTGTGTATTAAAAGGATTTTGATTTAGACGAACCAGCTAAAAACACATTTTTGCATATAGTCTGACACTAAACATTAGTACTAATGCCATTCACAACAGGCCAAATGAGTTCATTGAGCACATGGATGAGATGCTGAGCTCAATCATATCATGACTTTACTGCCTGAATAGGTTATAGTCCTAGCACAGCATTACTTCATAAAGAGACTGATTAAACGCCAACAAGGATCACGCTGTGTAACACTGTATATGCTCTGTAGAATAGCAGCAACTTAACTTTTTTCTTTTCAGTTTGCTTGTTAGCCCAATCCCTGTCCTGAACTTACTATAGCAGGCCATACCTCTCTTCTCTTCTAGGCCTCAATACAATATGCTTGGATAAGATTTCAAATGATTTAATATATTTGTATATATGATCTATGTCATGCTATTTTAATATTTGAGTGGGGGTCGGGGGGGGGGAGGGGCGGGAGTTTATCCAAAAATGTTAAATAATTTTTAAAAGCATATCCAAAAATATTAAATGGAGGCCATAATGTTCTAATTAACACTTATTCTCATACACTAAATAGGAGTGTACTACATATCAAGATTTATACAGGGAGAATGGCCTTAAAATTAATTTTAAGACTATACTAAGGCATGTATTGAGAATACGATCACATTTACACACATACGTTTATATATATGTATATATACACTTATAGGAATATGTGGATGTAAATAAAATACATGTAAAATTAATATAAAACTCCTCCTTGTTTTGTCTCCTTGTATTCATACATGTAATCATTGCATATAGCTGCAGTGATTTGCTAGATAACTGCATCTGAAAACATTGTGATTATGTAAAAAAAAAAGATCATTCCACTGGAGTTTAGTGGGCAAACAAGATCACCAAGTTTGGAGATATGTATCTTCCCCCCTTTAACATTAAAGGGACACTATAGGCACCCAGACCACTTCAGCTCATTAAAGTAGTCTGGGTGCACTGTCTCTGTACGGTACACCTTAGTCCTGCAATGTAAACTATTACACTGCAGTACTAAGGCAGCATCTAGTGGCTGCCTACTAAACTCCAGCGTCGATGAATCCCCATAGGAAAGGCGAGGGGAGGGTGCGCTTGCGGCACATTCACATTACGTCCCCCTTCAGATGACATTGGAGGCGGAGCGTCGACCCAATGCCGAGGGACATCAGTGTTGGGATTAGGTGAGAGGAAGAGAGGGGATGGTGGCAAAGGGCTTTTAGTGTTAGGAATACAGATTTGTATTCACAACACTAGAATCCATTTAATATGTGGTTTAAATAAATGTATTTTAATGATTACAAGCATGGTCATTATAAATGTAAAATAAATATAATATATATTGGCCACATTGTGGTTGTGTAATTAAATTACTTTCTTTTTGCTGTTAAGGTATATTGGGAAGTGGAAAGTGATTGGAACAAGTAAATCATCCTCTGCATTCAAAGGTAACAAATATATATATAAAACAGTCCAAAATTCTCAGATCACTACTGACTGACAACCTATTTTATATTTACATAGAAAGTGACGGCAGATAAGAACCATTCGGCCCATCTAGTCTGCCCAATTTTCTAAAATACTTTCATTAGTCTCTAATATCTAAAATAGCCTTATGTCTATCCCACGCATGTTTAAACTCCTTCACTGTATTAACCTCTACCACTTCAGCTGGAAGGCTATTCCACACATCCACTATCCTCTCAATAAAGTAATACTTCCTGATATTTTTAAACCTTTGTCCCTCTAATTTAAGACTATGTCCTCTTGTTGTGGTAGTTTTTCTTCTTTTAAATATAGTCTCCTCCTTTACTGTGTTGATTCCCTTTATGTATTTAAATGTTTCTATCATATCCCCCCTGTCTCGTCTTTCCTCCAAGCTATACATGTTAAAATCCTTTAACCTTTCCTGGTAAGTTTTATCCTGCAATCCATTAACCAGTTTAGTAGCCCTTCTATGAACCCTCTCTAAGGTATCAATATCCTTCTGAAAATACGGTCTCCAGTACTGCGTACAATATCCAAGTGAGGTCTCACCAGTGTTCTGTACAATGGCATGAGCACTTCCCTCTTTCTACTCCTAATACCTCTACCTATACATCCAAGCATTCTGCTAGCATTTCCTGCTGCTCTATTACATTGTCTGCCTACCTTTAAGTCATCAGAAATAATTACCCCTAACTCCTTTTCCTCAGATGTTGAGGTTAGGACTCTATCAAATATTCTATACTCTGTCCTTGGGTTTTTACGTCCAAGATGCATTATCTTGCACTTATCCACATTAAATGTTAGTTGCCACAACCATTTGGCTTATGCCTCCTGGAACATCAACCCTGTTACATATCTTAGTATCATCAGCAAAAAGACATACCTTACCATCAAGACCTTCTGCATTATCACAAATAAAAATATTAAAGAGAATGGGTCCCAGTAGAGATCCCAGAGGTACCCCACTGGTGACAAGTCCAAGCTTCGAATATATCTCCATTGACTACACCTCTGCTGTTGCCTGTCATTCAGCCACTGCCTTACCCATTCAACAATATTGGAATCCAAACTTAAAGAATATTTAGGTTGATGCCCCTTCTATGTGCAACAGTGTCAAAAGCCTTTACTCCCAGGTGCTGGCTCCGTCTACTGCACCACCCTGATCTCAGAATGGAGTTACCCAATCCAATCCAAGGCTTTCTTGAAATAGGAGCCAAACGCCACCCATGCCAATCAGCATCTCCTCATGAGGAAAGTTCAGTGCCTCCATGCACAGCGTAGAGACGCTAAATGTCAGTACTGCACCTCTATTGGCCGTCTGAGTGAAGCCCACTAGAGGTGTCCCTAGGGAGTAAACACTGCAAAAATGCCTACAGGGACTGACTATACTCATCAGAACTACTACATTATGCTGTAGTTGTTCTGGTGACTATAGAGTCTCTTTAAAAAAATGACCCCAGGGACAAGATCCACTCTAGCTCTCCCATAGGTAGGACGGCTAGGTGGACTTAAATAAAAATAATAATTTGTGTGTGTGAAATAAAATGTATGTGTCAAATCAGTGAGTGTGCAAAAATTAATCATAAGCATGTATTCCAAGTTTCCATGAAACCTGAGAGGATTAGTATATGTACTCTTTGTAGCTATTATATGAATCTATTAAAACTGGATTTAGGTTTGGTGAGATATCTAATAAATAGGTATCTCATGGAGAACAAAAAAATAAAACAAAACCCAACACATATCTGCGTTATCTGTATCCATTAACAGTGATATGCTTAAACACAGCACTCCTATTATATTTCACAGGTACAACATTAATTCGCTCACCATACGATCTCCACGAATTCTCTCAAATTTTTCCAATCAGCCCGGCATCCTCCATGAGCATCAGAAATGAAGATGAGCCACAGTTATAACAACTCATCAAAAGATTGCTTGGAATAGGTCATTGATATGTTTTACACATTGCCTACGAAATGCTTCCAGTATGGCGAGGACCTGTGTTACACACTTACAACACAAGCAATTTACGTTGGTGGTCTTGTAGTGGGTGCCAGAGACTAAGGTATTTGGTTTTAAAGAATCAGATGAAATATGGACTTTTCCATGTGCAACCAATTGATACACTTGCATTCTCATCACGTTAATAACATCTGCCCCATAATCCCTTTAGCTTATTGCAACCGAGAGAGATAAAGCCCAACCAAGATCACCATATTCATACATATCCAAGACTTTCAATGTGGTAATGTCCCCTGGCCCAACTGCATATTACATTTTTCACTTCCATCTAACTCTCCGATTTAAAGGTTATGAGAATGCCTCTAAAACACAGTGAGGGAAGGCTTAAACAATCTTGCTTCAGCCATAGAGTTCACTCTTTTGCGTAAAAATTGGATTTACCCTTCACAGTAGAAATAATGCAACTAGCTGATTCCTTAAGCAATCAACAATACTTTTTTCTTGGTATGTAACATACAGTTTATAACAAGGCATATAAACATGTTCAACAAAATATGGTCCACAAAGTGGAAAATCACTTCAATCCAGTAAAGTTTAAACTTCGTAGCTTAAGGAGCATCCAATCATGAAACTCCTCTACATTCATTTCCCTGAATATCCAGGATACTCAACTTTCAGATAGAAAAGACTTTTACTTAAGATTGAATTCTTCCTCTTTCAGCCCCATGCCTCTCTTCTTCTACTGTGTTAAAGTTTTAAATCTGTTATTTAACTCAACCTCTTACTTTAAATGTGGAAAGATGACAACTAAAAAGCGAAAAGACTGAACTTTTAATTCAGCCAATAAACTCCTTATATTGACACAAGTGGAGCTTCCACATACAAAGCATTGGGAAGTAAGTTTACATGAAGGTATTTTCACATTCAAGGAATATGTTGGGTTAAAAAATGTACTTACATGCCATATGATTATAATACACGTAGAAAGTAAAAAAATACATTTATATTCAACTTTAATTCAGCAGTGTCCCAATCTTGCTCCGCACACTGGTCCACCTTTGGCTGAAAATGTCTGGATGGATGTTTTTGAAAATTCAAATGCTTTTTTTATCGGGAGGCTTAATTGTGTTCGACATGAAGACTGTACATTTTTAACATGTTCACTATGATGTGCCTCTAATGACTCTTTGATTGACAGACACTAGAGGTCCACTGACTAACAAATGACATGTAAGCCATGCTTGCATTTGACACAATGCAGGGACAGCATCTAGGTACCAAAACCACTACATTAACGGAGTGTCCCTTTAAAGTTCAATATAGTTTTGGTAATAAAGTACACGCAATTTAAAATAAATACAGTAGATGTCATGTGTAAAACATAAAAATAAAACATATAGAACATGACTTTATTAGTAAGAAAATATACAGCTACAGCATGTTCCGAAATGAAGTTTAACAATCAAACCAGTTTAGAACCACTAACATCCAGATCGCAAACAATGTTAGTAAAAATAACAACAAATAACATATCAATTTATAGTCTCTGAATAAAAAGTCACAAACATTATTTGAGTGGAATTTTTTTCATAACTGGAAAATAAAAGTTTTTAGTTTTTTTTCTAAAGTGCTTTGTACACATTTATTAAACAGTTTGTTTGAATCTCCTTAGGGATTTCTCATGTACCTTTAACACATTTTGCTATAAAATGTTACAGGATAAAAGGGGTGCAGGTGAAGGAGGGGGGAAACTGCGAGCAGGACACTATAGAGTTAGGAATACACCCGTTTGCATTCCTGACGCTATAGTGTTTCTTTAATGTGAATTTTATTTTCAGGACTTCAAAATATGTAATTGCCGCATTGGAAACTGTGATTCTTAAATTGAAATATTGACCAGAGTTCATCTATTGTGCATACATTTAACTGTGGCAACCTTTTACATATTTTATCATGTTACCATTTACATGCATAGTGCAGAAGTATACATTTTATGACCAAGAGCTACACCCAGGCCTTCCAGCCAGGGAAAAGTTTGCTGAGATTTTTTGGGTCCATAGCTTGCTGTATGAGCAGGTTCACTTGTCCTCCAACATTCAGAACCATTCCCTCTTCCACCCCTTTCAACTTCTCTTGGAGACGAAGGAGAACACGTTCTGCCACTTTATTAAAGCTCTGTGTGTCACTGCTGATGAAAATAATGATAACAATAAATGTCAGTTAAAAAAGTAAAATACTCTAGAAATGCATTTTACGATATTAATATAAAATGTTTTACAAACTGGAACTTGTCTCTAGTGCACAAACATAAGAGTCATTATAAGGGGAAAAAATATTATAATCTTCTGGAATTCAATAATGTATTTCATTAGTATGGGGGAAAGAGTCCCCTTCCATCTCCGCTCTGGCAACCTTTTCCCTTATTCAGCTACTGCAGATTGTCAGTGAAGTGATGGTGAAATCAATGTGCAAACTTTCTGAGCTATGTATCAAATAGAATCCAGGACTAAGACCCAAGGATGAGTTACATATGCACTAACGCCATATCTTACGCACTTATTATTCAGCCTTTAGTCAATCACAAGTTTTTTTTTGTTTTTTTTAAAAAAGGAGCAGAAGAAAAAACTAAAATCTGCCCGAGACACCAATTTAATTAAACTTGGCAGTGAAGTAAGCTGCTCAGAGATTGAGGACTTCACAAACCACTCATGTTTGGGGTCAGTCCAAGTTGCACTTTAGATGGATGGAATTGTAGACAGCAGAAATGTGCAATTTTTTTAAAACAACCAAAAAATGTGAAACGTTTAAAAATAAGTGCTAATTTGTCAAAGTGTTACCTTCAAAATTATTATTGCTATTCTTAAAGCACCAACAAATTCCATGGCGCTGTACAGTTGGGGAAAATAAACAGAACATTATGGACAAAACAGTATAAACAAGCACAGAGGTCCATACCCTATGCTGTGCAGCACAATATAGATTTTACTTTTTTTTAAATTGGTGCATCAGCTATTCGCCATTCTTTTTTTTTTTTTTAAACAAACTGTGATTCTTGAGATTAGAATCAAATGACATTACCATGTATTTCGATTGCATTCTGGGTCATCACCGCCGAGGGTTGCATTGAGATCCCCTTCGTCTTGCTGTAGGTAAAGTGCTTTGAGGGGATTCATTGTCCAATCAAATAGTGGATCATAGAGTAGGACCTGTAGGGCAATCCACACAGGACATGTTAGCTATATCTTTTACGATCAACACTAGAATAAATGTTTTATCAAACGTCAATACCAACCAAATGTTTCTCTACTCAAATGATTCTCTACTCAAGAGTATATATAGTGCAGCAGGCTTCTATACTAAGTAAAATATATAATTCTACAGGCTTATTCACTATACATTATATACAATACAGCAGGCTGCTACACTAAACAGCAAAGATAATATTTTGTAATACAGGTCTCTGTACTAAACAAAATATGCAGTAACACATACTTCTACACAAAGCTGAATACAGTATAATATAGGCTTCTTTTATTATAGTACGTCAAAAATAATATACAGACTTCTATAGCAAACAAAATAAAATCACACAGGTATTTCGATTGCTATTACACAGAATACACAGTATCACAGGTCATCACCGCACAGAGGGTTGCATTGAGGATCCCCTTCGTCTTGCTGTAGGTAAAGTGCTTTGAGGGGATTCATTGTCCAATCAAATAGTGGATCATAGAGTAGGACCTGTAGGGCAATCCACACAGGACATGTTAGCTATATCTTTTACGATCAACACTAGAATAAATGTTTTATCAAACGTCAATACCAACCAAAGTTTATGCAGGATTCTATACTATTCTACAGAATACACAGTACATCACAGGGATGTACTACACAAACTGAATACACAGATATACAGACTTCAGCAGGATTCTATTGTACACAGAATACACAGTATCACAGGATTCTATACTACACAGAATACACAGTATCACAGGATTCTATACTACACAGAATACACAGTATCGCAGGATTCTATACTACACAGAATACACAGTATCGCAGGATTCTATACTACACAGAATACACAGTATCGCAGGATTCTATACTACACAGAATACACAGTATCACAGGATTCTATACTACACAGAATACACAGTATCGCAGGATTCTATACTACACAGAATACACAGTATCACAGGATTCTATACTACACAGAATACACAGTATCACAGGATTCTATACTACACAGAATACACAGTATCACAGGATTCTATACTACACAGAATACACAGTATCACAGGATTCTGTACTACACAGAATACACAGTATCACAGGATTCTATACTACACAGAATACACAGTATCAGTATCACAGGATTCTATACTACACAGAATACACAGTATCACAGGATTCTATACTACACAGAATACACAGTATCACAGGATAAACAGTATCACAGGATTCTATACTACACAGAATACACAGTATCACAGGATTCTATACTACACAGAATACACAGTATCGCAGGATTCTATACTACACAGAATACACAGTATCACAGGATTCTGTACTACACAGAATACACAGTATCGCAGGATTCTATACTACACAGAATACACAGTATCGCAGGATTCTATACTACACAGAACACACAGTATCACAGGATTCTGTACTACACAGAATACACAGTATCACAGGATTCTATACTACACAGAATACACAGTATCACAGGATTCTATACTACACAGAATCGCAGGATTTTTGTACTACACAGAATACACAGTATCGCAGGTTTCTATACTACACAGAATACACAGTATCACAGGTTTCTATACTACACAGAATACACAGGATTCTGTACTACACAGAATACACAGTATCACAGGATTCTGTACTACACAGAATACACAGTATCACAGGATTCTGTACTACACAGAATACACAGTATCGCAGGATTCTATACTACACAGAATACACAGTATCGCAGGATTCTATACTACACAGAATACACAGTATCGCAGGATTCTATACTACACAGAATACACAGTATCGCAGGATTCTATACTACACAGAATACACAGTATCGCAGGATTCTATACTACACAGAATACACAGTATCGCAGGATTCTATACTACACAGAATACACAGTATCGCAGGATTCTATACTACACAGAATACACAGTATCGCAGGATTCTATACTACACAGAATACACAGTATCGCAGGATTCTATACTACACAGAATACACAGTATCCCAGGATTCTGTACTACACAGAATACACAGTATCACAGGATTCTATACTACACAGAATACACAGTATCACAGGATTCTATACTACACAGAATACACAGTATCACAGGATTCTATACTACACAGAATCGCAGGATTTTTGTACTACACAGAATACACAGTATCGCAGGTTTCTATACTACACAGAATACACAGTATCACAGGATTCTATACTACACAGAATACACAGTATCACAGGATTCTATACTACACAGAATACACAGTATCGCAGGATTCTATACTACACAGAATACACAATATCACAGGATTCTGTACTACACAGAATACACAGTATCACAGGATTCTATACTACACAGAATACACAGTATCACAGGATTCTATACTACACAGAATACACAGTATCACAGGATTCTATACTACACAGAATACACAGTATCACAGGATTCTATACTACACAGAATCACAGGATTCTGTACTACACACAATACACAGTATCACAGGATTCTGTACTACACAGAATACACAGTATCACAGGATTCTATACTACCCAGAATACACAGTATCACAGGATTCTATACTACACAGAATACACAGTATCACAGGATTCTATACTACACAGAATACACAGTATCACAGGATTCTATACTACACAGAATACACAGTATAAGGATTCTGGCTTTTGCACAGTACACAGTATGGGATTCTATACTACACAGAATACACAGTATTCGCGGGATTCTAGCCTTATACTACACAGAATACACAGTATCGCAGGTTTCTATCTACACAGAATACACAGTATCGCAGGATTCTGTACTACACAGAATACACAGTATCACAGGATTCTGTACTACACAGAATACACAGTATCACAGGATTCTATACTACCCAGAATACACAGTATCACAGGATTCTATACTACCCAGAATACACAGTATCACAGGATTCTATACTACACAGAATACACAGTATCACAGGATTCTATACTACACAGAATACACAGTATCGCAGGATTCTGTACTACACAGAATACACAGTATCACAGGATTCTATACTACACAGAATACACAGTATCACAGGATTCTGTACTACACAGAATACACAGTATCGCAGGATTCTATACTACACAGAATACACAGTATCGCAGGATTCTATACTACACAGAACACACAGTATCACAGGATTCTGTACTACACAGAATACACAGTATCACAGGATTCTATACTACACAGAATACACAGTATCACAGGATTCTATACTACACAGAATCGCAGGATTTTTGTACTACACAGAATACACAGTATCGCAGGTTTCTATACTACACAGAATACACAGTATCACAGGTTTCTATACTACACAGAATACACAGGATTCTGTACTACACAGAATACACAGTATCACAGGATTCTGTACTACACAGAATACACAGTATCACAGGATTCTGTACTACACAGAATACGCCCAGGATTTTGTACTACACAAGAATACACAGTATCGCCGGGTTTCTATACACACAGAATACACAGTATCGCAGGATTCACAATGCCTACACAGAATACACAGTATCGCAGGTTTCTATACTACACAGAATACACAGTATTACAGGATTCTGTACTACACAGAATACACAGTATCACAGGATTCTATACTACACAGAATACACAGTATCACAGGATTCTGTACTACACAGAATACACAGTATCACAGGATTCTGTACTACACAGAATACACAGTATCACAGGATTCTATACTACACAGAATACACAGTATCACAGGATTCTGTACTACACAGAATACACAGTATCACAGGATTCTATACTACACAGAATACACAGTATCACAGGATTCTGTACTACACAGAATACACAGTATCACAGGATTCTGTACTACACAGAATACACAGTATCACAGGATTCTATACTACACAGAATACACAGCATCACAGGATTCTATACTACACAGAATACACAGCATCGCAGGATTCTATACTACACAGAATACACAGTATCGCAGGATTCTGTACTACACAGAATACACAGTATCGCAGGATTCTATACTACACAGAATACACAGTATCGCAGGATTCTATACTACACAGAATACACAGTATCCCAGGATTCTATACTACACAGAATACACAGTATCCCAGGATTCTATACTACACAGAATACACAGTATCCCAGGATTCCATACTACACAGAATACACAGTATCGCAGGATTCTATACTACACAGTATCGCAGGTTTCTATACTACACAGAATACACAGTATCGCAGGATTCTATACTACACAGAATACACAGTATCGCAGGATTCTATACTACACAGAATACACAGTATCGCAGGATTCTATACTACACAGAATACACAGTATCGCAGGATTCTATACTACACAGAATACACAGTATCACAGGATTCTATACTACACAGAATACACAGTATCGCAGGTTTCTATACTACACAGAATACACAGTATCACAGGATTCTATACTACACAGAATACACAGTATCACAGGATTCTATACTACACAGAATACACAGTATCACAGGATTCTATACTACACAGAATCGCAGGATTTTTGTACTACACAGAATACACAGTATCGCAGGTTTCTATACTACACAGAATACACAGTATTACAGGATTCTGTACTACACAGAATACACAGTATCACAGGTTTCTATACTACACAGAATACACAGTATCACAGGATTCTGTACTACACAGAATACACAGTATCACAGGATTCTGTACTACACAGTATACACAGGATTCTGTACTACACAGAATACACAGTATCACAGGATTCTATACTACACAGAATACACAGTATCACAGGATTCTGTACTACACAGAATACACAGTATCACAGGATTCTATACTACACAGAATACACAGTATCACAGGATTCTGTACTACACACAATACACAGTATCACAGGATTCTGTACTACACAGAATACACAGTATCACAGGATTCTATACTACCCAGAATACACAGTATCACAGGATTCTATACTACACAGAATACACAGTATCACAGGATTCTATACTACACAGAATACACAGTATCACAGGATTCTATACACAGAATCGCAGGATTTTTGTACTACACAGAATACACAGTATCACAGGATTCTATACTACACAGAATACACAGTATCACAGGTTTCTATACTACACAGAATACACAGTATCACAGGATTCTATACTACACAGAATACACAGTATCACAGGATTCTATACTACACAGAATACACAGTATCACAGGATTCTATACTACACAGAATCGCAGGATTTTTGTACTACACAGAATACACAGTATCGCAGGTTTCTATACTACACAGAATACACAGTATCACAGGATTCTGTACTACACAGAATACACAGTATCACAGGTTTCTATACTACACAGAATACACAGTATCACAGGATTCTGTACTACACAGAATACACAGTATCACAGGATTCTGTACTACACAGAATACACAGTATCACAGGATTCTGTACTACACAGAATACACAGGATTCTGTACTACACAGAATACACAGTATCCTGTACTACACAGAATACACAGTATCACAGGATTCTATACCACACAGTATCACAGGATTCTATACTACACAGAATACACAGTATCACAGGATTCTATACTACACAGAATACACAGTATCACAGGATTCTGTACTACACAGTATCACAGGATTCTATACTACACAGAATACACAGTATCACAGGATTCTATACTACACAGAATACACAGTATCGCAGGATTCTATACTACACAGAATACACAGTATCACAGGATTCTATACTACACAGAATAAACAGTATCACAGGATTCTATACTACACAGAATACACAGTATCACAGGATTCTATACTACACAGAATACACAGTATCGCAGGATTCTATACTACACAGAATACACAGTATCACAGGATTCTGTACTACACAGAATACACAGTATCGCAGGATTCTATACTACACAGTATCACAGGATTCTATACTACACAGAATACACAGTATCACAGGATTCTATACTACACAGAATACACAGTATCACAGGATTCTATACTACACAGAATACACAGTATCGCAGGATTCTATACTACACAGAATACACAGTATCGCAGGATTCTATACTACACAGAATACACAGTATCGCAGGATTCTGTACTACACAGAATACACAGTATCGCAGGATTCTATACTACACAGAATACACAGTATCGCAGGATTCTATACTACACAGAATACACAGTATCGCAGGTTTCTATCTACACAGAATACACAGTATCGCAGGATTCTGTACTACACAGAATACACAGTATCACAGGATTCTGTACTACACAGAATACACAGTATCCCAGGATTCTATACTACACAGAATACACAGTATCACAGGATTCGGTACTACACAGAATACACAGTATCACAGGATTCTGTACTACCCAGAATACACAGTATCACAGGATTCTATACTACACAGAATACACAGTATCACAGGATTCTATACTACACAGAATACACAGTATCGCAGGATTCTGTACTACACAGAATACACAGTATCGCAGGATTCTATACTACACAGAATACACAGTATCCCAGGATTCTATACACAGTATCAGGATTCTATACTACACAGAATACACAGTATCCAGGATTCTATACTACACAGAATACACAGTATCGCAGGATTCTGTACTACACAGAATACACAGTATCGCAGGATTCTATACTACACAGAATACACAGTATCGCAGGATTCTATACTACACAGAATACACAGTATCGCAGGATTCTATACTACACAGAATACACAGTATCGCAGGATTCTATACTACACAGAATACACAGTATCGCAGGATTCTATACTACACAGAATACACAGTATCGCAGGATTCTATACTACACAGAATACACAGTATCGCAGGTTTCTATCTACACAGAATACACAGTATCGCAGGTTTCTATACTACACAGAATACACAGTATCACATGATTCTATACTACACAGAATACACAGTATCACAGGTTTTAAACAGAGATGATTGCCTCCACTTGCTTGATAGTAGTTCTCAACAGATACTGCTGTTTATTGTGTATTAAGAAATGGAAAAGCGATTTAAAAGTGCCATTTTTGTCAAAACTACCAAAAAAGTAATCTGTAGGAGAGAGCCATCTCATCAAGGGTTTAGGATATTTTGTATAACAGATATAAATAGAAAAAGTGCTAAGATGAACAGAGGATCCTTAGAACATCATCTAAAAAAATTAAACTATGAAATATGACAGAGTGTAGGTCTGGAAGCATATGAAGACAGAGAAAAGGGAAAACCAGTGGTCGGCACAATACAGAAAAAGAGCAACCTGCCTGTGTGATAAGGCAGAGCATTGACAGAGAGCAAACGGAGAATGATGAGAGAGGCAGTAAACAGGGACACAGAGCAGCCCTGCTGTGATCAGCTCACAGAGATGATAGGTGGCATGCATCTGTGAAAAAGCAGCAGGGCAATGTACTGAATTAACAATTTTTAAAAATTGATAATAAACAAAACAAAACTAACTAAATGAAAGTACCATTTACAACTGAAAATGCAATGTTGAATATTTGTGAGAGCTTTTTGTTCAGCACGATGAGTTTGGTCATATTTTTACCTTTACACTTGAACAGTATTTATAAAGATGTCTAAATTGACGTTATACAGGAGAACACAACAGGGTACACTACAACATTTTACTCTCACAATGAGTAAATAATTAGACCGCATTGCTATTTTGCCATACCTGGCATCCAGGTGTATTGCTGGCAGGAATTCTTTATACAGCATATCCACCCATCGTGTCACAAGTGCACTACTTTTGTTATTTAAACACTTTTATACACATGTGATTATGGTAGTAGAGGGAGATATGAGTCAATACATTGTGTGTGATTATGATGGTCGAGAGAGAGATATGGCCCAAACCTTTGTGTGTGTGAGTTGTGTTCTATAATGGTGATGGCGAGAGATTTGACTTAATGTGTCAAATATGTGATTATGGTGGTAAGGGGAGATTTGACCTGGTGAGTTGTGTGTGATCATGGTCGTGGAAATGGATTCGACCCAAAGTTGTGTGTTCATGGTGGTGAGGATGATTTGACGTATTGGGTTATATGTGATCATATGGTAAAGGGAGTTTGGACCCAGTGCTTTGTCCGTGATTATGGTAGTGGAGGGAAACCTACTTCTACAATGGTCAGCAATGCTTCCTGTGAGCTTCTCATCACCTCCATCGTCTTCTCACAGCATCTACATAGAAAGAAAACACATGAGAGCACCTTAGCTAGTCAAACAGGCCTCCATGGGAAACACTGCTCAAAATGTGTGGACAACAGCCGACAGGCAGTGTCGTAATTTGCATCGGCAATCCCAGAAAAAATGTATGTGACACCACCAGTATTTAAGGAATAAAATCTCTCTCCTCTCACTGTTCTTATCTCTGTATTAAACTGCTGGTTGAGGCCAGTATATTTTACTAGCGTTTGATGGCCTTTCTTGAAATAACAATACCAGCCATTTATAAAAAAAAGATTTCCACAACAAAATCTGCTTTAAATATGGCACGAGGAAGCTAATCGTAAAGGTTCACGACTTGATCCTACATTAACAGAAAATATGGGATTTAAAATGCTCTCTCAACTTAAGCAAGGGTACTTCCCAAACTCTTAGCACTTCCCTCTTACCCATATACCCTCTCTCCTCACCCTGTATAACAACTCTTCCTTTACCTCCACGCCCCCAATTATTCTTTACTCACTCTCTCTAAACCTCAACTTTCAGTTATGCTCTACTCACATTTCAGTGCATAAGAGCCTACACCTAGCTCCCCAGAGTCCCCTTAAAAATGGTTTAAAAAAAATAAATAAATGAATGTAGTGCTTTATTGTTACTTTGATAATGTAATATGTTAATGTCTGTAACTAGAATGTCTCTTGGAAAAGAAATAAATAATAAAAAAAAAAACAAATACAAACAATAACTAATATTTATGTGACAAAAGCAAAAATATGCAGTACCTTCTGAAAACCCCTTCAACTCCTGTAATGCCCATGCCATCCACAATATCGCGTGTGAGTCGAAAAGGAACAGTTTCCGGGGTTGGAAGAATTTTACCCTGTTCGAAAGCCACTCCTACAGATACATAAATTAAAGTATTAGCAAGATCCTATAGTTTATTAGACGAGCAATCCTCTGTGTTTACAATCTTACCCAAGTCAATGTGTACAAGTTCTGCGGTCTCTTCATCAATTAAGATATTTTGCACATGTCTGTCTCCAAGTCCAACAATGTAACCAACTGCCGGTAAAACCACAAGGTATTGTTACAAAGCAACACAATGAAATGTACCCTTACAAACGAAAAATGCTGAGGGTTCGGCTGCATGATCATAAAGGATGATTAGAAAGTCTGGTTGGGTGGGTGGGTGTGTGAGTGAATGTAAGTATCTGTAAAATAACTTTGGTGCACACTGTAGCAATTGTGGTCTATCTTCTATCAGGTAGGGCATCACAGGATATAATATTGTTCACTATGGCTGAACAATTATTGGTCTAATGCATGTGCTTTCAGGAACAACTACCAGCCCAGGAATTTAAAATCAAGTCACAATGAATGATATGACAGATTCATGCATGCCAATCAAGGAGCCAACATGATATGGACCACCTTGGAGAAACCATGGTCCTGTTGGTTAGTTGACCACTAAGTGTCCAGGAGAGGTGTGGCAGCATAGGTTGCTATTCCCTGACCTACGTTTTGTATATTACAAAGTAGACGCACTAAAACTGCAAATTAATTAAAATGTAGCAGGTCACGTCACATTAAAAGAAAATTGTCATAAACTCAACTAATACTACTATCATTAGTGCCCAAGAAACATCCATACAATGCTCTGTACTGTTAAATATCTACCACTTATCAATGACACTAATTGCTCCTCCCAACACTTTAATTGCCAGAGAGATGTAGAAGGCAATCGTTTGTCAGTCCAGTGGCGTACATACCAGGGTCGCGGCTGCGACCGGGCCCGGCCCACCAGGGGGCCCGGCCACCCCTGCGACCCGGTATGTACCCACAGGGCCAGCCTCTTCTCCTGGGGGGCCCAGGAGGCGGCCATCTCAGGGCCCCCCCGAGGCTGGCCCTGCCGATCCCAGCGGGCGGGCGGGCTGGCTGGCTGTCTGGGTGACCAGCGCCCGAGGGAGCACTCTCTCTTCCGCTCCCTCGCGCACCGCACTGATGCCGGAGCCGGAAGATGACGTCATCTTCCGGCGCCGGCATCCCTATGCGGCGCGCGAGGGAGCGGAAGAGGGAGCACACAGGGGAGAGTGCTCCCTCGCGCGCCGGCCACCCAGACAGCCAGTCCACCCAGTGGCTGGCCGCCCAGGAGCCCAGCAGCACCAATGGACCCCAGGGAATCCCCTCAGCTCTCCAAAAGGTAAGGAGGCTGAGGGGATTAAATTTAAAAAAAAATGTGTGTGTGTGTGTTCGTGTGTGTGTGTGTATGTGTTTGTGTGTTAGTGTTTGTGTGTGTTAGTGTTTGTGTGTTAGTGTGTGTGTTAGTGTTTGTGTGTTAGTGTGTGTGTTTGTTTGTGTTAGTGTGTGTGTCAGTGAGTGTGTCTGTTATTGGGTGTGTGCCTGCTAGTGAGTGTGTTACTGTGTGTGTCTGTTACTGAGTGTGTTTGATGTCTGTTAGTGAGTGTGTGTTTGTCAGTGAAAGTGTATGTTTTGTAAGTGAGTGTGTATGTATCTCAGTAAATGTGTGCGTCTGTTAGCTTGTGTGTATGCGTCTGTTCGTGAGAATGTGTGTGTCTTCAGCATTTACCTTTCTCCAGCGTCGGACTCCCTTGGCGCTGGGGATCCCTCCGCCTCTCAGCTCCGAATGCACATGCGCGGCAAGAGGCGCGTGCACGAATTTAAACCGCCCATAGGAAAGCATTACTCAATGCTTTCCTATGGACGTTCAGTCTCTTTTCACTGTGATTTTCACAGTGAGAATCGCGGAAGCTCCTGTAGCAGCAGTCAATGAGACAGCCACCAGAGGCTGGATTAACCCTCAGGGTTAAAACTAGAGGGACCTGGCACCAAGACCACTTCATTGAGCTGATGTGATCTGGGTGTCTGTAGTGGTCCTTTAAGTGTGTGTGCATACCGCGGTCGCGGGTGCCCGCCGCCATGTGTTGCAGCCCCGACCCGCGCCGAGTAAGCGCGCGCGGGGGAGAGGGGGGGGGCGGGGCCACGGATCAATTTTCGCACCGGGGCCCCATGGGTCATGTGTACGCCACTGTGTCAGTCCATCTAGATTCCTCCAAAAAGTAGAGGGCTCTTTTAACATAAATTGTTATTGTTACATTATTAAGCCGAGGACCAAGTTTAACCCCTTAAAGACCAAACTTCAGGAATAAAAGGGAATCATGACATGTCACACGTGTCATGTGTCCTTAAGGGGTTAAAAACAACCAAGACACGTAGAGGCAAGATGTGATGCGGATATGGTTTCTTGTGATACAGCCTTAAAGTATGAGAGCTGATGAGAATCTCCTATATAGCAAGCAGGTTATGGGTCATGCATTACATTTGGAATATACATTAAAATACATATTGTAAGCAATGATTAAAACCTGCCAAAGCCATCAGCAAAAAGGACAGCAGGGTTGTTATTTGAGGTATATTGTATGGCTGCTCCAGTTATAAATAAAACGCAGTCTCCTTCATACCGGTTATGCCCACCCAGTACAGTGAATAGGTGTCTACATTTAATTCACTACATCTATAAACATCTACCAACCCTGGTAAACAATAAGCACTTGCAATACCATATCAATGCAGTGAAAATACTTATTTTATACTGGATCAAATATATTTTTTGTTTTCTTTTTAAAGTTAGTATTATAAACTCTGAGTCGCTAACATACAAAAAAAAAATAGTTCAGCTAAATTGTATTGCTAAGTGAATAGAAACGGCTCTTATTCTTGTAGTTTTAATATTCCTGCAAGTTATAATTCCATAACTAAAAAAAAAAAAAATTAAACAAATTCCCGATACACCCCCAATGCAAAAGGCACACACACCTACGTGTGAAACTATGAAGTCTTTTCTGGTTTAATTCAGCTACATAACTGTGCATGCAATGCTGGGTAATATAACCTGGGAATGGCAGATAATTCTGAATTAGCAAAAAATACTTTGATACGTTAGGAGCTTATTTCAAAGACTTTTGCTTTTGATCTGATAAAATAAAAGAAAAAACAAAAAGAAACCAAAAACAATGTGTCGTGTCAAAGTTTAACTTGCTGTACCTATGGAAGATGTAGCCACGCTCCGAGTGTACGCCAAACGTCTCTCAAACCAAACAGCAGGATCTAAAAACTTCTCCATGCAGAAGTATCGGAACACGGGCTGGAAGTTCTCACAGATATTGAGAAATGTTTGATACTTTTCTTCAAATCGTGCCCTCTGCACTTCCTGAAAAACAAACGTCAGAGAAGAAAGTACATAAAATAGGGGACCACATTAGCACAATAGTTCTTATTCAGTAAGTGTTCATTTGGAAGTTTTTTCATAGATTAATCAAATCTGTAAAAAAAACACCACTACAGCTTTTGTGAGACATGGAACACCTTGTTTTTTTTTGTTTTTATATTTTAATATCTTGTAATGAGAGCAGACATCTGCCAGAACAGAATTTAACCTGTGCTGAACATTAAATGGACAGCAAGTACCAAAACAAGTTTAGCTTAATGAAGTAACTTTGGGGTATATTTAATGTCCCTGCAATCACACTGCTCAATTCTCTGCCATTCAGCCATTGTCCCCCACCCAAATATTTCCTGAAAAGAGATCTAATTTGTAAATTTTTGTTATTGCACAGTGCGTTGAATTTAGTATCTCCTCCTCTGTTAATAGCCTGCTAGAGCCTCATGTGTAAAGTTCAATTAAGACAGCAGGAGATAAATACTTCTAAAGTAAACACACTGTGCTATAAGAGCTGAATGAAAATGAAACCATTTTGTTTTTCATTGAGGCTGTGTGAGTCACAGCTAGCGGAGGTGTAGCCAGGGATGCATAAAACAAGCGATTTAACTCTGAAAAAGCTGATAATTGAGCAGTGAGACTGCAGGTGCATGATCAATACACCTAAACTGCTTCATTAAGGTGTCTCTCTGATACTTTACAGGTTTTGATTTTAAATTAAAGAGTTACTGCAATTATTATAACCAGTACAGCCAGCTACAGCGGTTACGATGCCCAGAGTACTTTGGCCTGGTTACACAGAAAAGGGTTACTCGGGTCCTGGCTGGCTTCGAGGTTCCCTGATGGTCTGGTGATGTGCATCCTGCTTCTGCAGAGCTACAGGACCCGGGAACCATGGCTGTCACAATTCATTGAATGAGGGCATCAGTTGACCGCTCTCAACCATTGACTGATATTCTGCGCACACATTAAATTAGCCAACCTGGAACTTTGCCTCTCGGTTTGGCAATTACACCCCAATGAAATTGCCGTGGCTGGCGTTCCACCTCAAGCAGGAGAGAGGTCATAGGGAAACACTGCACATTCAGACTCCAGGCACCATGGCCATTTCAAATCGCTGAAGTGGTCATGGTACTTGGAGCAACCTTTAATAATACATTTTTTGGCCATCTTATTCATCTTGTTTTTATTCATTCGGTTTTTTTTTTACTTCAGTTTTTAAGAAATGCATGAGAAAAAGTAGGGACTAAGGACTTTTTCTCATGGGGAGCGTGATGTGCCAGTTTTTGGAAATGGACGGAACTTAAGTAACGTTCCGTTTTAGTTGCTAAGCCAATTTACCCACAATGCATCAGTCAGAAGAATTCCAGAGCGGAACAAACAGCTGGCACCAAGGACAGAGGAGAACAAAATGGCGGTGCCCGTATATTAAGATCGAGCGCAAGGAAGAGAAGATAAAAGATATAAATAATGAAGAGTAGCAAAGGGGGTGTGTAATAAGTAAGATACAAGAGGCATAAGGAAAGGAAAACTTATTTAAAAAAAAAAAGTTGACTTGGTGCTTAGAATATCACATTAATCCCCCCTTACTACATTTAACTGCAATAGTCTAGATACAGCCCATATACATACTTGCCAAGGTCATTAAATACTCTCTTGTGAAGAGAGATGTATACAGATTTCATTGTGCAGAAAATATTTCCAATGTTAAGGCAATGTTCTTCTTCTAGTCTCTACAGAAGTCAAACCATCAACTCTCTCACTGTACTGAATGTATACATTGTTTTCAAACTTCAAGCGATACGTTGAAAGTCAAACATAAAGGAACTGCTTAACTTGCAATTAGTCAAACTAAGAAACCCCAAAGTAATACTATTTCAGTATACCTTCACATCAACATGTTTTTATAAAGAAAATATATATTACCATCATTTTCTTCTGGCACTGTAAGCTGCTATAATCATTAGGGCGATAGCGGCGATGAGCCCCTTCCTCCGCATTTACCAGGTATTCCCCAATAGGCACTGTCCCTGTGCACCACTCCAGCACCCCACTCCTCTGGGACAAGGGCACCACCTGTAATGATGAAAAATGTCTGACTCAGAATGACTGGCAATCATAGTTTAACCAGCGGAGTTCTAAAAGATTAAAAGACACTTGCAGATTAAACAGAAGCTTTATATGATTATGAAATGATAAATAAACTCATGTAACATCTCAATGCATAGTCTCTGCATTGATAATGCTCCACACTTGTGTTTCTCATTGCAACCAGGAGCAAAATCCATATGACACATGACGATAGTCAACTAAGTGGACTACTCACGTAAAGAAAATAAATAAATAACTATAATACAAGTGAACAAGAAGCTGTGATCAGAAATTTAAAAAAAAATTCTTTTTTTTTTGTTTTTTTAATGAGTTATGTATAATATTTTCAAAATAGGGGGTAAAGTCATGTTTGACCAGCATGGGATACAAATGTGCTATTTACTAAAAAAGAAAACGGTCAGAAATGTGAAGAGAATTCAAAGTAAACTTCTAATTTAAGGACAAAACAGGCGAAATTGAAAAATTCTCCACGTCAGCAATGTTGGTCTAAAATGTGAAATTCCCTTGGAATTTTGGACATTCTCACTTTCATAAATAATCCTGTATTGTGTGTGACTGAGACTCTGCTCACACATGTATACCAAGTCAGTGCTTGTTCACCTTATATCGGCGGATCGTCAGCTTCCTCTTTCTCGTCTCACTGTTTCTTTGTAGCAACATATTACACATCTGGAACACCTGCTGCATGACAGCGTCTTGCCTTAAATCATCTCGACCCTTTGAATGATATCACAACAAGAGCAGTACTTACAAACAAGTTGTACACAGAATCAAGGCGAGAAACACAAGATTTAAATGTAATAACAGCGACACATGCAAATCCCTCAATGCGAAATAAGTTTATTCTGCAGAAGCAGAAATTTTGTTTTTCAATGCCATATGTATTACTTTTCAACTCTGCAGCAAAACTCGAATCCCAGGACTTTGCATTTTATGCTGACAGACTATCGGTTTTCTCACAGTCAGAGCTCCTGCTCCATGCTGTCAGCTGTTACCTCATCTTAACTAGAACCCATGTGTCAGCACTATTTAGATAAGAAGTAGATCTAAGCACAGTGCAGCAAAACAAAATGATGTCACAGCATGTTTTGCTTAGAACCTAAAGTGTGTCTAGAAAGCGTAGACATCTGTAGGCATGTAGAACTCTTGAAATGAATTTATTATGTTGGGAAGAGATCAAATTCCTTACTGTCTCGACAGCTACATTTCCAAGCTCAGAACTATCAGCACCTTACTTTTAAATGATTAGAAGAACTATTGCACTCATACCAAACTGTGCAAAAGAAAAATGAATAATAATTTAAAAAAAACAAAAAACAATTGGGCCCATACAGTGGGAGATGCTAAAGTGAAAATCAAATACAGGGTTATTCACAAAAGTGATAATTCAAAGTGAATTTCAAATTTAAGGTCAAGATCACTGAATTGGTAAAAAATCGCTAAGCCCCATATGCTGTCTGCTTGACTACCCAGTCCTTAAATTTGAAATTCACTTTGTATTTTCATTTTTGTACATAACCCTGTTAATGTATACACTATTCCAATTTCAATGTATATCTTTGGGTACTACAGACACATATACCAAAAGGGGAAAATAAATAAAACAATATATATATATATATGTATGTTATATATTGAATTTGTACGATGTGGTGGTGTGTAGGCAGGGCTTAGCATTTTGTATTGTGTGTAGGTAAATGATTGACAGTTTTATGCAAACTTCCTGGCACCCATTGTACCATATTTAGTTGACTGTCTACATGAAAAGAATTTAACACAACCTCTGCAATGAGCAAACGTAAATTTGCCACATTTATTATTTATTAGCTGCATTTAACTAATAGAAAAAAAATGGATGTGAAAATGTCTCGGCATGTTTTCAATTGCCCCACTACTGATTTCTTTTTTAGGTCAGAGGACCTTAAGTGTTTTAATTGACTTGCTGCCCTTCATCGCAGTCAAGTGGTGACAGGCTCAGAGCTCAATATGGTCAATGACTCCTGGAAACTCTCAGTGTGCTGTGCTTACACTCAACAACCATGGGCTGGTCTAAGCAGCTGAATGAGGGTCAGAAAATATTTATAATGGATGCTTACAAAGCAGAGGAAGGTTACAGCTAAATGATTAGCACTTGTAGTTTCCACTGTCTGAAACAGTCCTTAAAGGGACACTCCAGACCCCTAAAAGCACCCAATTTCATCAATAAGAAGATGATAGAATGACTATGGTTTTCCTTTAAGCATGGAATTTAGGAGGAACTGCTGACGTAACAGCAGTATCTCGAAGACTAAGAAAAGTCTTCACTAGAACTACTTTCAAACTGGTTAGGTTTGCAAACTTCAAAACACAACAAGGTAGATTTTGCAGGCTCTGAGTAGTACATTGGTCTACTGTGCAGTCATGCTTACACAAATATTATTTGCATGGAAGGGTCTCATCACAGTAACACAACATAGACCAGAAGCATTTCTGATTAAGTAAATCTGAGCTCTATGGCTAAAACGACCAAATGTACATTTTAAGAAAAAAAGGAGAAGCATTTGAAGAAAAGAACACATTGTTAAAGCTTAAAGTTGGGATTGGTCTCTTGTACATTTGGTGGGGGTGTATAGCCTCTGGTATCACCTGAAATATTGTAGGTAAAAATTGAATGTAAAGAATGGACTTTACTTATCGAAAAACAACTCAAAATCAACCACAAACAACTTCATTAAATGAAAGATTAAGATTATGGAATATTATTCGAGGTCTCCAGAATAATATTAATGACAATTTCTGGGTTGATCTCAAACATACCATGCATGAGACAAAGCCTAGGAATATTTCTGAAATAAAATATTCTGTAAGGAAAAGAGTCGGAAAATTCCTAAAGAAGGAATAGAAACCTTTTAGGTGGCTACAAAAAATGTTTGGAGACTTTGGTTTCTGCCAAAGCTGATGTTACCAAATACAGACTGACAGTCAGTCGGAACGGTCATATTTCCTGTTTTCAGTCACTTAAATTTGGCAAATAAATCTGTGCAATAAAATTGTTTTTTTTCCCCACTCAAGAGGGAACATGGATTTTTTTTCCACATAGAAATCCAACAAATGATTTTTTTTTAGTGCCCAAACATTTGTACACTGCTCTATGTTTTATACGACTCTAAAAATGGCCTCATATTAAATACTGAAGTTCACACAAGAGATACAGAGTAATGAAAAGGCATAAAAGCAGAATACGTTGTATACGAATCCTTGTTAAGCCTGTGATAAATTTCGTTAGTAATCCCAGTGATGGACTGCAGTGTCACCTTGTTATACCTTAACAAGCTGCCTTCTCTCTTTCCCATCGGAACCAACACAGTCAATTATTTTCGGAAGATTGAGGCCTCCAGCCAAGCGGAAATGGGGTTTAAATCCGCTAATTGTCACCAAGTTTTCATATTTCCCACTAGGATCAACCTGATAAAAAAAAGGAGAAACCATGGTCTATTTACCAATCTCTTTGAAATAAGTCCGGGTATATGGACTGAAACATTGATGGTTTGTAAGTGTGTGACTTAACACAATAAAAAGCATTACTCTTATCACGAAGTCTTCTGGAGTACACTTTCTAGGAGTTATATATATATATATATATATATATATATATATATATATATAATGTGTTACTATCAGCCCAGTAAGTGAGGTGCAATGCAAAAAATGCCTTTTACAGGGTTTTGTATAAACCAAACCATGTTCTTAGCAGAATTTCCATGATGTGTACAGACCTCATAACAGGTAAAATTATCCCAGATACCATAGAGCAAATTATACAGGACATGAGAAGTTTAACAAAAAATTACAAATTTTTTTATAGACCACATAAGGATGAAAAAGCAAGTATACATTTTAAACCTTTGACTTTGATGTTTAAACAGGTACTATAGATGGTGCACTAAGCATGTTTTATGAGTAAAATGGGATATTACAAAGCTCACTGAGTTTACTATGAATTCAAAAAGTGTGAAGTTGAACAGAACAACAGTGTATTCTGTGGGGATATTTATGGGATGATGATATTATACAGTTGAGAATTGACAATTATTTCAATTCTCTTAGATCTTAGAGATCGTTATCATGTAAGCGAAATGTATTCCATACAAATAAAATCACAATTTGTTATAAAAATAGATATAATTTATTGTGACAAATTAAAAATAATAATAATATGTAACGTGTGATAATAATCAGTGAATATTTTTAGTACAACGTCGTATACAATGGTAATGGCTAAACATACAAAGCTACAGCATCAACTGATTTATGAGGGTACATCACAGACACAGAAAGCAAAACTTCACACAGCACAGCGAAAAGTCGTAAAACCTTGGCTAACAGTTAGATCAACTGAGTAACCCTTTCAATGCTGGCTAGATCCTCCTAGGCATATAGTATCCTATTCTCATGTAATTTTCAATTAAAATATCATTTGAACCAGGTCAATCATTTCCTGGAACCATCCAATAAGAATAATCTATCAGATTTTTACAAAAGCCGAATTTTAATTTGCCTAAAAAGATATCTTATCTTATTTTAGAGCAAATCAATACACCTGGATAAAAACAGCGGTATGCTAACACGTGATAATATCACATTAATATATAATTATTCTTAATTCCACCAGCAGAATGGAATGCTTATAACTATATATTCTTTAGTTAACTAAGATTTCTAAATATTGAAATCGGACTGTGATTTATCCAGTCATATATCATGCTATTAGATTTTAATTAATTTAGATTAATTAAATAAAACCAGCATAATTACCAGTTATGCAGATGTTCTCATCAGATGAATAGGTAGTCCCAGGAACCTGAATGCGAGTATGATTGATTGTATGGAGGTGTGTAAGTAACAGAGAAACGTGATGTTGGTTAGAAAGTAATAGTAAAATTCTAAGTGTCAAGGAGTGTTTGAGTTGTGTCCAAGAGAGTTTGAGAGTTAGTCCCAGAGAGTCTTGAACATCGGTCCTGTATCTCTCTGAATGTCTGAATCTGAATGCCCAAACTAACCTCCTCTCTTCCCTTTGTCCTAACTTTTAAAGGGCCAGACTCTCTGTACGTCACTAGTTGATAAGGCCAATAGGAAACTGTAGGTGTGTCTACGTTATATAGTTTTTGGTCAATAGAGGGCGTAATTGCCTAATTAAACCTTCCTATCCAGGAAAGAGTTAACTTTTCCTGATGACGATTTTGACGTCATTTGGCTTATCTAAAATGACTACCATAACTTAAATTTTCTGTCAGTTCAAAGCGTTTGCCTCAGTCTTTGTGGCAACGACTTTGATCGTAATTTCTAAAATTGACAGTTCTAAACTCAATTTCACCCCTTAATTACAATGGGACCTTGTAAAATTTAGAGAGTAAAATTAATTGCTTAGTCTTCTCTGTCACTAGTGTCTGTGTTTAAAATTATTTCTATTCCATTAACATTTAAACAGAGCATTCCATCCCCCTGCTTCATTGCTTATCACTTGGCTTGTTTACATAATGCATTCCTTAGCTCGGGCTAGTGGCTAGTTACAGAAAGGAAAGAAATTTTGTGTCTTTGTTGGCCTGAAATCCAAAATGGAGTCCGCTCTGTTCTGAGTGACTCTGGCAATATACACTTTTAATTTCTAACTTAGCACAAAATGTCTGCCGATATAAATATCCTGACAATTCACATACCTTGATTTCCATTGTTGGAATCACAACATCGTGTAAAGTTTTCAGTTTAGTGATGGGCTGATCAGATGGAATGGGGATGGCACCTAATTGGAAAAAATGCATGTATAAGCACATCCAGGTCATGTAATTATCATGATCTGCCACAGTAAAACATGTTTTTTTTTTCTATTATGCTTTCTCCTCTCTCTCCCAGGTATCGGTTTGAGGCGGAAGTGGTGCCCAGCGGACCCCGAACAAGAAATTAAATAGATTTTCACTTCTTACAGTGGGGGGGATAAGGGGAGAACAACATGGCCCTCCTGACACCATAACCCTTACAGTAAAAGGATTGTTCCTTTAGATAATTATTTCACTACATATTCAGATTCGTTCATGCAATATGACATGCATGCATTTGTAATCTGTTTTTTTGTGATTCCTTTATAGCAAAGTCTACATATTAACATGTATGTGCCTGTTCAGCGTCAGTCACATGTGGACACGATGTGTATCTCCTCTTTCCTGCTATTCTGACATTATATTTTATGGTGTGCTTTGATGCGTGCCCTTGGCATTAACCAATATTCTATTATTTCTGTACTGTGGGGCAGGAAGTGCATATCCAAACAGGATGTTAAGAATTAGGTACTTTCATACTTACTTCTCTGTGATTTCCAATTACTTGCATCCATATTGGCTAATATGATATAGGCATCACAAAGCCTTTCGACATCTTGTACCATGCGAGGTCTATGTTTCTTTATTGTGTTCACTATACGGGATGCTGCTTCCATTCGATCCTTTTGAAACAGTGGGTTCATATTAAACACTGGGCACACATTTTAAAAAGAGTAACATGGTAAAGTAGTATAATTAATACCCTCTAAATAAACTCCCCATCATCTCAGCTTGTTCATTCATTACAATTATCCACAGTTTTATACTATCAATAACATGCGTCCTTCCTTATCAGGGTGCATTAGAATATGATCCATAAGTAAATTTAAATAAGATACATTTAACGGGAAGATATATAAATGAATATACACATAGCTTTCGTTCTTGCTATATTTAGTGCGCTGTGTCTGCCAGATAAAGTTAGGAAATATTATTGTATTGCATTTTATGTAATAAGGATACCATGACATTTTTCCAAAATACATTTTCAACATTTTTACTTTTATATTCTTTCTTTTGCAAATGTGTCTGATTTTAAAATGATCGGTGTGCAAACGTAGGGAGTAATCAATCTCATGTGTCTTGACTTTCATGCAATATTAGGCTCAGCCAGAATGTTAATTAGCCTCCACTCAACCCAGGAAGAAAAGTCAATAAAAATAAATAGATGAAACGCAGTATATAGACATAACAAGGAATTTAACTGAATAACAAAAAAAATAAACAACAAAAAGCATGTTAAATGGCCTTTCCAACCCGCATTCCTAGTAGAATATAACCTTATCTTTAAGAGATTCCCAGCTCCAAGTTAAAGAAAACACTTTAATTAAACCTAACATTGTTATAATAATTCAGATATTAATTAGACTCATACAAACAATTGTTCTAGTAACAAACCCTAAAAATTCACCTCATCGTGTTGAGAGATCTCCTTGGGGGCGTTTTTGGTGAGCCGTCCTCTTTTCTCTACTTCCGGTTTCTTTAAGACATCATCTTTATTAGCATTGGCCAAAGCGAGGATAATGAACAGAGTGTGGTAAGGATGATCCAGGCAAACTCTGCTTATAAGCTGCCAAAAAATAGAAAACTTGCAGGTTTGGGAATGTGCTTCTTATTGAAAATATTTTTTAACCATCACAAAATGGCTTTATTCTCTAATACATTCTTTTTTTTATACGATACAACATTTTTCTCTCGTTTTTGCTTTACAGAGTAGGCATACATATGTTGTTTGTTTGTTACACTCATTTAGTTCAACCACATACACATTTTATTCAATGTTTTTTTCGATCATATTTACACACATTGCCTATAAACGTTTCCTTACTATGTTATGAATATTACATTTCGATTTATGCCAAACTATTTTATTTTTATTTTTTTTTAATTCTTTATTTTTATTGTGCACAAGATAACATAAAAGCCGACAATGCCACAACAGCATAGTACAAGCCCATTAAAGCAAGATTATTCACATAGATGGCATAGGGTTATTGGCACATTTTTGTATTTTTGAAGATAAACATACATCGAGTTGTAAGTTACGAAAGTGACAGGTAGTAACATCATTGAATGAAACGTAGTGGGTTTTGTGAGAGTAACTTAACAAAATGCATATTCTAACAGCATGGCTGGTCTGAATAGTGCTACACAGCTAACTGGTCCAAAATAGGCATTGAGGTGGCTTGTTATGCTAAGCCTAGTATAATTGAATGAGTATGTGAGGAGTGCAATACTCAGTCGTTTAACTAATGGCTTGTCTAATAACCTAGATTAAACATTAGGGATGGGACACTAATTAACATAGGTGCTTCCAAAGGCTGTTAGTAAGTAAGTTTAACGGTATGCTGTACTATAGAACTTAAGATGTAGACATGCTAGTGTTAAATGGTGTTTGTATGAACATTATATCACCCTGGCTGGATTAGAGTTCTTGGGTTGGTTTGCGTTCCAGGGCTTTTCGGCTCGGCGGGTCCGTGCGGCCGGGAGCGAGTGTCCTCTGGTGCGGGGGTTCAAGCAGCGCCCCTCCGGGAGTGTTGCTGTGTTGCTCGTTGGTATCTTTTGGGCTGCTTCTCCGGCTGGCCATGGGTACCTCTTCTGGACTTCCCGAGGTGAGCGCCTGTCAGGACGGATGTTTGGGCACTGTGTGATACAGTTGGCTGCTGGATGAGACCGCTGTTATGGCCGCCGATGAATGTTGTCGGCCTTGCTGTGGGAGTTCCTTGGTCTGTTGCGAGGTTGGCAGTCTCTGGCGGTGGAAGGTCGGGTGCAGTGTGGGCTGGTTCCGCTGCCCTTGTGGCTCGGGCTAGGCCTCCTCCGCTGTTCGCCTTTGGCGAGTTCCGTGTAGTGGGCTGGTAAGTAGTCGCTTGTGGGGTTGCGGTGTCTAGTGTGAGGAGCTTGAGTTCTTCTGGCCCCTTGGGCTCTTGTCCAGAGACCCAGTTTGTTGCTCTACTCCCTGCGAGGGCGCACTCTCTCTCCCCGGCCCCAGCGCACATGGCATCCGCCATCTTGGATGTCGTGTTCAGGCCTTTGAGCGGGATGGTAGTACCTCTGGACCCTGGATGTGTAGCCTCTGGGTGAGGACCAGGATCACCCCCACCGGTCCAGAGGGGGGGGGACAGGGCCAGGACCGCCCGGGTCTTGATCTCCGGCTTCGTACCATTAGGCGGGATAGTGGGGCAGCGGCCGTCTGTCCCTCTCACCGCCGGCGTAGGCCCCAACTTGTTCGTTGCGGGCTTCACCTCCTGGGGACTGTAGCTCCGGTAGCCAGCCTCTCCCAGGATCCGGTAACTTCGTGGTTCTGAAGACCCTTGCTGCCGGTCAGTAGTTAGGTCATTTTCCATATTTTTAAGCATATTTGTGGGTGTATTGCAGGAGCTGAACTCATGTGCGACCATCCAGCTCGGCGGTCCGGCCCCGCCCCCCATGCCAAACTATTATTTACCATGAATACAAATATAAAAATAGCAATACAGCTGTAGAAAAAAAGACTTCAAAAGCACAATAAGAACTACTATCCCTGAGTAAAGTGGTGCCCGACATTAGCATCTCACATTTTTTTTTTTTTGGAAGTTAGAGGCCCAACAGCCTACCAATGATTTCTTACGGGAAAGCATCGGATTTGCTGAAATCATCAAGATTGATGATCTCAGCCCTTGCGGTGGGCCAGCCGCAGTAAGGGAAAAAAAGTGAGTAAAATGTACTTCTCAGAACTATTAAAGAGGGTCTGGGACCTAAACAGCCACACATGCACTATAGTGTCAGGAATACATGTTTGTTTTCCTGACATTATAGTGTTGGTTTGAATTATATATCTAGTATTATGTCATGTGCATTTTTATACCGTCAGGGTTATTAACTAAAGTGAGAATTCAAAGTGATTTTAAATTGAAATTCAAAATAAACAAATCAGAAAAGTTATCTAAGACAACTTTGCTTCTAGTTTGGTTACTTTGGCCTTCAATTTGAAATTAACTTTGACTTATCACTTTAGTGAATAACTCTGTATATTTAAGATTTTTGCTATATGCAAATTTCCCTCGGCATGGCTTTTAATAATTTCTAATTAATCTTACACACATTTAGAAAGCTAGCAAAGAACAGCATGACATAAACTATTAAAACAAACATTGCTTGAGACATCTCAGATTCAAAGAAATGGAAAGAAATGTAAGACAGTCCATTTGGTGTGATGCAGCATGGCCAGTTTGATGAAGTTGACATAAACAATACATACTGTGGCCTGGTCTTTAGACAGGAGAAATCACTTTACCGTGTGAATCTAGTTTTCCAGTGTGGCGAATTCTTTGACAATATATATTCAAATGGCATTGGTAGAATTGTCTTCCAAACAGGTATTGAGGAACCATATTTAATAATGTTAGTATTTGTAAACAATTCTACCTGTGTCATAGAACGTTACGTTACTATTTAAAGGACGGTCATGATTACGAGTCACTTTGTAAAAAAACTCACATCGTTAAGAACAGCAATAAATTCCAAACTGCCCATTTTCTTCGTTCCCATCCGAGCAGCGAGCTGGTACATCAACGGCAGAAACTTGTGGGAAGGTATCTTTGCCACATTTTGCTAAATGAAAAAGAACCACAATAATCATATAAGGGCTTCCTCCAATTCTGATTCTGTTGGACCCTCCTCAAATAAAATAAAGAGTGGTGTTTAATTAGACAGAGTTTATTCTATAAAAGATGCCTTTGAGGATTTATCACTGCGCACTGGTATTTGAAGTTTAAACCCTTATCCTAAATGTAAAGGGTAGTAAAATCCTGGAATGCATAACTTAATCAACAGACACCTAAATTGGGGAATAGTATTTAACAGAATATACAGACAAATGGGTTCTTTAACCCCTTAAGGACTGAGCCAAATGTACACGTTGTGAACGAAACAAAATGTAAACAAAACCTGGCATTTGCGCTACATATCTGTCCAACCGTAATTCACCTCTTTCATATTAAATGCACCCACCCTTATTATATATCATTTTATTCAGGGGAAACAGGGCTTTCATTTAATATCAAATATTTAGCTATGAAACATCATTTAATATGAAATAAATGGGAGAAAATAAGATTTTTTTTTATTTTTTTAGTTCTACATGACATTTTAACTGTCAATGTCATAATACTGTTTGCTTTTACTGCAATAAAATACACATTTGTATTCAGCAAAGTCTCACGTGTAAAACAGTACCCCCTATGTACAGGTTTTATGGCGTTTTGGGAAGTTACAGGGTCAAATATAGCACGTTACATTTGAAATTGAAATTCGCCAGATTGGTTACGTTGCCTTTGGGACTTTATAGCCCAGGAATGAAATTTACACCAAATGTACCATTTGCAATAGTAGACAACCCAAGGTATTGCAATGTCCAGTCTTTTTAGTAGTTATTTGGTCAAAACACTGGCCAAAGTTAGCGTAGTATTTGTTTGTGTGAAAAATGCAAAAAACGCCAATTTTGGCCAGTGTTTGTGACTAAGTGGCTACTATAAAAGACTGGACATACCCGCTTTGCAATACCTTGGGTTGTCTACTATTGCAAATGGTATGCCATCATAGGTAATTTTCATTCTTGGCTACCATAGGGTCTCAAAGGCTTAATTTTAATGTGAAAAATGAAACGGGAGGGTTAGTAAACAAAAACCGGAGGGCGTTTAGAGCCGCCTAAAATAGGGCGTAATTGTACGCCCTCCGGTCTTAAGGGGTTAAAGTGAGGGCAGTAATAGCCTTCAAATGCCAAGTACACTTCATATATGTACAAACTGTCTGCTGAGAGCTAATGGAATAGCTGACATGTTTCATAACAGCAGCAATATTTAACCCCTTAGAGACTAGACTGTTTTTCAATTTTCTTACCGTTAAGGACCAGGGCTGTTTTTACATTTCTGTGGTGTTTGTGTTTAGCTGTAATTTTCTTCTTACTAATTTACTGTACCCACACATATTATATACCGTTTTTCTTGCCATTAAATGGTCTTTCTTAAGATAACAATATTTTCATCATATCATGTAATTGAAAAAAATTCTAAAATATGGTGAAATAAAAAAAAAAAAAAAACACACACCTTTTCTAACTTTGACTCTCAAAATCTCTTCCACATCTACAACTGCCAAAAAACACCCGTGCTAAATAGTTTCAAACTTTTGTCCTGAGTTTAGAAATACCCAATGTCAACATGTTCTTAGCATTTTTTGCAGGTTATGGGGCTATAAGTACAAGTAGGACATTGCCATTTGAAAATATGTATTTTTAAAATTCATCAATAGTAACATTGTAACACTGTTATCTGTCATAAATCTCTGAATCACACTCCACATGTACATATTTTTTTAAAGTAGACAACCCAGGGTATTTAATATGGGGTATGCCCAGTCTTTTTTAGTAGCCACTTAGTCACAAACACTGGCAAAAGTAAGCATTTAAATTTGTTTGTGTGTTAATAATGCAAAAATCTATTATGAACGTTAACTTTGGCCAGTGTTTGTGACTAAGTGGCTACTAAAAAAGACTGAACATACTCCATTTGCAATACTTTGGGTTGTCTTCTTTTGCAAACTGTATGCCATGATGGGGGTAATTCTCATTCCTGGGCTACCATACGCTCTCAAATGCAACATAATCAATCTGGCAAATTTCAAAAGAACGGAAAATCAAACCTTATATTTGACCCTGTAACTTTTAAAAACACTATAAAACCTGTACATAGGGGGTACTGTTATAATCGGGAGACATCGCTGAACACAAATATTAGTGTTTCAAACAGTAAAACGTATCAAAACAATATCATTAGTGAAAGTGCCGTTTGTGTGTAAAAAATGCAAAAAAAACACCCTTCACTTTCACTGACAATATTATCGCTGTGATATGTTTTACTGTTTTGAAACACTAATATTTGTGTTCAGTGAAGTCTCCCGAGTAAAACAGTACCCCTCATGTACAGGTTTTATGGTGTCATGGAAAGTTACAGGGTTAAATACAGTGCTAGCAAAAAAATAAGAAAAAAAAGAAAAACAAAAAAAAAATAAAAAATAAAAAACAAACAAACCTTAATCACACTGTTGACTTCAGACACAGCAGAATTCTCCAGCCAAAGAGAGCACAGTCGGAAAATCCACAAGTCATGTTCCTCTCCGGAGACAAGACAGCTGATGTAGTTCTCTAAGGCTTTGCACAGGAACCGTTTTCGGTCCTCTCTCAAAGCTGAAATGGCATTTTCATCAAGCTCCAGCTCTCTCTGAACTTTCACGGTATATCTAGCAGAAAGAGTATGCATAATGCCATCACATAACTGCAGTTATAACATCTGGTATCTGAATGGCTGATTGTACAGAGTGTCTAGCAGGTGTCACTGATTTTTAATTAGCATCTCAAGTGACAGGGTGCTTATGTAGGGGCATGGGGTCTACAACGTGTAATTGCTACACAGTTCATGGATTTATCTAAATCCCCTCAAATTAAAGCTGACAGTCTGCATTTTTCTTTGCATTTTATATCCATAGAGCCCATAGAGGGCCAAAACAACAATCCTGCATCACTGCCTGTGTCATATAGAAGTATAATAAATGGGTTAAATATACATAACTTGAATATTTATTTACCTGTTATTCTGAACCTTGTGCTGTCTCATGAGTCCAACTTCCTCTTTTGCTTTCCTGAGCAAAGCCTGCTTGTTTTCAAACTCTGAGGATTTCATGTAATTGTCAATCCTTTGATACTGAGCATCCGAAAAGCGAGCTAGGGAAAGGAAGGCCTTTGTTTTCCCCTCCTGCAGTTTGTCACCCTCGCTGCCACTAAAATGATCTGCTACCTCCACGGCCTAAGACATGGACAAAGAGTAAAGGTGTAACAGCAGGACACACGCACCCAAAGCCTCATTACGTTTTCTGCATTATTTTTGAACTTACAACACTGAACAGTCCACAATGTGAAGATTCACAATAATTTGAACTGCAAATCTATATATCTTGGTAACTTGCATTTTAATCAAAACTATTTTTTTAGCCTAAATGCTTCCATGATAACCTTACTCCATATTTCACAAATGTTCCCACCATGTGTCGTAATCTTCTATTGAATGCCTGTACACTTTGTTGGCCAATACAATAATCCTAGCTTGTAAATGGAAACCTCATGTGTCCTATTGTATGTTTGAAGTAACTGACGTGATAAATTCTAAGAACAAAAACAGGAAATGTCTCGTTCTATCAACATTCTAACAATAACGACCGTTGATTAAACCCAGTCCTTTAAGATCATCATAAGACACAAAGAGTAAGATGAACGTTCTGTGGCTTTCTCAAGGATCTCAGGCTTGTTTCAGTAACTAATATTGAAATGTGTCATCATTACTTGTGCAGCCTATTGGTTCCTATCACGTCAGGTTGTAAAGCCTGGAAATCCTGGCACTGACATTTTTTTTTAGTGTTTCATGTTTATTATTTTTTATTTCCTTTTTCATTCTGTACAACTACAAAATCACACAATTTGTCAGTTTGGCTGTCACAAAGTCACATCCCTTTTAACTTCTCTGCAGACATCGTAAAAATTACTGCTTTGTCTTTTGGAAAAATTGGCACATACCCAAGCAGCCAAAAAAAAAAGTAGCAATCAAAATGTTTTGCACAGCCCCCACCTTGCCTCGATTGCCCGCACAATGTAATATAGCATTCACTAAATAAGCATCAGGCTTGACAGCAGGGGGAATAAAGTATCCAGTGTTAGACTGCACTGGTTTAAAGCATAATTCTAGCCATGATTATGCAGTACCTGACTCCTGAACTTACCTTTTCCAGATAGTTCTGAATGATGACAGTGGGGTTTTGCAAGCAGGTCTCCGCTAGCCAGTTCCCACACAGCCGCAAGCATTCAGCATAAATCAACTGTATGCTGGAATCATTCTCCACCTTCAAATAAGATGCAGGGCAAAATACTATTGTTAATCATATAGAATTGACCAAATATAACATGGAAGCACTTGTTCAGAAGAGCACACAATCACTGACTATATATAGGGTGTCTGCTTTTAATTGTTACAATTCTTTGGAATGCCCTGCAACCAGTTGCTACAGGTACCTTTTATTTCATTTCTGCATCTCTAATAATTAAAATGTTGAATAAATGTTTAAAAACCTATTCCATTTATATTTGGAATCTTTTTATATTGGATTCCTGGTAAGTGGGTACAATTATAGCCATTCTCCCTAGCAGGCTCTATTTTTTTCAGCCCGACACTTCCAGAATTTACTTTGATTAACGTTCAAGCGAGAGTTAGGTATAACGTAACTATTATACTAAATATATATATTTCTTTGAGCTTTCAATTCAGACTGTAATTTTCAGGATTAAATATGAGCTCTAAGGGATTGCCCTAGACAGGTTGTAATACTACAACTCTTACTTGCTGGCCAATTCGTTCCCTTAATTTCACTTTACTTATTATATTTTGTTGCACATTATTTGTATGTGTTTTGTGTGGCATATTTTTAATAATAAAGACTTAACTGGAAATGTGTTCTCATTACCAAGAGGAATAATGTATTGGTGGTAATTTTCTGAGGTTTAGTTAAATTTTGGGAATTTAGCCTCATTAGTTAGTATATAGTATTTAATTTGGGTTATGCCCTAATTACCCACAAAGTGCTTTTGCATCAGGGCTGGGCATATTCTTTTCTGCACCTAAAGCTATTTCTTTTTTGGGAGAATAGAAACTGTAGCATAGTTTAGGCACTATGCATTCCAATATTATCAGATTTCCATTTTAATATTGAGAAAAAACAAAAGTTTTGGAGACAAACCTCAAAGCTGTTAGATTCCAGTTTATGAATCATTTGCTTCAGCAAGCCCAAGGCGAGAATCTGTTCCTTTTTAGCCCAGAAGATCTGAGCCTCTTCAAGTTGCCACTCTGACACCATTAACTGGGTCGGGTTGTGTTTCTTAATCTGAAACATTGCTTTCTCTGGAAGCTGTGGAAACATACATCGCAATATAGTTACTGGCAAGAACTCCTGCAATAGCAAGGCATGCTTGGAAACTCTTGTGAGTAAAATAGGATTGCCGTGTAAATTGTTAGACATGCATGTTCTGTCAGTATATGTAGCAATAGAATTGCAGTAAATTTAGGAGAAGCAGCCTCATAACCTGAACAGATTCACTTTATAGGATAAACCGCCTTACTCAGTAAGATTGAGAAATTATATAATACATAAGCCTGGTGGTGCAGGGCTTAGCTCATTGGCTGAGACAGTTTCAGGTAATGAGCTGGCACTGAACAGTAGACATTTCTGGCTCTCAGGAATGAAGGGAAAGGAGCAGGTAATTGCACCACGCTGACCCCAGGTTAAAACGTCATACCATGGTATGACTGCCAACCTGAATGGTCGTCTGATCTCAGAGCTCCCGCTTCATCCACTTGCAATTGAGCACTAGCCATTAGCATCGAACCTCACAAACCAACTTAAAAGAAGCGAAAAATGCCTGGCACAGGAACTGAAGCAAAAACACTGCGCAGAAAAGATAGGAGAATGGAAGGAACCCAGTATCTCTGTAGCAGATGTTTGCCACCTTGCGCCCTATAGGGAGGCTGCAAGATGGCCACCAAGCTAGCCCACATGGCTCCCTCTCACCGGCCTTGACGGCGGACAGCGAGACCCCGTAGGGCCAACAGGGTGACACCAACCAAATATTGGCCAAGCTTGCAGAGGTTCGCAGCTACCTGGCTGGATAAATCACCCGAAGCTCCAGGGAGGTAAAAGTCCAGATCCACGCTCTAAGAGCCCGCACATAAAACCTAAAGACCAAGGTCGAGCAGATAGCACAGGCCCACAACGCAACAGCCATCCACTCAAACTTGATGGAACAACACGTACCCAAACTAGAGATACTGGTAGAAGACTTGGCGAAAAAATCCAGACACAACAACCTCTGGTTGAGAGGCCTACCTAAAAATCAAAATGAAGGCCCTCTGATAGCCATGATGAGGCATTACTTCAAGAACTGATTGGCGACATATGAGAGGGAAGCGCAAAGTCCTCCATATGTGTCACAATATAGGAGCAGTCCTACAAGACGTTATTTAGGTGGTACATGACACCTGCAAAGCAGTATCGTATGAAACTAAGCACTACTGACTCATGCTGGTGGTTGTGCGGACAAAAAGGGAGCTACATCCACATGTGGTGGCAACGCCCCAGGGTTCCGGAATTCTGGAAGAGGGTAGTGACCCTGAGTTCAAACATTCTACAAAGGCAACTGCCCCTTTACCCCATGGGCATGCCTATTGTCCAGACAGACTGATGGCCTCCACAGACACGAGTAGAAGCTGCTCAACATGATATACCTAGCAGCACGGAGAGCCCTAGCTTAACACTGGGCAAACCCGACATACCCTCAATAGCTCAGGTGATCACTTAAATACGAGACAATCACCTCATGGACAGGCTGACTGCACAGGTCAGAAACACCACCGCCACTTTCCAGAAAGTATGGTACCTATGGGAGCAATATGACACTTAGGCCCCACAAAAGGAGACAGATAGGTCAGAGAGACCCTGGGCCAACATCAGGGGGTAAACAGCCTCCCACCGGTGCAAAGATACCACTCACAGCACTCTATGACGATGTGATAGGGTAGGGATCTTTCGAGTTGTATTAGCTAACTAGGTACTTACCTATTATTACTATGTGTTACAGTTTAAATGTACAGTTATTTCCTTAGAAACTGTTATACTAAAAAACCATGACGGACCACAAACAGGCAAAACATGGTCATTTAAAAACATGCATAACCTAACATGTAAACCTTTGCCTTCTGTATCAATATTTCATTGTTATCTGAAACTTAACCTGGCTTTTGCACAAGCCATTGCTTTACTAATGTATCGTAACGTTATGACATGGCAAAATTAAAGATTTAAAAAAAAAAAAAAAACATCAGACCATTCGCAAATGGTACCCCTACTTAAATTGAGACGTGCCAGGGCTCTCCTTGCACCATAACTACTACAACACACTGTCATGGTTTTGGTGTGTGAGTGTTCCTTTAAGATGAACATTTAAGAAACTTTGTATTTGTAAATTTTTTCTAGCATAATTAATAAAGTCAGGATTACCATTCTATGACCAAGTTATCAGTGTTTAAAGCATATCCAGAAATCTTGGAATCCTGACATTTTTGTGTGGTTAATGGCAGTTATGTTTTCGATAGGGTATAAACCGAAGGGTACCTGTGTGTTTCCGGCATTTCTAGCTAATTTGGAGAATTCCACCAGGTGCTTGGTGAGAATGGTTTTGAGGCAGCCCTGATTGCAGCTATTTGTCTCTTTTTCAAGCATTGTCTCCAAGATAACAGATCGAAGAGCCATAACCGGCTCATGGAATCCAAAGTCGCTGTCTTTGAGTAGCTGGGATTGCCTCTGCCACTTCGTGTAAGTCTCATTTAAATCATGATCGGTGACCGACCTGAAAGCAAAATACAATCCAAGCATCCATGTGACAATACAATAATCAGCTCATCTTAAATCTTCAAAATTAGCAATTTTTAAATTACTGCTTACATTCATGCGGCTCCATTTTTCTGCTCTACCAGTTTCTAAATATATATAGATTTTTTTATTCATTTTTTTACAAGATATCTGCTCAATGCAGCCAAGGTTCGTATATCAGCCATTTGGAAACAGTGGGTTGTTCCCACTCTTCAGCTGTGACAGTCCAGGATAAGATATATGACATGAAATCTTTGACAACAATGACAACATCACTAAATGACATCCAGCTATGGATGTTGTGGGTCCAAGGATGGGTGTCTTTTGTTGTAATCTTCGCAAAATTTTAAATATTGTCAAACAAAATTGTGCATTCTTACTCAGGAGGTGAATAGTTGCAAAACACAGATCTGTCTCTTCTATTCTTAAATGTTGATGTATTTATACATTCTCATTGCAAAAAACATTATATAATATAAAATAATTATTTAGTGAAAGTGATTCCACAAGGACATACCTGGAAAACACGTGACTGACATTTGTAAGTTCTCCAATAGCTTGCAGTCTACTCAGCGCTGGGTAGAGAGAGTACACAGACTCCAGGCTCCCTTTGCACAGCTCTTCCACTTGTGTAACCCTGTACTCAAATCACAAACAATTAATTGGTTTTCCTTGAATCCTTATATTCTCAGACACTTGCCAAGAAAGAAAAGAATGACAAGCTATTGGTACAGCAAGTTATCCTGTGCATAAAGGTCAGAAATTCAAAAACAAATCAAGGCAAAAACAATTATGCAGGCTGTTTTTCCGTATTTCGTTTTACAATAATCCCATAATATATGAAGATAATTACAGCCTATGCAACCATTGGTCAGCTGTAAAATTAATCAGATATCTGTAATGTCTTAATCTACTGTAATAGTTGCTGGTAGTTATCAGACAGACTGATTGATTTCCAAACAAAATTATCATCTTTTTAAATTTAGACTTCAACCACAGCCTGGGAACTGATGTTTGAAGAAATTGCTTATAGTGATTGAATATAGAATTGATGTTCTAAACAAATAGTCAGCAGATAATTCTGGGGATTTTAAGCCCAAGAAGGGCCAAATTATATACAGAACCTTACAAGCATTTAGTTTTTATTTATTTGTATGTCTATATATAAACCCCTATATCTCTGTAAAGATTGGAAGATCTCCTTACACCCAATTATTTTAATAGCAGCAGATCATTATACTTAATTTCATCATTGAAAAGTGATCACTTCCAATTACATTTTACTTGCCTGGCAAATTTAAGGTGATCATGGAAGACAGAAAATTCTTTGTCCCTCAAAGACTGTACGGAACGGTAGAGCGATTCGTGATGGCCAGGTCCGGCAGCATCATGCCTTAGTGGGAGGTAGTAAGTGTACATTGTATAATTTATTGCATTTACAATCAATTAAAATACCTTGATAAGAATATTGTTGTTGTAATGGATTACTTTTAAAACCTCATGTGACGTGTAAATGTTAGATCTAAAATTACCAACGTAATGTCATAAACTTTGATATATAATTACTGGAAATTCTGATTTGTTTTATAAATGAGATATTATATATATATATATATATATATATATATATATACACACACACAAAAAAAAAAACAAGAGGGCTGCACTCACCTGAACATGCATACATTATAGGGTGTTGCTGGGGCCAAAATATACAAAGATACAGAATCCAGCGCACTCTCTTATTCACTAAACAATGATTTCAAATCTTAGAGATTGTTATAGTTTTATTTAAAAACACCTCACGTAGGCAAAAAAAGATGGGGATTTAGTTACATTATATGATCATACATTGCTTAAGCCTGCCAACTACGTCAAAGTACCCCATATTCGGCAGGTCCTATCCTAGTAGCCTAATGCTTGCTCTTATGAGATTAATCCACTTACTTGGGAAATGCTTCCTTACTGGGACTCTCTGCAAGTCAAGGCTAAATAGGGTCCTGGAATGAGGCACCTGTGACACAGAGGGGTGCAAAACCAAGGAGTTGGCCTAGACTCCCAAATATACAAACAAAACCAAGAGGTGCCTTATTCCAGGACCCTATTTAGCCTTGACTTGCAGAGAGTCCCAGTAAGGAAGCATTTCCCAAGTAAGTGGATTAATCTCATAAGGGCAAGCATTAGACTGCTAGGGTAGGACCTGCCAAGAATGGGGTACATTGACGTTGTGGCAGGCTTATGCAATGTATGATCATATAATGTAAATAAACCCCCATCTTTTTTTGCCTAAGTGAGGTGTTTTTAAATAAAACTATAACAATCTCTAAGATTTGAAATCATTGTTTAGTGAATAAGCGAGTGCGCTGGATTCTGTATCTATATATATATATATATATATATATATATAAAATATATATATGTATAAACTGTGGCATGAATATCAATTTAAACAGCTTGCCAAGCACTAAATAATAAGATTTGTCTTTGTATAAATGATTGAGAAACTCTGAGCATTTTTGTGATATTATATCTCCATATATAAAGATAGGAGGCTTTCCTAATCACACTGTGTTTAAATAGAGCATCTCATGATTTATCCTTGCTCTGTGACTGTAAGCCTTGCACAATGTAGACACAATCAAGATTCGTTAATGCACACTTTTTCTCGGCTAACTACATGTTATTTGGCTGGTTAAGTTGTATTTCTAACAAATAAGGGCATTAAATACAGCAACACTCCTAGAGGAAGGGTAAGCCAGAAAATACAACATGTATTTACGTATATGTGTGCATTACATTGGCTATTAAAAATGTAATCTCTTATTGCAAATAATAATACGATAAAGACAGTATTCCATAACGACATATAAAACGGATTTAAAATAACTTTTTCTTAATTCTATATTTCCCTTTTTAAACTCTGCTCGTTAATATCATACATACCTGATGGGTGGGCTGTCATCCCATTGCATGTTCCTTAAAGCAGCTTGGTAGTGAATTTCATGGAGCTCAGCTGACCATTCTGCATTTTCACGGTCAAGCCCTCGTAGGTAGGTAAACAGAATGTGGCATAAGCCGAAGTTCTGCAAAGCCTGTACAAACCATTAAACAAAGGCTAAATAACAACTAATTATTCAATCAGAAGCTCTAAAATTCAGAAGTATTGGAATATTCATGGACTTTAACTGCATTCACATTCATTTATTTAATTTTTAAGCAGAGTGTTGACTATAAGGCACCCTTGAAGAATGTAAATGCTAATTTGTAAATTAAAATACCTTTCAGGTACAGGTCTTGTTTAATTAATATCCCTACCGAAATACCTATGTGCTGTTACTATGACATGTTTGTTGTGTTTCCTTTTGAGATATAGAAAGTATTTATTTTATGGCCACATTTAGTGTAAGCCCATAAGGTTACATCCTAAGTCCAGGTACCAATTTGAAGTGTTCATGGTGTTTGGAGTCTGTATGTTCAACATTCCGCTATGACCATCCTCCTTGTATCATATCCACCAAGCTGGCAGTGCCCGCAAATTAGGAAAGCCTTGTGTAGGGTCACCACTTGGGGATCTGTCCCCACTGAGCAGTGAGCTAAATCCTTCAAATAAATATTAGACATGCATATGGTATTCATTTTACAAGGTTTTGTAGTGACATAAATTAGCATTTTTTTTCTTCTAGAAATAAATTTAGTGTACACAATTTACATTCAATCTTTAGGTTCATACATGTTCATGGGAGGAGATATGACAAGTGGAGATCATGTTGGAATATTACCTGCATTATCCCAGCTTGACGTGTAGCTTGAGGGAGATTTGACTCTACATCATAAGTAAGCAAGGCATTTTCCCACTTAGCCTCGTGCTCATAGGTCCGGATTCTGTTTCAAGAAAATTAAGTAGATTGGTATAAACGCAAATTAGCACTGTAGCAGAGACAGACAGCACAAACTAGGATAGGCCTGGGAGTTGTGCAGTCAAGGTATTTAACTGAAACTAAATAATGAAACATACTTATTTGGTATGAAGGTCTCTTTATACATCAGAAATCTGCAATTGTTACAATTCTTATGCCTTGGTCCTACTGAACAATTTTTCCATATCCTTGCCTAAAAGTTACGTGCCACCACACAAGCGCATGGACATGAGCATTTTGTGTTACATTCACTGTATGGCAACAGACAGGAGAGTCAATAAGGAGTCTGTTGGTGTACTTATTCAAGTAAATGGAGTATCAGTGTTTGTGAAAACAGGGATGTAATGTTGGATGGGATTTATGGAATATCAGTGAGCAACTGACATTGGAAAAGCTAGTGACAACTCCTTTTTTTTTCTCCATACTTCCCATGTAACTATCCATTGATCATTTCCGTCATGCACCTCCCTTGTCACTTTTCTCTATCAAATTATCCTCTAATCTAATCCTCACCTTTACCATTTTTTTGTAAATGTATTTATAAGACTGTTCCATCTTGATAATATCTGCCTTTGGAATGAAGGGTTCCAATAGACAAGAAAAACAACTCTTACATGAAAGGCTTTTGATATGGCCACAATTCCTGAATGTAATTCTACTCACTATCTCACCTTGCAAGAGCTTGAAGCATTTTTCCTCCTCCGCAGCCGTATAAGCTATCAGGTTCTCCAATACTTCTGTATATCTCCAGTAACAAATCCTAAAATACATTTATATGCATTCAAAAAATATCTGAATCTGGTTACACTGCCAATCTTTTTATGTGACAAGATGACATATGACAATACGTTGTGCATTTTATGTTTTTAATTCACGTTTCTAATATTTATTTTTTCCTTGGAATTAAGTTTGTCCATGCTCTCCCTGATCCCTGCCAATAAATTGTTCTGTACAATATACATTTACTATTCTAACCAGGCATAGTCTTAGCGGTTCTTTTTAAAAGCCATGAGATGGAAATTAAGAGGGTCTTTTGCTCACAGTGCCCAAGGAACTATCAGTCATACTAGATTGACATGTCGTAAAAATAACTAAAATGTATTTTTAAGCTTACTGTGTCATACAGAGGAGACTTGGGTGGTATTTTGGTGCTAGACTTCCCATGTTGCTGGAACCAGTCTGATATGCTCATGGAAACCTATCTCACCATAAAATCAAAAGTGAGGTATGACTAATTTCCTGAACCTCTGAGTGAACACCAAACCACATTGTTTTTTTGCCCTCCACCTCATCGCAAACTATGTGGAAGAATGGGTAGGGGCAAGTTGTTTTTTCCAACGTAATGCAAACTCTGCATTTATATCAGGAAATTAATTATGATGGCTATACAGAATTATGCAAAAAAGGTTATTTGCAAGCCACGATAGTAATTCTTCTGAAAACTGATAATGATCTTGATACTGACTTCTGAGCATAACATATTGACTCCCTTCTTTCTCTCTTTATAAACCCAACAGGTATTAAAGGGACACTCCAGTGCCAGGAAATGGAATCGTTTTCCTGGTACTGCAGGTCCCCTCTCCCTCCCACCTCCCATCCCGGTTGCTGAAGGGGTCAAAACCCCTTCAGTGACTTACCAGAGGCAGCGATGATGTCCCTCGGCGCTGCTTCTTGGTCCGCCCACGCTCCTCCCCGTCACCACGTCAGTCGGCCGGGGGGACTGATCACGCACGCCGGCGGGGGGGAGGTGGGGGCGGCCTAATACGCATTAGACTTCCCCATAGGAAAGCATTGAAAATAATTTCAATGCTTTCCTATGGGGATTTTAGCGACGCTGGAGGTCCTCACATAGGTGGGGACGGCCAGTGACGCTATAGCACAGAAAATCTGTGCTATAATCCTGGAAGTGCCCTCTAGTGGCTGTCTAGTAGACATCCAATAGAGGAGGAGTTTATAAAAACTGCAATAATTACAGTTGCAGGGTTACGGGTAGTGAGAGTTGGCACCCAGACCACTCCAATGGGCAGAAGTAGTCTGGGTGCCTGGAGTGTCCCTTTAAACTCTGTTCTTACCTGCAGACTTATCCCTGTCTCTTCTTTGCTTTTCTCACTTAAACTGGTTATCATCATAACTTGACTTTCCTCTTCAAATTTAAGACTCTTTCGGGCACTGGTCATCGACCTGTTCATGAGAGAAAAATTAATAAGATGCAATATTATGAAGAAGGTGGAAAGAGAAGGAAAGGTTCTAAAGGTATTGAAGTGGAAAGAAAAAAGAATGGATTCTAGAGATGTGAATGCATGGACAACTAATTCTACTTGTATGGAGGATGGAAGGAAAGAGAAAGGATTCTGTAAATGTGGAAGGTGGAATGAGTGAGAATGGGTTCTCTTGGTGGTAAGGCTGGAAACAGTGAGATAGGATTCTACAGAAGCAGGAATAAGTAATAATGTATTTTACCAGTGTGGAGGGTGGAATAAGTAAAACTCGATTCTTCCATTAATAAATGGATACAAATGGATTCTATCAGTGGGGAGGGTGGAGTTAAAATGGATTTTATAGGTGTGGACAGTGGAATGAGTGGGAATATATACTGCAAGTCTGTAGAGAAGAATATGTGGTGAAAGCTACTACAGGTATGGAAGGTATAATGAATAATGTCTCAACATTAAATTTAGTTTAAACAGTTTAATGTGTTTTATAGACATGCCTTAAAAACAAGGCAAAAATAAATTGAATGTAAGCTCCACAAGTTGATTTCCACTTCTAAGGGCTGGTGGATGGGTGGGTAGGAGAGAGGGAGGGAGGCAATTAAGTCCATTCACTGCACTATTATTTGTGTGTTTTGTTTTTTTTTTTTTAAAATAGCATTTATGAAATATGTGATTAATTACTGGAAAAATCAGCATTTACATGTACAGATTGCAGTACACAACTACAAAAATGATATGCATTTTTACACAATTAAAATTTTTATTTGTTCATCATTTAGAGAAATAATTGGGGATAAAATATATTAGTGACTTAAATTTAATGAAACCTATATCTAAGTTACCTTGCTCGTTGCTCTCCGTCAAGTTTTATCTTGTCTGCGTAGATTTCAGCGTACCGTAAAGCAGTGAAGTGAGCGGCACAGGACTGGACTGCCATTGCCACCTCAAGGTAGTTCAGATCCAGCCAGAAATTGTCATCAAAGGCTGTTCCTGATACTGGCCTAGATATCAACATATCAGCTTGTTAAGCATTAAGCATTACCAAAAAAAAACTATGTACGTTTTTTAAAACAACAAAAGGTTCATTAAAGTAAGAAACTACAGTACGTACTATTACTACTAATCGACAGCCAGTGATAGGATGAGAGCATTGGCTGAAGGTTAAGCCTTCCTGACCATTGCTGCGTCCCAGAGGAGGAAATAAGAGGTAGAGAGGCGGAAGGACAAATTTGGGTTAAACCAAGTAACCAGTAACTCCAGCCCCCATTATGACTCCACTCAAGAAAATCCTTATGGGGCAGGAGTCAGCCAGGATTGTTTCTTTAATTACCTGAAATATACCTAAAAGTGAACACACTTGTGGTTTATAAGCTTATGTTAAGTTTTCTTAATCTGCAAGCTCTTCCAATTAATTTTTTAAGGACCACTTCATGTTCGAGGTAATCACGCAGAGCTTGATGACACAAAATGCCACTAATACTTCTTCGAGAAACACTTAGTTCAAGGTTTCTCTAGGAGAAGTATTGAATTGGCATGATTGCAGTGATTGCTACATTTCTGCCATGTCTCTTCTGGTCATCTGATTGGATAAAAGTCACAAAAGTTTAGCAGTGCATTAGAGAAAAATTAGGCTCAGAAGCTTTTCTTGTAATTCTGTCCCAGCGCTGAAACAAAGGTACATCTTATGGAAATGTTATTAAACAAAGGGAAATCACATACATTTATTAAGAAAAAAACCAAACCAAAATATAATTAAAAAAATATACATTTTTAAATCTTTTCTTTAAAGAAAAAAGAGAAAAAACACAAATCTACCTTTTTTGTTTCCTCAAGTATTCAACCACGCTTAGCATTGTACGCCTTGAGGCAATGTCCAGAGTCCCCCTCGCTAAGCAGTCAGACTCTGTGTAGAAAGAAAGGAAAAGGAATTACGTACAAGATTTATCAGTGGCCATGTTTTTTGCTGTATGTAATAATGTAATATCACATTCAAGTAAGAAGTGGAGAGCAGGTAATGTGTCTATTCTTTCAGGAAAATTAACTAGTCAATTAAACTCATCATCAGATACAGAGTTATGCCAAATGGGTAACGTAAATTTCTAACCCTATAAGTAACAAATGTAAGTCCTCTCTACAATTTATGTCTGCAATGAATATGAAGCACTAGACTTCTATATATTATAATGAATTCACCCTACCCTATATTGAATAAGCAGGAAGAAAAGATTTATGAGATATTTTGATGAAGGTGGTGACGTAGTTTATTTCTGAAAGAGAAATGAAGGTAAGTTCCTTTTCTGTGGAACTCCCTTCCTTTCTCCGTTAGACTTTCACCCAGTCTCCACTGCTTCAAAAAAATCTTTGAAAACACACTTCTTCAGGAAAGCATATCAATTAAACTGTTAGCGGGATTTCATCCCCCCCCTCCCCACAATGACTCTTCTCCTGCAACTGTCAAAAATAACCCAAGTTCTCAGTGAATAATTTTCTAGTAACCTATTTCATTAGCCATACTTCCATCTTTTGTGTCACTATACCCTATTCCCTCCAGCATGTAAGCTCATTGAGAAGGGCCCTCAACCTCTCTGTTCTTGTGCGTCCACTGGTCTGGATACAATTATGTGTGCGTTAGTCCACCCGTTGTACAGCGCTAAGGAATTTGCTGGTGCTATATAAATAATGAAATAATAATAATAATGCTCGACAAGAGAACGCATATGTGGTGTGTTGCTTGTGGAGGAAGAGAAGAATTGGTAGATTAAGTGTGGTGGGAGACAGGTAGTGGTAGAGAGCATTTACTATAAGACAGTAAGGGACACATTGTGTCAGAAGGAATAGATTTCTTGTGTGTTCAGAGAAGAACTGGTAGTTTGCTTGTAGTAATAGACAGCATGTACTTGAGAGTATTTATTGTTTTATTTTATTTTAAGGTGTATTTATTGTAGAATTGTATTAACTTATTTAAGACAGTCAAGCGATACATTGTGTATGGAGAGAGGAAAGTTTCAATTGCTTCTGTGGTAAGGTACACGGATAGGCTACTTTTTTTGAAAACAGGAAAATGGATCTTGCAAATAGTAAATGAGGGGAAGTGGTATAAAGTTTACTGTGAGGTGGAGATATAACTGTGGGAATTTCAGGGTTGTGAATTTTATTTGATGAAAAGAATGTAGCAGATTAATAAACTGGAAGTTGCATAATGTCATTTTATTCAGAGACCAATCTAATTCTTACATAAACCACTGTTGTAATTACCATACATGAACACAGCTCACAATAAGAAAATAAGCACCTGAATCTGAGCTTGCTGGTGTAGCTGATCTACTTGTGTTTGTTGCAGACCGACAGCATGATGTGAAAAAGCCCTGGATATGCTTTGATAAAAGTTTTCTCCAAGTTTCATTGGAGTCTTGAAGTAGAATATTATGGAAGAGATACGGCAGAGCAGCTTGACAGAAGTCTGCTTTTACCTGCAGCAATCATACAAACAGTTAAAATGCATAAAAGAAAATTCAGTTGGACTCAAATACATCAAGTTTAACCTATCACACATATCTGTTACTGATGTAGATTCATAAGAGGGCGAAAAACCCAAATTTGAAAAGATTTCAAACTAACAAAAAAAGGAATCCAGATTTTATTCAATAATCTGTACAGAATTTGTAAAGAACCCTTAACTCTGCTTCAAGCAAAATTTCCTTTCTTCAAGTCTAATTGGGTCATTATTCTCCTCTGGACAGTTTTCATTATGAAAGGTTACCAGAGAACTGTTTGTATGATATTATGTACATATTGTTATTATATCTCTTTTGAGACACATTTTCTTCTCAAGTAAAAGTTAAGTTCAGAATTTATAATCTTTCTTCATAACTAAAATTCTCCATTCCCCTTATTAATTTTGTAGCTTGTTTCTGCATTTATTTAAAAAATGTGCCCACAATTGCATGTAACATATTCAAGTCTCGTTCTTACAACTGATTTATATAGAGGCAAAATTATATTTTAGACTATGAATTAATGTGCTAGCAAATAATGAATGATATTACACATGGTTGTGTAATCTGTTGTCTATAACTATTCCGGAGTCAGTCTTTTGTGGTTTTCCCTAACTACACATGTTAAATCTCATCTCCCATTCAGTTTTTTGTTCTGTACTTTGCTGATAACGTGTGACTTTTTGTTGTTCTTTATTTGCCTCATTGTATTCTCTCCTTTGTCAATAAAACTCTTTTAAAACAAACAAAAAAACAGCCAAAACAGTCTGCCCCAGTGTTACTGATTAGGATTAAATTATTGAGATTGATGTATAGCAGATATCTGCAAGGCACCAAAGGACTAATAGCTCACATAGTTAATAATAATAATAATATAGACTCACCTCGCACATTGGCTTTAGTAACAGAAGAACCTCACTTTTCACGCCACCACTGTCTAGAATTGCGCAAGTCAGGGTTTTTAACCAGCTCTCATGGCTGTCATTCTGGGCTATCCAAAGACTGGAGTCATCTAAGATTTCCAAAGAACTGTCTGTCTCAATGTCGTCTACTTCCAGAAACTAGAAAACACAAATACAAAATACACCTATGCCTAAAAATATGCAAGTCCATGCAGGTCAAAATGAATAATATAAATAACAAATATTCTTAATCCATTAACCAATTTATGACCACATTGTTTTTAATATGGCTGGTGCAGCTAACAACATAGTGTAAATCATGATTTAAACTCAAGTATGTATAGCTAGCATATTAAATAATTTCAAAATACCACAATCTCGAAGTAATTTGCTTTATAGTAGTATAAAGAATACTAGAATACTGCAGTAAAACCTCCTCAGACCTTTCTGACAATATATATGCATTGCCGTCTTTAATTTATTCACATTGTATTCAATATTTAATAACTAATATGCATTTACGCTGTCATGTGCTGCTACAAAACAGATATGCAAAATATTTTCTAAGACATACATACTATCTATAATGACATCGGAAGCATTACATCCGATAAACAGAAAGAAACTGTATTTGCTTTGATTATGAATTTGTTTCAAAGTGAGAGTTCAAAGTGAATCTTAATTTAAATTGTAGCCAAACTGAAAGCGCAGCTGAATTTTTCGACTAGGACTATTTTGACCTTAAATTTTAAATTCACATTCAGTGAATTTTAAAATATAAGGTCAAAATAACTGTACTGGAAAATGAATTACTTAAGTCAGCTAATGTTGCCTTAAATTTGAAATTCACACAAACAAGGGTCTTGGTCAAGGGTTACTCCAAGCACCATGACCACTTCACTGATTTGAAGTAGTCATGGTGCTTGAAATCTGTGTGTGCAGCATTTCCTATACAGATATATTTAATGATGCTCCACAAGGTGTAACTCCACCCCTGGCAGTGTCATTGGTAAGTAATTAGCCAGCCTAGAACATGTGTTATGGAAAGGCTAATGTCAATTCTGTGAATATTCTATGCAGAGAGTTTCATTCCTTGTCTGACAGCGCCCAGATGGCACTCTCAGCCAATGAATGAATGGTGGGATCAGCATCTGGTTTCTGTAGATCTCCAGAAGCAGGATACATGTCATATGCCATTCCAGGAGGCTTAATTGAAAGGCTATCAGCTGTGAAACGGCTTGCCCCATTACTGCAGTGGCGGGCTGCAGTGGTTATGATGCTTGGAGTAACTCTCTAAATTAAACCATTACAAATACACCCACATATATATATATATATATATATATATATATATATATATATATATATATATGGAATCATCTACCATATACATATATACACGTGATTCAATGCATAACAAATATAAAGTTTCTCAAAATGCCACTGCCATAATCAGAAAAGTCTAGTACTAGCTTTGCATGTGCATACACATGGTTAAATTAGTTATACATGATTGTACCACACTACACAACATTGTATAGGTTTTGCAAAACCTATATTTTGGTTTATGCTGTTATTAACATAATATACAACTCTATATTTTTTTTAGCTGCAGAAAGAGAACAAAACAGACGCACCTTTTTCTTAGCAATGCGGAACGGCTGCAGGTATGCCAGCATAGGATCCCCACTGTCTTTATATGCATCCCAAAACAAATTGCCAGTTTTGGTGGCCAAAATATTTTTTAAACAAGTTGCAGCCGCTGATCGGACCTGGATACTAATACAAGAAGCACAAACAGAGTTATAGATATAGTATTTAGCCTGGGTGGTGGGCAAGTAAGGAGGACATTGTAGCTTTGTTATGGACAGAAATACCATCACAGTAGCTTTAAAAGGATGATGTTAATATTGGTCAATCTAGGAACTTATTTGACTCTATCACTGGCTGAGAGTGCTCTGCAAACACTCTCATCCAGTCAATGAATTGCTGCCCATTTTAGAGTGGCCTTTTATTGTGGCCAGCCCAAGGCACACCTTTGCAATAATCATGCTGTCTAATCAGCATCTTGATGTGCCACACCTGTGAGGTGGATGGATTATCTCGGCAAAGGAGAAGTGCTCACTGACACAGATTTAGGCAGATTTGTGAACAATATCTGAGAGAAAAAGGCTCATTGTGTACATAGAAAAAGTCTTCGAACTTGGAGTTCAGCTCATGAAAAATGGGCGCAAAAACAAAAGTGTTGCATTTATAATTTTGTTCAGTGTATGTTTCTTTGCATTGTGTGCAGAGTGCTTTGGACATTTTTTCTTTGTACTAATTTGAGATTTAAAAAAAAAAAAAATATGCAGTCAGAGGGTTAAAGTAGAATGAAGAGGTTATGGTACTTCAAGTGTTCCTTTTTAGCGCAAAAATGAAAGTCTATATTATAGAAAGCCATGCACCTGGATTTAAATAATACTGTTTAGAGTACACTTTGAATATTTGATTTCTGGTGGAATATGCCCTTTTAAAGGTTTATGACTGGTTACATGTTGGCAGAAATGTTAGTAATGACTTTTGTGACACTGACTTTCATCCCACGTGAGTTAAACCAATTTACAGTAATGCCTACATCAGTCTACATACAATGTTGTCACTGCAAGAGCAAAGGAAGCTTGGAACAGGGATACTCACCATTGGTCTGTCATGGCATTATTTATTAATGTCAGGATGACAAGCACACACTGAAGCTCATTGTCAGTGAAAACCTCCATGGCTTTGAAATATACGGGGTCCTTTCTGTGCTGGAGTGCTATAGTCGAAAAGTCGATAGGCCCCAATTCACCAAGGCAACTACCAACAGCGTCTGTAGATACAAATTGAAATTTGTATTGTCTTTATTCTAAATTTCTTAAATAGTTAAAATGTCTGTTAAACGTGATGTTACACCTAGACAAAATAACTGGGCATTTCAGCACAAGAGAAGAAAATAAAGACTTCAACTGTATTCCTTCTTCAATTGTTTTACATAGATAACACAAAAATCCTCTTCCTAAGGCTAATTCCATACAACCATATCCACACCGGGAAAAAAAATACTGATTAAATAAAATATGTAACGAATACATAAATGTGAACAGCATGTAACACTGCTAAATTTAATAACAAGATAAAAGTATACACTAGCTACCATTTTATCACAACTAATATTTGCTTGACATTTGCCCTCTAAAGTCACTGAATATTTGTGCATTTCAAATTACCTTATCACAAGCTATGGCCTCAATTTAATATTCTTGGATAATCTTTTCAAATAATGTAATATTTTTGGACAAACTTTGGTTTAATATTTTGAAAAATATAATAATATCTTGCTGGTATATATTAATTTATAGGTTAAGTATGTAGGGGTTTATAAAACACCCCTTCATGTCTCATTAGAGATGTTTACACTTTGTCTGATACTAGCAAAGTTTATTGTATGTGTAGAAGCCCTATAAAGGGTTAAATGTGAAAGGGTTTATAAAATACCCCTTCCTGTCTTACTGGAGATCCTTGGCTGATATCAGCATATCTAATTGCTAGTGTAGGAACTCACCTATTGAGGCTTGCCTTGACGTGGCAGGTGAGCTTATATATTCAAATGGCCATTGGAATAAAACTAAAGAGCCTCCATTTTGTTTAAATGTACATGGGGATTTAGGCCAGAGTGCAGGTAACGCTCTATTTTTTTTTTTTTTTACTATATATTAATGTATCACATACAAAATATATATATATATTGATATTTTAATATTTAGAAAAAATGTTTTAAAAGTTTATAAACAGTAAATCATTTAAAATGTTTATTCAAAAATATGAAACTGAGGCCCATATTTGAAATGAAATGTAGGGACTTTTATCATAGAGACTTTGCAATATTTAAATAGTTCCTGTGTTTTCTCTAGTTTCTGAATTCAATTCTAAAATGAACACATCCAAAACAGCAGACGTATTCAACATTAGTAAGCTGCATGATGTTATACACGGCTTACCTAAAACCTCTTTCCCATTTTCATGATGGACAGCACACTTGGCAAGCTGTAGCAGATTAACCACAAGTCTCATAATAACACTTTCTTGTGGATTAACTAACAAAAAAAAACAAAAAACATTTAGACATGTCATACATCTTAAGTAAACCTTTATAATTCAAGTTTGGTTATATTACACTGATTAGCCAAATTTATGGTCAAGTGACAGATGATCACAACTTCTGTATTGTGAAAAATTACAATTTCCAAAATCAATATAGCTTTAGATCAAGATGCACAATGAGATTTAGATGGGCTCCATACCTTCAAAATCTCTTACAAGATCTTTCACCTGATCCTTATGTTGCTCTAATTGTTTTTGTAAGTCATTTAAACCTTCCAGCCTCGTCAGAGGAAGAGAATCACTGACGCTTACAGACAGAAAATGGTTTACTTCCTGAAAGAAAGACAACAATAAGAATCTCTAGATTGTAAGCTCGTCTATAGAATGTAAAAATATTAATAGTTTGTCTCATTTGTTGTTTAAGTTCCCATAATAATATTGTAAAGCACTGCAGAGTATGTTGACGCTACATAAACACTAAAAATAATAATAAGGCTACTAAGTAACTAATTATCAAAAGAGTTCCTTCTTCATGGAGCGCTGAACCATACCTTCTAAACTTAAAGGGACAATGTAGGCAGCCAGACCACTTCAGCTCATTGAAGTGGTCTGGGTGCAGTGTCCTATTATTTTTAACCCTGAGCATGTAATTAATAAGTTTAAGCATGCGTGGGATAGGCATAAGGTTATCCTAACTATAAGATAAGGCCAGGGACTAATGAAAGTATTTAGAATATTGGGCAGACTAGATGGGCTGAATGGTTCTTATCTGCCATCACATTCTATGTTTCTATGGTAAACTTCTCCTCTAGTGGTTGTCTACCAGAAAGCCACTACAGGGACTTCTGGGTGTTAAGGCGACTTTTGGTCATGTGGACTTCCAGCGTCACCAGAATCATGACTCTTGAATAATGCTTTCCTATGAGGAAATCATAAAGCAAGCGCGGCCATTGCTGCGCATGTGCATTAGGTCTCAACTGCAGACAGAAGTCAGCAAGAGAGTAGTGAAGGTGGACCCGAGCCAGCGCCAAGGGACATCGGCGCCGAACCCAGGTAAGTGGCAGAAGGGATTTTTAACCCCTTCTGCACCATGGGAGTGGGGCACCTTAAATGGGAGGGAAGCTGCAGCGCTAGGAAAAATAGTTTTTCTTTCTGGCACTATAGTTTCCCTTTAACCAAATTGGAAGCATAACAATATGTTTTACTGCAAGCACATCAAACTTGCGTCCCACAATGGATATATTTGCGGCCCACCTGTCCTTATCAGACTGGAGCAATTTAAATGGAGTCCAAGAAAAATGGGATTATTTAAAAGTTGCACTATTGAAGGCAACAGAAAATTGCATTAGGCTTGTCAGTAAAAGCAAAAAATTCAAGAAACCACTGTGGTACTCCGCAGATGTGGCCAAAATAGTTAAAAACAAAAAGTTAGCATTTAGGAATTATAAAAAAACCCAGAGTGAGGGAGACAAAATGATCTATAAGATTAGGCAGAAAGAGGCTAAGCAAGTTATAAGAGCTTCCAAATCACACACAGAAGAGAAAATAGCACAGACAGTAAAAAAGGGGGATAAAACATTTTTTAGATACATAAATGAGAAAAGAAAAGTAAAACAAGGATTAGTTAGATTAAAACCAAAAGAAGGAAGGTATGTAGAAGAGGATAAAGGTCTAGCTGACTGCCTCAATGAATATTTTTGTTCTGTATTTACAGATGAAAATGAAGGAAAGGGACCTCAGTTGAGAAAAAGGATAAATGAGTCATTTATTACACGTGAGTTTACAGAGGAAGAGGTTCTATTTCAACTGTCAAAAGTAAAGACAAATAAGTCAATGGGACCTGATGGAATACACCCAAAGCTATTAAAAGAGCTTAGTGGTGTACTAGCAAAACCATTAACAGATTTATTTAACCAATCATTGTTAACAGGTGTAGTCCCAGAAGATTGGAAGTTAGCGAATGTTGTGCCCATTTACAAGAAAGGTAATAGGGAGGAGTCGGGCAACTATAGGCCAGTAAGCCTTACTTCAGTAGTGGGGAAAGTGATGGAAACCATGTTAAAGGATAGGATTGATGAACATCTAAAAACACATGGATTTCAAGATCAGAGACAACATGGGTTTACTTCAGGGAGATCATGCCAAACTAATCTTATTGATTTTTTGATTGGGTAACTAAAATAATAGATCAGGGTGGTGCAGTAGACATTGCTTACCTAGATTTCAGTAAGGCTTTTGACACTGTTGCACATAGAAGGCTTATCAATAAACTGCAATCTTTAAGTTTGGATTCCAATATTGTTGAATGGGTAAGGCAGTGGCTGAGTGACAGGCAACAGAGGGTTGTAGTTAATGGAATATATTCGAAGCTTGGACTTGTCACCAGTGGGGTACCTCAGGGATCTGTACTTGGACCCATTCTCTTTAATATTTTATTAGTGATATTGCAGAAGGTCTTGATGGTAAGGTATGTCTTTTGCTGATGATACTAAGATATGTAACAGGGTTGATGTTCCAGGAGGGATAAGCCAAATGACAAATGATTTAGGTAAACTAGAAAAATGGTCAGAATTGTGGCAACTGACATTTAATGTGGATAAGTGCAAGATAATGCATCTTGGACGTAAAAACCCAAGGGCAGAGTACAGAATATTTGATAGAGTCCTAACCTCAACATATGAGGAAAGGGATTTAGGGGTGATTATTTCTGATGACTTAAAGGTAGGCAGACAATGTAATAGAGCAGCAGGAAATGCTAGCAGAATGCTTGGTTGTATAGGGAGAGGTATTAGCAGTAGAAAGAGGGAAGTGCTCATGCCATTGTACAGAACACTGGTGAGACCTCACTTGGAGTATTGTACACAGTACTGGAGACCGTATCTTCAGAAGGATATTGATACCTTAGAGAGGGTTCAGAGAAGGGCTACTAAACTGGTTCATGGATTGCGGGATAAAACTTACCAGGAAAGGTTAAAGGATCTTAACATGTATAGCTTGGAGGAAAGACGAGACAGGGGGGATATGATAGAAACATTTAAATATATAAAGGGAATCAACACAGTAAAGGAGGAGACTATATTTAAAAGAAGAAAAACTACCACAACAAGAGGACATAGTCTTAAATTAGAGGGACAAAGGTTTAAAAATAATATCAGGAAGTATTACTTTACTGAGAGGGTAGTGGATGCATGGAATAGCCTTCCAGCTGAAGTGGTAGAGGTTAACACAGTAAAGGAGTTTAAGCATGCATGGGATAGGCATAAGGCTATCCTAACTATAAGATAAGGCTAGGGACTAATGAAAGTTTTTAGAAAATTGGGCAGACTAGATGGGCCGAGTGGTTCTTATCTGCCGTCACATTCTATGTTTCTATGTTTCTATGTTTCTATGTCCTGGGCCCACTTTGTGTTGTGGATGGGGCAGTGTATTAGCTTGCATCTGCATGGAGGCACTGTACTTTTCAAAATAAACCTACATTTCTATGAAACCTGTTGCAGGGATGGATGGTTTGGGTCTTTTAAGTAAAGTTTTTGTTTTTTTGCGGCCCGCGTAAACCTTGTTTATTTGGACCATGTTAGCCTTTGCATTTGACATGCTTGTTTTACTGTAACTTCTACACAACGGCAGACAGTAGAAATTTTTTTCTTTAATCAAGGTTACATTAATGAGTTTCTACTGTCCGTGAGATCTTAGTATTATGAATTCCACATACAATTCTTCAATGTAACAGAGGTGAGCTGGTGATAAATGGGTATGCGGGTAGTAATAATAAACTAGCCACCTTTGCATAGGACAAAGTGCATTCATTATCAAATAGCATGCCTTTAATCATAACCATTTCACATTGCATCTGTACAACAGAAAAGGCTAATACCTGTAGAAGAGTGTACGGGCCTCGACTGTACTTGATTCTCTGATGGACTTGGCGCAGTTCCTTAAAGATAGGATAATCCGGGAAAGGGTCCAGTAGTTTAATTGTATGGTAAAGATGCTCATTGTCCTTGTTCTCAATTACCAGAAAGGTTAACAAGTCACACACCTGAATAATAGTGAAAATGAGCAGCAGGTCATTAGTAGGCATGTGTTGCTTTAAATAAGTATAGAAAGGTGTCCACAAACTGAACTTCCATGACGCAAAACATGAACAAGTGACACTATTGTGCGTGCCTGATATTAATAGACACAATTGTTTTTGTGTGTATTTATTTTTTTATAAAATCGTTAAGATAAAAATACATGACGAATAAAATAGAAACTAAAGATGAAACAGAACATCAATGCAAACCTTTGGAAACCATATAAAATAAAATTTAAAAAAAGTATTTTTTATGTAGAACATAACTTTTATTTCAAAATGTTTGGCTTTATGAGAACTACAACTTTTATCATAAACAAAAGTCAATTGTAAGAGTTATTCACTAAATCGGGATTGTACTGAATGCTATTAGCTCTGGTATAGCACTGAATGGATTTACCTGTGTTTGAATTTCAACCTGGCTGTTGGCCAACGGGATCAGTGTGCCCACGACGACGTGGAGGTGACTCTCTAAGGCGTCCTTGCAGTAGTCAACAGCAGTTTGACAAACACGGTGCAGAAGGTCAAGGCATAACAGAAAAGTGCGTGCAGTAACTCCATCAACAGAGAGGGAAACCCTATCAGATAAAAGTGTAGTAAGATATAAAAAAAGCCAATAGGGAAATATTTCTAGATTTGTATATTAAATTTAAAATATTTTTGTTGTTGTTAGTGTAAAGTGGTGTTTACAATGTGATGCCTCTGTAACAGAAGGTATACCTGCTGTTGATGTAGTGGATCAAGGTGTAAATGACATCTCTCAAAACAAAAGCCCAAGCACCTCCAAGACCATCTTTCATTTCTAGAAGCAGCAGGTTAACAAACAGGTGGTAGACAGATAAAATGCGGTGCTTCTTGTAGACATTGCTGGTTTCTGCAGCTTGCGTGCTAATCGACAATAATATTTTTTGAAAGGACTCCTGCAAGTGGAATATGACATCATTCATGCATGGTACCCAATTACACCCGTAAGAACAAACTTTGACAGTTCCAGACAGCTCAAGAAGAGAAACGTTACCAAAGTTTATTATTTTGAATGAGTTACGTTCAAACCATAAAGCGAAGGGGATTAAAGAAACAATCTAACATTATTTATTTGTAATGTTGGTATGCTTTTTTGAACTTTCATGTATGGACCTTCTCTTTTAAAATAAAATTAAAAAAACAAAGTAAAATTTACCAGGAATCAAACACTGGGCAATATCCTCCCGGCAGCCTCCTCTTCTGAGATCATAAGTCCAGATTCTCTCTGGTCCAATGTAATGGTTCTAGATAAGCTTTGGGAACTTACTGCACATTTGCTGCTATTCCCACACTCCGCCAATCAAATGTTTCTTATGGAGAAGCAATTAATTCAATGCTTCTTAATGAGAAGTGTTCACATTATTCAGCAGCATCATGCAGTGTGTGATGATTTCAAACGTGAAGACTTTCAATAATTGAAAACTTCCTATGAGGAACTGTCTCTAGGGGCTCTCACTCTGATAGCCAATTGATGTGTGTTTATAGCAAAATGTAAATGTTTTACATTGCCAGGTAGATTGGAGAGATAGTAAAGATCAATATGGTAATAGAAACACATTGCTGTATTCATGTATACTCACAGGGGTCTTTGATAGAATCGCCACAAGACTTTTGAGCTTGCTTTTGTGACAGCTGCTGATATAATCCAAGGTTGCCTTTATGACGTAGGATGGAAAATATGGAGGATTTGGGGCTGGATCCAATTCCCTAGAACAAAATACATCACCACTTTGTAACATGTTTGTTTTTTTCACTTTTATTTATGTTATCTTTCACGGTTTTGCCACAATAGCTTTTCACAACAGTGCCCCTTTGAATGTATTCCCTTACCTAGCCCCAATTATGATCTCAATATTTGACTCAATAAGCTGAACCTGAATCTCAAGGTGACTATATATGGCTTCTTTGAGTGATTCTGGCTGTAAGCCGTTTACCAAATACACCAACTGCCCTCAAACTGAATTCAATAAAGAATTTCCCTCTGGAAGAACTTGCCAAATTCTGATCAGAAAGCTCACAACAAACTGACCACTAACCCATAAATGTTTGAAGGGTCACCATCGGGGAGGGGAAAGAAGGGGAGGTGTAGGCAGTACATCTATAGATTGCCATTAAACCCAGGGGTTCACAAGAGACCACTTAGGGAAATAGCAATATCTCCCACTCAACCCACATTGAAGATATCTCATAGAGCAGGTCCCTTATCTAGGGCATGGCAGGCTCTCCTTTCACTCGGCAGAAGAGAGGAAGTTGAACTAGGAGCCAGTACCAGCCATCCACTACTCCAAAGACACAAACTTTCAATTGCATGGGGGAGTGTGTCTCTGGTCCAGTGGAACTTGATAAGGTAACAGGATCTCTCCTTCCACTTGGTAAGAATGCTTTCTACAGAACTTAGCTGTTATCAATGTTTTTAATTTAGTATTTGGTAAATAGGTGAGCACCAACAGACATAGATGCCGGTTTTCTTCCCTTACCCAGCAAACTGAATTAAGTCAGACTGTTCAGTATTTGCGCCGGTGGAGGTTTCATGTAACGTCATCAGCAGCTCCCCCACAATATCGGGCAAGTGACGGAGAAACAAGCCATCAATTTGCTGCAAACAGAAGTAGAGCTGCGTTCAAATTGTATCAATAATAGAAGAATCAGCATTAAAATATTCTAAATGAAAATCGAGATAACAATGATGTCAAGAAAGGGGTGTAATAGGATAAACATTTAAAGATTTTTCATAATGTAAAAGACAAAGCACGGCATCACAAAAGTATGTAGAGAGACATTTAAAAAAACATATTAAGTATAGAACCAATAAGAAAAGAAATTAGATTAAATGCAACCAGTCTAACGCATGACATGTGTAACCTTTTCTTTTGGGACTGCTCAATAAACAGAAGAGAAAAACAAATATAGCCTGGTGTACATAACCAAACTCATACTATTATACTGTATTTTCTTGTGTACTCAGACGTATTGAACCTACTAAACAATACCTGCTTGCCCAAGCAATTTTCATCTTGTAGCAAATCATATACTTTAGATGCAAGTTCCCTCTTCTTGGCCATCTCTGGGTCTTCTGCACTTTTATAGGCAAAGTAAGGCAGGACGTTGACCAGAATCTTTGGAAAACAATTGGCCAGAAGGACCTTCCAGTCCTCTTCAATTTGCTGAGCTACGGCCTTCACTACTTCAAAGTCACTTCGTATTACAAGGTGCGGAATAAGTACTTTGTAGCAGCATCTGCCAAGAGATATTGAATATTGTAAATAGGTCCTCATATAGTTATACATATGCTATCCATCAAGTACTGTAAATCAATCATTTACAGCTTTTATCCACTGTACAAATGGGTGTTGCAAGCCCTCTTAAAGCTTATATTCGTATTCACAGTTTGGAATTTGGAACATGGTTTTAGTGCTCTATATTCCAGAATTCCTGGCCTGGTTCGGCACCCATGGGCCAGACAATACTTACATATTTGTTTGATTCACATATATTAAGACTAATATAGCTGATAGCGTTAAGCATAATTTTTGTTTTACTGTTACACCTGGGTGTATTGCACTTTTTCTATTTGTATGTATTTAAGTGGATGGAAAACTTTAACTTAAGCCAAAACACTTATTTATTTGTTTTATTGTTTAATAATTCCGTTCAGCACCCATATGTAGGATTGTCCACTTTTATTGTTATTGTTGGGCACACATGATATAATTTGGGTAATTGTGTCTTTGCTGGAAGAACTATAGACATTATGTGCCCTATATACAATTTTGAATCAAGAGAACTGAGTTGAGTTCATAAGCCTACACACCTGTAGAACTCTTGGAGTGAGGAGTAGTTTAACAAGACGTAAGGGAAATTGGATATGTTGTAGCCAGTATCCTTCATTCGTAGCCACTCGAGAACCAGGTAATCTAAGTGTGAAGTCATGAAGTCATTCACACTTCTGTAACCCAGTTTGGCAGAAACTTTTTCCAACACCTAGAAAAATAAATTATACCGAGCTTAAAAATAACTAGAATATATACATCGAAATCAACAGGTCAGGCAATCAACACACACATCTAGAGTTCATAATATATCATCTAGAATATATTATGTTTTAATTTCATACTGCCTTATGATTAGGGTTAAACGAACATTCATACACTATTTCCTGATATTTTACTATGCCCCCACTGACATAATCTGGGCCCACTACACATCATACCAGGGACTAGTAGTTTCCTATTTATCTTAGCAACAAAGAATCATTTGTAGCCAAGTACAACATTCTAAATGATGGTTCAACTCCGGCTACTGAACAATATATAGCAGGTCGATCTTTGGCAAATAAGCAGACATACATAGAGGCCAAGTGCATGTTAGACAAACTGTTACTGGAATGAGAGATTAAGAGAAAAACGATTGTTTTAATCTTTACCTTCGTCAGTAATTTACATACACAACATCAAATCCACCCGAACCCTTACTGGAGAGATTTGCACACTTGTAGCTTAGTAGATAAAAATGAAGTAAAATGGTCATTTCCATCTACTAAAAAAGGAGACTATTCCAGATCCTGATGTGTTAATTATTGTAACTATGTTAGGGAAATATAGAACCCTTACTGCTCCATATATTAAAAATACAATGATATGGTATCTGCCGCACCTCCTACAGAAGACTGAATCGTACCTTATCCTTAAACTGGATGGAAACCTGGATTAGGTTTCTTCATTTCAATCAAGAGCACTTCTAGACCAAGATTTCTAGTGATTAATACAAATGATAGTACATAGCTGCAATGTTTTATTACCCGGAATACTAAATAAACATTGGCTGGGATTCGATTAAAGCAGTGCCCTACCACCACACACATCATAGACTACAGTCTTCCTTGTTTCTTGACAAAGTATCATGACTTCATTTGTTCTGGGTCATCAAATACAGATTATATGGAATTCCTTTGTTTAATCAAATCAGACGTTTGCACAATAAACTTATGATAACTCTTTGCCTCAGGAGTTTAGATTTAGACTAGTTAGCCATGCGCAGAGGAGTTAGGGATGGTCGCCCTATATCTCCTATCCAGATTAATAAAGCCACCCCCTTTTCTTAGAATACTTCATGAGCCCTACATGACAATATTTGCCTTATATTATGCAAGCTCAGTTTAACTGCTTTTGGAGAGGGCATCCCATATATTTATTCTTCATGAATGTGGAATATGGGGCGGTCACAGGTTTTGAGATCAATTTGACATCTAAATATACAAACAATAGAAAATCTGAATAGCACTTACCACAAAGTGTGCAAGGAATACCAATAATTACAATCAAAAACATGCAAAACGAGCAAAACGTGCGCATCAGCGGCTCTCAGGGATTTTGAGAATTAGCATTTATTCTCCTATTTATTCTACAATTTAGGTTTATGTCTCTGATTCTGAGCTGTATTTTTACCGCAAAATTTCAGGGGGGGAGGGGGAATTGTTATTAATTTACTATCGAATATCTAGCTATTGAACTAGACAGTATGTTCGTTTCTTAGACTGAATAGCTTGGAAATTCCTTCACTAATAGCGGTATCATATTTTCTATCCATGGAGTCTGTATTTAGCATATATCCTTGCTGTGTTTGTGGCTCATGACTATATCCCCTTTAAAGATCTTAGGTGGATATATATTTTTTTCGTTTAACCACATTCATCTATCTCTATAACACTTGCTCGCATGCGTTTTTGGTGCTCTATTTTCTTTTAGCGACACCGGATATGCACGCCTGACTTACCTATATGACAGTACGATATGCATTTATACCAATTGGTCTTACAGGTTAACGTCAGCTTGCTAGCTGCGAACTGCGAAACATTTGGTTTTGCATACAGACTAAGGCTCAGGTCTCTGAAAAATTTTGAACAGGACCTGCTAACTACTAGGATATATGCTAGTTCATTTATTTATTAGGAATATTTTCCTTGTATCTGATATAACTGAATAACGGGCAAAAAACCCTCTATTTAAACTCAGGCTCGGTGGAATGCAAAAATTAGTTTTTGCTCATACTACCAAGTGAAGGTTTCTGAAAACATATTAACAGAACCTTCTTTTTATACCCTATATACTTTCTTTTTTTCAGTTTACATTAGTGGTGAAGGTCTCTGTGATTCTTTAACAGGACCTCTTTACCTTTTGTATATACTTCTGTTATTCATCAGGTTATTTAATTGTATATACTTTAGTTACTTATACACTCATACTCCAATCTTTGTATACTGATTTTCAGAATATATACATTTTAGGTTTCTTTATATTTTGAAACAGAACCTAGCTTATCCCTGTACTCAACTATCTTAATAGTTACAGGGTATCCCTACATATTTTCCTATTTTGATTGTCACCTATTAGAGTGTACATATACCTTAGTTTATCATTTAGTACTATCCCCACTATGGACATTTATACTATATTTTATTATTACTATTAAAGGTTATATTTTAAATTTATTTAGGGCACTCATTTCTTCTTTCTTTTATTAATAAAGTGCCAACAGATTCCGCAGCGCTAATCTGATATGTTCTGTATGTTATTTTAACCCATATTTTCTATTTTTAGGCTCATTATTTCAGCCTGATAATTGTATCAGGATATCTTTCTGCCATGTTGCTGGTGTTTTTTATCTCACTATCTGTATATGCCCAAAAGAGACACTTGCCTTCCTTATGAGCTGAGGGTCCAGCTGATTTTCTTTAACAGACTGACAAACTGCAAAGAGCGCCTGCTTCTCGCATATAGGACTGCTTAACAGAATCACAGATATCAGCATGAGTAGTGTTGATTTTCGGTTGTACTGCTCGTCAAGGAGATCTTCTGGGTCAAGGCCACTACGAGACTGTGGAAATAAAACAGAAATTATTATGGTTTTATATGTCTTTGCCCTTTTAACAGCCAGATGGGTGAATGATGTATAGCAAAGTATTACTCTTACACTGAGATACTTAAACGGTAAACATTCATTATCTAAACTACAGCCACTATACACACACACTGCATACTACATCGACTATACACAGACACTGTATACTACACCCACTATACACACACTGCATACATACACACTGCATACTACATCCACTATACACACACTGCATACTACATCCCTATACACACACTGCATACTACATCCACTATACACACACTGCATACTACATCCACTATACACACACTGCATACTACATCCACTATACACACACAGCATACTACATATCCTATACACACTGCATACTACATACCCTATACACACACTGCATACTACATGCCTTATACACACATACACACTGAATCCACTATAAACACACATACATTGCATCCAATAAAGAAAAACACATACACTTTTTCCACACACACTGCACACTACATCCACTATACACACACACTGCATACACTATACACACACATACACTGCATTCCTTTGAATTGACTGAGGGCAGGCCTTGTGGGCAGATTCAGGAGCTTGCCCAGTGGCCAGACTCAGGGGACAGGTCCCGTGGCCAGACTCAGAGGGCAGGTCCCGTGGCCAGACTCAGAGGGCAGGTCCCGTGGGCAGACTCAGAGGGCAGGTCCCGTGGGCAGACTCAGAGGGCAGGTCCCGTGGGCAGACTCAGAGGGCAGGTCCCGTGGGCAGACTCAGGGGGCAGGTCCCGTGGGCAGACTCAGGGGGCAGGTCCCGTGGGCAGACTCAGGGGGCAGGTCCCGTGGGCAGAATCAGGGGGCCAGCCTCGTGGACAGACTCAGGGGGAAGGCCTCGTGGGAAGACTCAGGGGGAAGGCCTTGTGGGCAGACTCAGGTGGCAGGCCTCATGGGCAGACTCGTGCCCCGTGGGCAGACACAGGCAGCAAGGCCTGTGGGTACTCTCAGTGATCATACATTGCAAAAGCCTGCCACAAAACTATATGTGAACATCTTGCTTCCATAAAATCTAGCAGACGTAGCAATAAAGATAAGTTATATCACGGTTATAGGGTGCCAAGGAAATGAAAGGACCACTATAGGCACCAGGTCCCCCTAGTTTTAACCCTGCTGCTGAAAACTTAGCAGTTTCAGAGAAACTGCTATTTTTACACTGCAGGGTTAATCCAGCCTATAGTTGCTGTCTCCCTGACGGCCACTAGAGGGGGCTTTTGTGATTTACACAGAGTAAATCGCACTTATTTGACGCTGGACGTTTTCATGGAGTCCAGCGTCAAATAATATCCCCATAGGAAATCATTGAGTAATCATTGAGCTGACGTCAGCGGGGGAGGAGAGGTCACCAGCACCAAGGGAGCCCAGTAAGGTAAGTGGATGAATGGGTCTTAACCCCTTCAGCGCCAATGGAGGGGGGCCCAGAACTGGGGGGGGGAGTGCCAGGAAAACGGGTCTATTTTCCTGGCACCATAGGATTCCTTTAAGGTTCTGAAGAGAATTGGTACAGTCACCAGTCATTCCCACTCAGCACTGCAGTCTCTTGTTAATATATTTAGAACCAAAGAACATATCTTGTGAAGATATTGGTAGGTGCCACAAACATACCATGTCCATGTTTATGCATAGATGTGCAGATGCCATAGAAAAATGGTGATAATTTATGGCCCCACTAATTCTCTCTGAACTCTCTCTGAACTTCAGACAGACAAACAGAAATAAAACTATTACAGATTACAAATGTTCTGCAACCAAATAACAGTATGGCTAATTTGTTCGGCAAAAAACAAGCTTTTCATATTGTAATATCAGCTGTGACATTTCTATCAAAATCTGTGTGCATTCGCTGCCTTCATAACATACAGTAAGAAACCAGTTCAGAGTAGACAATTACCAGGTGGCCCATTCCTTCTTGAACTTTCAGGTATGCATTATCAAAAGCTTGTAGTTGCAACTGCCTAGGCAGAGGTTGTGAGCTGATATTCTGGAATAGTCTGCAAACATAAAACACATGAAGCACGTTAAGTTGGGAAATAATACTCTACCCCTGATCTGCCTGCTTGACTGACATCATCAGAAGTGATTTTCTCAGCCAGTCACAATGCTTTCCCATTGAATTGGCTGAGCTTGTTAAGGAGGCAGATCAGGACAGTGCTAGCACAAGCAAAACACAGCCCTGGCTAATCAGCATCTCCTCATAGAAATGCATTGAATCAATGCATCCCTATGAGTAAAGTTTAATGTCTCCATGCAGAGGGTGGAGACACTGAATGGCAGTGCATATTGTGCAGCACTGCCCCAGGAAGCAGCTCTAGCAGTCATCTGAGGAGTGGCCAGTAGAGTTATCACTAGGCTACAATGTAAACACTGCATTTTCTCTGAAAACCCAGTGTTTGCTGCAAAAAGCCTGAGGGTAATGATACTACTCACCAGAACAAATACAATAAGCTGTAGTTGTTCTGGTGACTATAGTGTCCCTTTAATCCAAGACAAAGGTTTTTACAGCCAGGATCCAGATGTGCACACCTTGTGTTCATGAGACCAAAATGTAATTACACCAATTAATATGTGCATGCCATACATGAATATGTGGATAGCACCATTTAACCTATAAATTGTGCAGAATATGTATTACTTAATTGTTCGGGTTACCTGAGGTGTGTCTCTGTGGCCTCTACATTGGGGCAAGTACACATTTATGTGCTCATTAGAATCAAAGTATCAAAAAATGAAACATACATCTTACACATTTTACCAGGAAGATTTGCTTGTTGATAATTGGCAAAGATAGTGCAACTTATTATAATACATAGAATAATCTACAATTGGCTCAAGCAGTCCATGTGTGAGTCACTTTTGATAATGTGCTTTTAAAGTTGATGGAATATTGTTTTGCCTATTGAAACCTACTGGTGAGCTTTAGCATATTTTTGGGTGGCTAGCGTGTTGCAGGGTATTACGGTTTACAGATGTGTAAACACCATGCAAGTGATAGTTACTTAGAAAGGCATGATATTTTTTATAAGTCCAATTTTTTTGCGTTCCCTTCTGCAATGTTATCCAACCAAAAAATATATCCGGTCTTTTAATTTCTGGATTACCTCTTTACCGATGTTGCAGTGAGCAAACGGACTTGGTGATTGAGATCTGCCAGGAATTGAGGGAAAGCATCTCTTACAGGAAGATCTGTGCCTCCTACAGTGAGGATAGTCCACTTAGCCAGAGGATCCACCTATCATAAAAAATAGACAAACGGAAATTAACAAGAATGTTCACAGAAAAATATTAGAGACACCTGATTAAGTTAGCTGGAAACAATTTAAAAAAATTACTATTTAAAAAATAATCAACAAAGGATTAAAACAAAGTCTTCTCATATCTATACATCACAACAGATACAATTGGGTCAGAGAAATCACTTGTTACTGAAAATAAGCAATCAGGGTGAACATATCAAAATACAGTTAGGGCAAGGTATATTTAAACCCACAAAAAGATTCTATTTAAAGTTAATTCTTTGTTGGAAGTTTTACGGCTGACATAAAGAGCAATTTCAGTCCTCAACTACAAAATCATACTTCCTTTATATGATATTATTTTAAATTATTCCAGGAAAGTGTGTACCTCGATCAGAGTCTTCAAGCACTTTACCAGTTCAAGTCTGACTAAGTGTGTACATTTTCCATCTTTTGTCAGATGCCTTGGGGGAAAAAAATAAAAATGTCAAAAACATCATTTTAGTTAAGCTGCAAAGTTGACTAAAATGATAAAAGATTTTTTTCAGAAAGCAATAAAAATTTAGAATACCAAAAAGCTTGGATGATGTTCAAGAGCTGCCCTTCTGCGTCAAACGTCTCGTCTGTATCCATGTTCTCTTGTGACAAGCACAAGATGACAGGAAGCAGCCGGTGTAATATAGCAGCACATACCTCCTGGTCCCGACGATAAGTAGAGCACACATCACTGTAAAAAGAATAGCAAAAAAAATTAAATATTCATAAATAATACAAAGCTCCAGCAAGAGACATCAAAAGGGACAGGCTAAAACTGTCTTACGGGAGAGGCTTCAGCAACACTTTGATGTCATCAACAGGCAACGGTGAATCTTGCAATGGCATCTCACTTAACAACTGTAAATACTAGAATAAAAGAGAAGGTTTTGAAAACACACCACAACTTTAACCCCTTAAGGACCAAACTTCTGGAATAAAAGGGAATCATGACATGTCACACATGTCATGTGTCCTTACGGGGTTAAACACAAAGTAGAAAAATGCAAACTCACACAACACATACAGGGTTATTCACTTAAAGGACCACTAAAGTCACCCTGATCACTTCATCTTAAGGAAGTGGCCTAGGTGCAGTGGCTCTGTAATATTTATCGTTCAATGTAAAACATTGCTGTAGAAACGGCCAATACCGCTCTAACAACCTAGTGTAACTGATGTTCGACGTCCATGAGGACATAGAGTGTCATCAAATACTGCTCATAGGAAAAGCTAACGCGCATCATGTCCCCAATGCTGTTCTATGAGAAGTATCGGATTGGACCATCGATGAGGAAGCAATGCTTTTCTGATTACGTCATGGGAGGCGGAGAGGCCAGAAGCACCGATGGAAACTCAGGGCTGAAAAAGGTTGAGCAAAAACTATATTTTTCTTTTTTTATATATGAAATGATTAAGAATGAAATTCACCCCATGAAGATGTAGAGGTTTGTTCATATCCCATGAGTTACTATCTATCAGGTTGAGGAGTTTCCGTCGTATATCAGATGGTCTGAAGGAAACATTGAGGTTCTGAGACGCTGATGCACAGACACACAAAAACTGCAAAGTCTGTAGCAGGAGAGAATCTTGTTTTTTTAGATGTTCCTCGGATAAGGGACTGACAGCACCTATGTAGACACAAATCCAATGTTCAGTCATCCAGATTGTAACATAGCATGTATGACATTTTGATACTACTGAGCAGAAGTGAGATGGAACAAAATTAATGTGTGATTGCAATTAGAGACTTTTTCTTATTTAGCATAATGATTATTTTCGTGCCAACACAAATAGATTTCTAATTCTTATACTTAACATCAACCTAACCACCCAATCATAAATCTATAACTCTAACATCTACTTTGCTAAACTCAAAGCACAAGTCAAAACCTTTCATTTTATACAAATTCAAAATCTTACAACTAAGCGTAAATTATAACCTCTAAACTTAACCTGAATATGTAATATTGTAAAATCTACCTTCTGAACCTAACTACTTTAACTTTATTTATTTGAACTTTAAAGGGTTAGCAAAACAAAAAACACTGATTTGGGTTAGAATAACCCTTTCTAAAGTGGTCCTGAACCACCCTCCACATCGTAAAACTAACAGATTCATCTGTTTTATCATCGAGTCCAAGTTCTCCCCTCAGCGGTGCATTCTGGTACCAGAAGCTAATTTTTTCACAGAACTGACATTAGTCAATGATGCTGCCAGAGGTGGCATTATACCAATGAATTGGTTAACCTCTGTAGAAGCAGCGTTTTATAGCAAAATGTTGCACACACAGACTCCAAGAACCATAACCACTTTAAATCACTAAAGTGGTCATGTTGCTTGCAGTAACTCTGTAAGGTTTTTGCCTTATCAATATTCCCTTAATGCAAAACCAGACAGTGTCAAAACAGCTTTTTCTGTCAGCATCTCAGATGTCATGACGCACCCGTTTTGGGCAACCCAGTCAGCACTAACACGTACCATTTCATCTTATAGAACAACACAAATTACAAGGAAAGTAGACTTTTTCAACCTCAATTGATTATACTTTTTCATCATTAACCTTTTATACTACATTTGCTTTTAATGACTTTTAAAGGTCAAGTTTACTGCAGTTCCATAATGTTGACAATGCTTGACAGTGGACATTACCAGTAGCATTCTGTAGCTCTCCAATGTCTGTGCCATCCGAACTTTCCGCAGAACGCTCGTCGTCAATAAGGTCCACAGTCCCTTGGTCTTCTACCTCCATTCTAGAATCTAGGTCAGTATCCATGAGGTCTACCTCATTGCTCTCCACTGGACTTCCACTGTTGCTTATCTTAAGACATATAAAAAAGAAAACCATCATTATGCACTTCAGGGTTAAGAATGCACAAGCAATTTACACCCTAAATGGTAGTGAATGAGGGATAACCATCCACGAGAAAGATTTGGGAATTGTTATAGACAACAAATTAAACAGCAATGTCAATCTGCTAAGGCCAGTAAGGTTTTGTCATGTATAAATAGGGGCATAAATTCTCGGGATGAAAATATAATTTTGCCTCTTTATAAATCGCTGGTAAGACCACACCTTGAACATGCTGTGCAATTTTGGGAACCTGTTCTAAAGAAATAAATCATGGCATGAGAAAAAGTGCAGAGACGAGCTACAAAATTGATAAAAGGAATGGAGCATTTTAGTTATGAAGAAAGGTTAAAAAATGTAAATCTGTTTAGTTTGGAAAAACGGCGCCTGAGAGGGGTCAGTACAAAACATTGTGTGGAAATCTATTCCTATACATAGGACATGAGGTCACACATTTAGGCTGGAAGAAAGGAGATTTCATCTAAGGCAAAGAAAAGGTTTTATTTTACAGTAAGAGCAATAAGGATATGGAATTCTCTGCCTGAAGAGGTGGTTTTGTCAGAGTCCACACAGATGTTTAAACAGCGATTGGATAAATACTTGCAAAAACATAACATACAGGGATATAATTTCTAATTAGTGGGGTAATAGCTGCTTGATCCAAGGAGACATCTGACTGCCATTTTGGGGTCAAGAAGGAATTTTTTCCTAGTTTGTGGCAAAATTGGACGTGCTTCAGACTAGGTTTTTTGCCCTCTTTTGGATCAACAGCAAAAACATATGTGAGGAAGGCTGAAATTGATGGACGCAAGTCTCATTTCAGCTATGTAACTATGTAAACTATCTATTAATATGGTGTCACACTACTGATTACTCTTAGCTAATGAGTTAAGCACTACACAGCCAGGAATTGCTCTGACAGCTCTCTGGCAAAAGCAGTGCAGGCAGGGGTTGACACCAGCTAAGAAGTTAAACCATTCTAAAACAGTTTGACTATTTATGAGATAATGCTAGGGCACTCCAGGCACCATAACCACTACAGCACACTGTGTGTGTGTGTGTGTGTTTTTTTTTTTTTTTAGTTATTTACTGTTTTTTTGCTCTTCTTCTCCTGAGGAAGATATATATATCTCAATAGTTAATATAATGTTAAACAAAAATCTGCACACCAGTCAAGCCATAAGACTTGCTTTAACGACAGAAATCACAAATTTGCAGTGATGTTACTACCGCAAAGGATTCTGGGTGGGCATATGCAAATTAGTTTAACAATCAAATTTTTGCCTCATTCCATTTTAAACATGGATTCCTTTGAGTCTGTGTTTGCTGTATACAACAACTATCCACAGACTTTAGATGGAAGGGGTTTTCAATCACAATTTTTTCCTCACCATAACATTTTTGGTTTCTGCTACCCTTTATATCTATATATCTACTACTACTATATAACTACTACTACTACTACTACTACTATCATTTTATATTGTTAAGATTATGTTACTTTGCATTTGTTAATGCTTTTTCTAGCTTAATACAGACAATGTGTGTCCTCAAGTTTCACAAGATTTGGAATAGCCTTTTTTCTCACACTCCAGTGTTCTTATATAAAACCTTTATTGACTACCAATGATGCAACCCTGAGAAGGCTGATAATACATTAGGAGACAATATAAATTCTGGAAAAATTCTAAATGTTATTAAAATAAATAAATAAAAAACAGCATAGACAGCTTATGGGGGGTACGGATATGTTAGTAATAAGGCCGGTTTCATAGCTCTTGAAATAAGTGGTTAGAGCAAAGCACACATTTATATTATTTACCAATTATTTAAGATGCTTACCAAGTATTTACAGATATCGCACAGATCAGTTAACATCCTGGGTGATAAGATGCGTAAGAAGAAGACTTTGAAAAACTGAGCTGAAGTATCCTTAATCAAAAGAAGGAAAAGGCAGACGTAATTCATTCTAAATAGAACAATACATGGTCCATATTTTACAGACTCATTAAAACATCAATTATTACAAATTTCACATGTAAGTCAGATACAGTTATTTACTCCAGAGGCCACAAATAGCTAATCTAGGCACTCCAGATGTTTGTGAACCATTTATTTTGGTTTTTAAAGAAAGATTTTTTTTTCTTAAAGGAAAACTATAGTTTTGAAAATAATGGGGTTTTTGCCATTACAGAGACCAAAACGACAGGGACACTGCAGATGTCATTGAGTTAAAGTTGCCACGATGAGTATAATGGTAATTTGAATCCACAGGATCACACATATACCATTAAGGGGCTACAAAGCTTTTTTTTTTTATTAGCGATAAGCAATCTTTAGTTAGCTGTTTTTAAATCTATCTATGACACAAAAATTAACCAGCAATAATACCTTTGTACAGTTGCACACACAGCCCAGGCACTGTGTCACAAATGATGCTAATGACACTATTTTGGCATCTTCACCAAGTTTTGACTTTAAGAATGAAGTGCTCTCACCAGCACACTGCATCAGTATCTATTAAAGAAAAAGCATGTTATGGAAGAAAGCATTACAGGATATATAAACATCTCTGAAATATACCATCATAAAACTAAAATCTTTTAAATATCTCACTTTGTCTCAGATGGTATGTGAAAAGCAGTTCCTAGATTTCTCAGCCATTCTACAAAATACAGTAATACACTCTCCCATTCAAAACAATAGAACGGCTAATACTGACCGACATGTGGTTTTCTAGTCAGTCAGACTTACCTTGGCCTTTTGAAACAGAGGAGATTTGTAGGCATTTTCTTCACTGATGACATCAGCATAACAGTAACCAGCCAGGACTCCAATTAGAAGACTAGCGCAGTGAACAAGGTTTACCACAGGGGTAGTCTGTAGGACAAAAAAAGAGGAAGATTGAAAAATCAAAGATTTTTTAAGAAGGAAACAGCACATATTGACATAACTAAAAACCTAGTTCACATCCCAAAGGAAGAGCCGTGCACTCACAAAATTGACACTTAAAAAGTGAAACACACAGTTGGTGCCAATATGCCTTTATTGAACAGCTCTACATTTTATTTATTTTGCAATTTAGTTCAAGCTCTCCAATTTGGAATTCACATGGTTACAGAATTTTGAAGCTTTTCTTAGTTACCGATTTCCGAATAGAGAAAATCAGCTTTTTCTATTCTCGTGTCAATTACTAAATCTGTCTTCTGACTGCTATTCAATCCCTAACTCCCAACTCTACTAAAGTCGTAATATTCTTAAAGAATCAGCTAATTATAAGTGCAATTAAGTTATGAAAGTATGTAAACCCGCAAACCTGATATCAGAAATATGAACACAACACACTCTTTTGCTATGCTATAGTCTAGGGATAAACTGAACCTTCAGGTGTTCTTGAGATACAACTCCCAGGATTCTCTGCCATACTACAAAACATAGTGCATCTTGATACTTGAGGTCGTGTGCCCCTGACCTATTCTCAATGGACTTCACTTTATCAATGTATGATTAGGGTCTATATATTTTCTTTTTTCAAATATTTCTGTTTGTTTTTGTGATCTTATTTTAGATTTCTCAGATTTTAGTGGAATCTTTCACTTTTATCCAATCAACAATTTAAGCATTATTTCTTTCTATTATAGTTTGTTATTTTCTGACTTCGTTTCTATATTTATAAATAGGTGCCTCTATCATGTTTGCAGATTTAACATATCAAATACGTTTGCCTGTGAAAATGTTTTCAGGTGGTATGTCTGCTATATAAAAGATACAGAAAAGCAATACATTCCAGCACATTCTTATAAAGCAGTTTCTCTATATTCCGGTGCCCTAATTGGGCACATTTTGTCACAGCTATATAATAAGTGTCTGCACTATAGATGACCCAGTCATGATTGTTATGTACAGAGGAGATAATTCAGAAACTCATTTATACCTCTGATGAGTAACTGTTCACTAACTGCTCAGACAAAGTGGTCAGGTCATGTTCCAACTTCTGTCTAATGGATGAATTCACAGTAAGACATACAGATCTTGACCTATTGGAGGAATCTGCGCCACTTGTATTGGACAACAAGGTAATTTCATTAAATGAAGCACGCAGGTATAGCTCTTCAGTTTCAGAGAAAATAGCCTCATTGCTTCCTCGAACATGGTGTGAGCTGAAAAAAACAAAAAGAAAGGTAATGAATAATTTATAAAAAAAAAAAAAAGTGATTCAAGAAAAAAATATTCTTCCCAAAACACAGTTTGCAGGGAGAATGTGTCAAGTTTACCATCCGATATGGGATTTGTCACATCAACTTAGTTAACGGTCATGAAGTACATTGGAAACATGAGTGTATAATGTAATATTCAACGTTATAAAAAGACTAAAGGCAAAATCCCAGAAGGTAAAGATAAACAAAAAATGCAAATATGTTGTCTAGGAGAATCCATGTCCAAAAGCTAATGAGAAAATGATCATGAGACATGGCAGTCCAAACAAGATTAATATATATAGGTACATTTTACTGCAGCATGAACCATACAATGACATCTATAAAGTCACCAAACCGTTTCAAAATCTGTAAACCATCCACTTTTAGAGAAACAAATGTGATCACAACGTGCAGTCATGACTTTACTTACCATTCTGAAAAGCTTTCAAAAAAAGTCATAGCAGCACATGAGTCTTTGATTGATAGACTCACAAGGACTTTCTGCAGAGCAGGGTGACAAAAGTCTCTGGAAAAAATAGACAAGTTCTAGACGTTAATAAAACACTAAATGAGGGGGGGAAAAAACCACAATTTTAAAAATATGACCTAAAGACAACATGTTTACGTGAAGAGCAGATGTATGACAACCACCACCATGTATGCCTAGGTTTGCATTTGTGTTGTAAACAACATCAGTCCCAAAAACAACCTCACTCATGTTGCCAGACATTCCCAAGAAAAAGACTCCTCTCTCACCTATGAAGTTGTCCTGCCCCACACAGTCAGGAAACAGAGACTGCAGATTATATCACCCCACTTAGTACTGATTACACTACATTACTAAGAGAGACTAGGAAATGGTAATCATCAAAAAAAGGACAGCTGTGTTTGTGGGGTGCACAGATTTAAAATATGGTATATCAATAGATGGTGGGTGCAAAAACAAATTAAATACTCTATGCTTGATTATTTAGAAAGAATTTGTACAAAATTGAATACAAATAATGCATTAAATAAAAAAAAGACAAAAAAACAAGCAATCAAAGCAGGGAACGCTAAACTGTACCCAATGGTAAAATGCAAGACTAGTATACACATTCCATTTAAAGGGACACTATAGTCACTACAACAACTACAGCTTAATGTAGTTGTTCTGGTGAGAATAATCATTGCCTTCAGGCGTTTTCATGCAAGCACTGCCTCTTCAGAGAAAAAGCAGCGTTTACATTGCCCTGAGGAAAACCTCCAAGTGGCCACTCCTCTGGTCACTGGAGGTGCTTCCTGGGGCAACGCTGCACAGTAGGCAGCACTGCTGTTCAGCGTCTCCACGATCTGCATGGGGATGCTAAATTTTCCTCATAGAGATGCCTTGATGCATTTGGCCCCGCCCCATCTCGCCTCCTTGCCGGGAAAGCATTGGATTAGCAACAACAAAAAAATCGGCAATTCTGATGAGGTCATCAAGGAGGCAGATGGGGGTGGGGCCAGAGGCGCTTGAAATAATGTGAGTTTTAATTCCTTTTAAGAGGGCTGAGGGGGTTAAGCCAGGTAAATGGTGGGTTTAACACTATAAGGTAAGGAATACATATTTGTGTTCCTGACCCTATAGTGTTCCTTTAATAAATATTGCTAATACAATGATTGGGAAAAATCTATAATTGTATTAGCAATATTTAGTAAATCAAATGTATATTTTTTGATTCTTGCATCTTGCATGTAAACACTGTTTAGCAGTCATTGCCATAATTGCTTCTTTTTTTTTTATATAATTTTTTATGCATTTTTTGAATTAAATTTAGTAGATTGTCTTCTTTAATAAGCAAACATAGAGTATTTCATTTCTTATTTTGCACCCTCCATATTTTGATCTACAGTATTTGCTTTCCACATATTTGCTACTTTTTATTTTTCCTCCCTACCGTTATATGTTTTCCTTAATGCACAGAGTTTATGTTTGTTTTCTCTTAGTCTCAGAATTGGTTTTCTCAAACACAGGCATGTATTACTAATATTCTATAAGTAGGGCATCTCAACATTTTTACTGACTGTGTATTGCTATAACTATTAAATGTTCCACAGGTGTTACGTCTGACTACATTATTTGGAAAGAGTTTTTCTGCACCAGATTATCGGTGACATCATCACAGTCATGAAAGTTACCGACTACTGTGAAAAATATTGAGTTTGCATTGTGTGGCCTATGGTGGGATCATAAATGAAGGACAAAATGCACCAAAATAAATAGCCATTTCAATTCATCCACGTATCTGCTTGCAATTCCAGGATCACAAAATATATTATGTGTATATTCTAGTTTCTAGGACTGTAAACACTAATCAGAAACAGGACCCAATCAATGCTTTGGTAACATGTATACATTAATCGGAGCAATTTAAAAGTACTATTTAAATGGAATTCATTTCAAGAATCTCTATCTATTATCATACGCATCATGAACACTGACTTGGTTATAACCGGGGAAAGCTCATTATTATCTTCCATGTCATCCTCCAAATGGCCGAAGAGTAACCACTTTATAATGTCTTCTTTTAGCAATCCTTTACTTTCGCTGAGGTCACTCCCCAGCTGTTCTAATCCTGTGTGGAGATGCTCTGGGAGGGCACAGGATCCAAGAGCCACTGACAAGCATAGCAATGCAGAGCTGCAGAAAAGGAGAGCTAGAGTTAGGGGGAGACATTGGATTTGATTTTTAAATATTATTTACAAAAAGCAACATTATACCATGAAATTAACTGTATAACAATCAGTGACGACTGAGATGTATTTTTATTTATCTACTTAATGAGAGGTCAAGTCAGAATTTCATGATTAAAAAAAATCTGTTAAAAAGCAAAAGTTAAGAAACATAGAATGTGACGGCTGATAAGAAACATTCAGCCTATCTAGTCTGACCAATTTTCTAAATACTTTCATTAGTCCCTGGCCTTATCTTATAGTTAGGATAGCCTTATGCCTATCCCACGCATGCTTAAACTCCTTTACTGTGTTAACCTCTACCACTTCAGCTGGAAGGCTATTCCATGCATCCACTACCCTCTCAGTAAAGTAATACTTCCTGATATTATTTTTAAACCTTTGTCCCTCTAATTTAAGACTCTAATTTAAGACTAAGAAGCAAAGTGTATAACACCAGTCCCATTACTAACAGAACCAACATAAACTGCAGGGATCCTTGCGGCACAACAATGGCTGGAACATCCCTAATATAGACATCTGAAGAGTAGGTGAGACGTGTCCAGTGCACACAAATGCAAATGGGGTGCACTGGTATGAGAAAGGGAAGAAATGTAGGAGCATATAAAAAAGAATTGTCAGAAAGCCACAGAGAGGATGGTATGGACTCATACATTTATCTAGTGGTGTGACACCCTAATTTGTACCTTCCATTACTGTGAACTCCTTTTTCTTTCATACTAACCCACATTAGATGGAAGGTCGTGGTAGCCCTTTGGTGCACTTGCCTCCAATCTGCTTGGCCTCTGCATTTCCCTGTTGTGGGCGCTAGGTCAACCCTTTTCTATAATGGGAATTTGTGTTACTTTTCTAATACCATTTCCTTCTGTGTCTTTCTAACAATTCTGTTACACATATGTAACACTTGCATATCCTTTTCTGTTGATATAACTGTTGTACTGAAAAAAACTGATGATTATTACAGAATTAATTACCTGGATGGTTTACCAGCAGACCCCGCAAACACCTTCCAAAAATCTCTGTCCGCAGGTATGAGATTTCCTTGCAGAATGACACCTAGCAGGGAAAAGCGCTCTATTTCAGTTTGTGGGGAACTAATGCTGCGCAACGTAACTGCCCAGATCTTTGCCCACAGTTTGTAAAGGTCTGATTTCACAGTGACCATCACATCTGTCTTCTGTTTCTGACAAATTGCGACTTCCTTCAGACACCTCAACACGAAGGTAGCTCTCTCTCCTCGCCTTTGCTGAGCAAGTAACTGGAGCAGAATTGTCAGTAAAGGAGTCAGCTCGCTGCTGGGCAGGCTCATTGGGTGCCTGGATATCAGACAGGATGTGATTTGTAACCTGTAAGTAAACACAGGATTTACAATGTACTTACAGTACAGACATACAAAGTCAGAAATACCCTCATTGGTTTAATACACCCACATTTTTTTAATAACGTTTACAGAGTACTGTTGTATTCTTTATATTATATTTATATTGTATATTGTTGATGAGATTTTTCCCATTTCTAAAATGGTAGCTTTTAAAATTGCAGCTACCTAGTTAATTCTGAAGAATTCACAGTTTAGTGAGAAATCCCAGCAGAGAGAAGTGTTCACAATTTAAAAAAAATATCAATTTGTGTCCTTTTTCAGGTGTGGAATTATAATTGTGCAAGGTCTACAATTTCCCAGTAATTAGCCATTTGTTGTTATAAAAGAGACCTGAATGATTCTTATTTGAAATAGGATTACCATGGGATAACATCAAAGTCATTGTGTGACTTCTGAAGGTTGTCTCGCACCACTTCCCAACCCAGTTCGATCCTCCGACGCTTACTCGGTATTCCCTCACCTGGTGCTTCTCTCTGCGTAACTGCAAATGAAGCTTGGGTGATCTCCAGGACTCGAGTATCTTCGGTGAAGAGCTAAGAACAAAGCAAAGAAGTAAAATTGGGAATATTCTCTCAGGAAGAAACAATGACCAAATTATTGGAAGACTCATGGTAAACTTGGTTTAAAGTTAAAGTTTTCACTGAAATCTTGTGAAAGATTGAAATGTTACACACTGCTTCCCCACAATAAAGTATACTCATGTCTTACAATTATTGAAGTTTATATCATAATGGATTATATACAGTGCAGACTACAGAATAGTGTTGTTATCAATAGAAAGCTTACACTTTCACATTAAAAGACGAGAAAAAAATATTGAAAGGTCCATGGTATAACAAAATTCTGCAAAAGATAGCAATGTTACTAAAGAGCCCAGGTGCCATTTTTAAATCATAATATTCTCAAATGATTGGGTTAAAGAATGTACAGCCTACGTTATCTGAATACACTTTACCTGATGGCAAAGATCTGCCATTAGTTCCACCAAATTGTCCTTGACTGCAACATTACGTGATCCGGATGAATATTTTCCCCTACTTCCTATCTGGCTGATCTCATGGACCATAATGTCATACAAACTGTACAAATTCCTCTGCCATCTGTCGGGGTCACATGCATATGCCCCTAGAATGAAAGAACAAATGGTTACCATAATATAATGATGTGAAATGTGTACGTATCTACTATTGTCCATACAAAGTCATCCAACCAATGGTTGAGTCCAGAGCTAAGCTGCCCCTCAAGCTCAATGCATATAATAGCTATCCAAGGTCATATGGGTGTGTAAGAAGATATAAGAAATCAAACGTATGCATTATGTAAGGCCTCACTTCACAATCAACTCAGTGAAGACTGCATTTATTAATTGCAATAATAAATAATAATAATAAAAGAGAGTAGAGAGAGTCTACCTTTCTGTCAATTTACTGAAGACGCCCTAAGAATACCTGCACCCTATCAAATGTGCTGTAGTGGTTTTGGTGCTGTGAGTGCCTCTGGAAGAATACTGAACAGTTGGTGGAAAATCTTGGGCTGTGAATTGTAGGTTTACCTTCTTCTGTGGTTTTTGCTCCTTTTGGATGGTGAATACGTAGCTGCAATCTAAAGAACTCCACAATCTCCTCCTTTAAAGCATCCTTAGGTCGATGCTGTGTCCATATTCGCAACACAGTTGGAAAGAGTTCTTCACCCAGCTTGCACACTCGCATGCGGCAGTTCAAAGAAGCCGCACTAAGAAACACGTTGAGAGCAGCAAGAATGTGGTCCAGCCCAGGCGGGTTTCTCTCCTCTCTAATAGAACCAATAAAAAAAAAAAACATTTTTAAAAACAGTCAAGCAGTTAAATAAAGATATATGACAAACTATGCAACCATTACGAGTGACAATAACCAGCTAAACCCAAAACAAGATCCCCATAATGCTTAGTCATCTTTATGGCTGGTTTAGCTTTGTGAGAGTTGCAGTACGATAGCTAAGAAAGTCACAGATCTGTCCTGAATTAACAGCCAAATAATGATTTATATTGATTCAGTTTAAGAATATTGTTGTCAAAGCAGAATTCAAATTGTAGAATGTCGTTACGACAATGTTGCAATAACACAGTACTCAAATGAGAGTCGCACAACTTTTTCAACTTTTGGCACTATTTTAATGGATGCCTTAATGGGTTTTTGGGTTAGCAAATTATTCCTGTATGTGGCAAACTGAGTAACTGGTCATTATTCTGCTGTGCCAAGCTTCGTTTAAACAACAAAAATGTAGTCCTCTATCTACCTCTGCACTTTTGGGAAGGAAGAGGGGAAGATCGCAGTTGCCAATAGATTATTGCCTAAATGACGTCTCAACACATGTGCTACAGTGATATTCTGGTGATATGACCGACAAAGACCATACTACAGACTGAAACTCTCAGTTTAGACCATTTACCTTGCTCTTTGAATTGCCTTCAAGAAGAATTTAAAACATTCTGTGCGCATCCCATCTGTCTGGAGACAGCATCCTCTAGTCAATGTGTGGATGATACGAGCCACTAATAACCGGTTTATGGCACTGTTTGGTTTTAAGTACAAGTTACAATACAACGTCAGCAATTCTGCAAATAAAACAAAATGCTGGTTAGTAACACTTTACAAATGGCATAAAGCAGATATGGGAGATGGATCATACTTATACAGGGCTTTTTGATAAATAAGTAACTGTGAAGAATGGACTAGGAATTGACACGTTTTAGGCCAAAATAGCTAAATTAAAATAATCTATTTTTACTAAAATGTGCAAAGCCCTAGTCAATTCCCAGATGAGAAAAATAACTAGATAAGAGGAATTGAAGCATGTTGATGTATTCTGGATAGAAACATGTCAAAGAATATCGGAGGCCAGCCAAACTCCTAATTCTGATCTAATAATGTGAACATTTGTAGCATGGGCCATTCAATATTAACAACTTTATTTTTCTCTTGATGCTACATTTGTTATTCTGGCACATTCTACTAGTCATGTTTCATTCTTTATCAGGGGATTTCCAAGAAGTTATAAAACCATGGTTTTCAGATCAAGGTTAAATGTTATGATCTCTCATACATATTACTGAAACATCTCCCAAAACCCTACTCTATACTACACCCTGACCCTCAACGTGTTCTATGAGTGACATGATATTAAATCTTTGAATGGAAGAGTATTACATGCACTATATTTATACATTTCACATCCCTAGTGTATCAAGCCAACACCTACAGCAATACCCCAAACTAGCAGCATCAAAACGGCATCCACTGCACTAAAACACCCACATTGTGCTACATAATTAACATCCACTAAGGTGCATTAAAGTGGCACTGTCCCAAAGTTTGTAATTAGAGGTGTTATCTCTCACTCAATATTAGTGGGGACTTAAGGCTAACAATGGAATTGTGCTAAAATCATACGTTGGCCTCTGCCAGAGCAACCAGGGGAAGTGCTAGCTGGCAAAAAGACCGGGGGTTTTACCCAAATAGTACATTTTATGGCACCTTCCACTTATACTGACTTAAACCAAAACCAACCCTACCCAAAATCTTTGTGTTTTATAAATCACATCATGACACCAAATTCGGATTATCACATGAACATATATTTATAAACTCCGCACCAGCTGTATTAACCCCAAGCCATGCAGTATTAACCTCTTCACCGGACCGCATTACAATCCTGCACCCACATATTGTGCTGTATAATTTAATACAAATATGATGCATTCAATTGGCACTGCCAGAAATGAGATCATTGGAGGTGTTATTTCTATCTCGGTATTAAACAGGACTTGGGGCTAACAATGACATGTTTCCAAAATGAATAAAACTTTTCAGGACCCCACTTGGGGATCGAGCCCCCGACAGTGACTCTCAACATATGAGACTTTAAATAAAAATTTGTAGAATTATTTATTGTAAAACTATTACCAAGAGAGGAGTGTGTTACATTCACTAGGCTATGGAGTTTTAGCTCTTTTGAAATTCTCCCTTCTTCTGTAATAAGCGTTCTGACACTTTGTAGTTTATTGCTACTAAGGCTTGTGATTCCTCAGTCCATCTGCATACTAGATCACCCATGCGAGCTGCTGCATTTTTGCATTCCAAATTATTACCAAATAAATTCCACTGAAGTCAATGTGAGTAGCTACATTTGTTGAGAGATTTTGACCACTTTCTTATCACAATCACTTGGTGTGAGGAGGTTTACAGCGAATAAGCCATAATCTATATTAATAATGCATTAGCAAAAGGAGGGAATCTAGTCCAGCCTGGCCTATCCCTTTAAAAACTGGTATGTTGAGATGATATGTCTGACGTCAAATATAATTCTGTCGGTAAACGTCTCACAGTAAGAAGTACATACCTTTCCACTGCTGAGGAGAGATCTCACACCAGTACTTGCGGACAGAGAGAATATCCTTAAGAAGTATACTGCTGTAATCCGCCCCATACGCAGCACAGGTGGTAGGATCATTCACAGTGTTGGTCACATGAAGCAAAAGCTCGGAGCATTTTAATCGAGGAGCACCTAACCAAATAAAAACAGGAGAATTTGATATTAGGTGTTTAACATAGACAAACCAGGAAAGGGGCAGGATCATTACTTCTGAATCCAAATGTACCTATGTTGCATGGCAAGGTAGAACTTTGTACAGCATTGATTAGCATTGAGGGAAGTGATATGGGACATGAGTACCTGTTTGGTATACATGGAAGTCTCGAAGATATATATATATACTTTTTTAATTTAAAAAAAAAAAAGTCTACTACCCTGCATTGTGAGTCTATGTACTACATTCCCATGATATTCAGTCAGCCTGTGCTTTAAAAGGCACATGGGAAATTTAGTACACAAACAAGAGCTGTGCAAGCTAGTCGATACTGTGTATAACCAGGGTGTATAAGTGAACATAGACATGGAATGTGACGGCAGATAAGAACCATTCGGCCCATCTAGTCTTCCCAATTTTCTAAATACTTTCATTAGTCCCTGGTCTTATCTTATAGTTAGCCTTATGCCTATCCCACGCATGCTTAAACTCCTATACTGTGTTAACCTCTACCACTTCAGCTTGAAGGCTATTCCATGCATCCACTACCCTCTCAGTAAAGTAATACTTCCTGATATTATTTTTAAACCTTTGCCCCTCTAATTTAAGACTATGTCCTCTTGTTGTGGCAGTTTTTCTTCTTTTAAATATAGCCTCCTCCTTTACTGTGTTGATTCCCTTTATGTATTTAAATGTTTCTATCATATCCCCCCTGTCTCGTCTTTCCTCCAAGCTATACATGTTAAGATCCTTTAACCTTTCCTGGTAAGTTTTATCCTGCAATCCATTAACCAGTTTAGTAGCCCTTCTCTGAACTCTCTCTAAAGTATCAATATCCTTCTGGAGATACGGTCTCCAGTACTGCGTACAATCCTCTCACCAGTGTTCCGTACAACGGTCAATGTGAGTATTTTATAAACATGTTGAAAGTTTTTGCCATGCATTAAAAAGCGAATAGGCATCTTTGCAAGTTCATTTAACAGTACTTTTATTATTATTATTTTATTATATATATATATATATATATATATATAGCGCCATCAGATTCTGTAGCGCTGTACAATGGGTGGACTAACAGACATGTAATTGTAACCAGACAACTGGACGTACAGGAAGGGAGTGGGATATAGTGACACAAAGGGTAAAAGTAGGGGTACGAAGTAGGTTGTTGGAAAAGTATTCACTGAGGGCTTAGTAGGTAATTTATGACAGTTGCAGGAGAGGAGTCATGAGGGGTGGGGGGTAAAAACTGTTAACAGTTTAATTGATATGCTTTCTTGAAGAAGTGAGTTTTCAATGAATTTTTGAATGAGTGGAGACTGGGTGAAATTCTTATGGAGGAGGGAAGGGAGTTCCACAGAAGGGGTGCAGCCCTGGAGAAATCTTGGAGGTGAGCATACGGACAGAGTATATACGTAGGTCTTTGGCAGAGTGCAAGGTGCCTCGACGGGACATACTTGTGTATTAGGGAGGATAGGTAGGTTGGAGCAGCATTATGTAGGGAATTGTAAGCAAGCACCAAAATTTTATGTTATGTTATTTTATTTTTGTAAAACTCTAACTTTAATTATTAATAAATGGAGCACTGACACATTAGGTTTAATATAGATCATGTTTTTCTTTTTAGTTTAAATGTGTCTTTCTATGGAACATGGAAATTGAGAATTACAACTTCTGCTAGTGTAGGAAGAGTCTATCGACAATGGTCTAAAAGTAACACTTTGCTGACTACATAATAAATTAAGATTTTTAATTGTGAAATATTATTCCTTTAGAGAGGGCTTAACATTGTGGTCAACTCACGTTTATTGGCGCATCGGATGAAATATTTCACTAGACTGCTGATATCTTGCATTTTTTTCTGACGTGCGGTTTGCGTGGAATGAGACACATTTGCCTTGGCAGATTTAAGGCTTTCTGTTTCTTTGTGGATGTATTTCTGCAAGAACCTGAACAGATGACATAAATTAGTTCAATAAACACACCGGATCCCAGTCTCAAGTGAATACTAAACTGAGAGCCGTAACATATAATTTGTGGAATACCAAGTAATGGAGTAGGAAACATCCTGCTTTGATTAACTCAAACTTATGTGATAAGTTGCTTATAACAGCTTCTACAGCTTAATTAATAAAATAAAGTGAAATTGACATAAACTGTCAGTATTGCACAGATAAAGAGAACCTATCCTGACAGTTGTAGGTTTGCAGTTTTCTAACCATTTGGCTTGACTAACTTTATACCATTAAGCGTTTCTTCCTTAAATACTATTAAAAGCTCATATTTTAATTTATTTCCATTACCCGTGTCTCTTGCTGAGAGCATCCTTCACGTTTACAGTGGGTGTTAAACTTGCATACCCCGTTTGGGAAGCACAGACAGGTTAAAAGTTCCCAACACTATACATTGGCTTTGTGTAAATAAAACTGATCTGTCCTCTCTCTCCAATTCTCAGATTACCTGCCCAAAGCTGCTGCAATAAATCATTCTGGATGTTTATCTCCTCACTCCATGCTGCACTCACACAGAGCCTGCTCCTCCTCCCTATCTTCCCTTGCAGTTATTGCTTTCCTTTAGAGTGAATTAAAACAGAAGAAATGCCCAGAGGAGGGTTCCCCTGATAATAGACATGCAACATTTTTAGCTCTGTGCTGATCAACAGAGGTTCAGTACAGATTGAACTGACTGAGATGAGAGGAAAGGAGCTGTTTTTCAACCTCTAGTTTTAGAGAAATCTATACGTTTCCAACAATTTTGCTAGCGCAATGTATTGATTACATTTTATTCTCTATCCCTTAAGATTAAAGAGACACTCTTTAATAATATTATCAGAAAGAAGACTCACCTGAAGACAGTATCCCAGTTAAGCTGTTTTCCATGCCGGGTGTCAGAATTATGATCTAACTGCTTAACGGTCTCTGGATCTCGAAGAAGACGCCGAAACTTATCAATTTCTTTCTGAAATTAGAGTAATATCAATACAGTTTTTGGTAAAAAAAAATAAAATAAAAAAAAAGATGAAATAATATGGCAATGCAAAACATTAAGTAATTCTTTTACATTAGTTGAGGAGATACAAGAGCTGTTTTGCAGTCTCTGGTGACGTAGACCAGGTGTAGGCAACCTTCAGAACTCCAGATATTGAGGACTGCATCTCCCAAAATGCTGGCAAACCATCGGGGCAGATGTACTCCACAACATCTGCAGTGCTGAAGGTTGCCTACCCCTGAAGTAGACAAATTCAAAGGGCTGAAATACGCAATGCTTGGCATCTCAAAACAGAGGGGCATTGTCTGAAGTGAACATCAAATTGTAAAATTCATAGCCAAACTCTAACTATACCAAAGTTTGAGCATTTTTAAAATCAGAAATTTGTGCTTCAGTTTTGTGATTCGAATTTCAATTCAGTTCAGTGGAACTGTAGAATGCCTTGCTCTGCCCTCACAAATTCGGGAGTCATTTTCGATGCAGAACAACTGACGTGTGATGATGGGAGTCTGGCCTATTCAAATTCAGCTCATCTCTGGATAGGGGGATATACAGTGATAAGTAAATACAGTTATTCAATTAAGAGAACTCTAAGTATCTTAACCACTTTAGTGCGCTGAAGTGGTCATGGTGCCAAAGGTCTCCAGTGCTGTCTACGGGTACAACTCTGCAGTCCAGCACCTCTTCACGGATATCGCTAAAATGGAAGTTCACTTTGAATTTTATGTATGTAGAAATTGTGTCCCTACTAGCAATTAATTCATTGGCTGACAGCGTCAGCTGATCACATTCTTTTGTCATTGCATTTCTGCCTTGTCGCCATTGTATTGGGTATATAAACACTGTGACCAGTCCATTGTTGCAACTGATATAAGCTCTTTTTTGAGCATGTATGGAAATAATATAATAGCTGCTACTTTTCTATATGGACTATGCTTAAAGCCTGTCTGTTAAGAAGTTACTTCTTAGGGACACGCACTGCTACCTGCTGATAAATATATAAACAATGTACTACCCAACACACACAATTAACATGGAGCATTCTGGGCTGTGTGAAGCTGGCCCCCCTACAATCGGCACAAATAAAATATCCAATGTGTTTCATTAGTGCTACATTTGTGCTGTAAAAATTAAGATTTGTGCTGCTTTTATTATTAAGATAATTAGCAATTAAATAAAAAGTCAACCAGACCCTCCCCCCGCCCCTTCAACAGTCAAACAGGGCTAGTTAGTTAGTGCTGCGTTTGTGCTGTTTAAATATCCATTCTCTCTCATTTTGTGTTTGAGTTATTAACAAATTAATAATGGTCACCAAAGGTCACCCAGCCCCCCTACAACAGCCAAAACACACGAAATCAGACTGCTTGGTTAGTGCAGCGTTTGTGCTGGTTTGTGCCATTTACATTTTTATTTGTGCTGCCTCTGCTTTTTTAGTTATAACAGTTTGGTTTTTTTGACAGGGAAAATAATGTAACCCGCCATCCAATTTGACTCAGCTGTGCAAACTTGGCAGCCATGTTTTTTTAAAATGTGATTAAAAACATACCATTCATTTGTGCTGCATTTGTGTTGCAAAAATTTACGTTTGTGTTGATTTGGTCTGGGAGACATTAAGCATCATATATGCTCAAACTCCACCCACTTTGTGCCACACATTATTAAATTTGTATTTATTTTTTAAAATTCTTTATTTTTATTTTCAAACAATCCGCATTGTATAACATTGGTGTGGCTTCAAGAACATTGCACATTTTATCAGTAAGAAATAACAATAGACTAATAGCTTAATCTGTTTAGTCATCTCTAGTTTATAGAGGTCATGCCCAGAACCAAGCTCCTTATATCCTCAGGGTAAGTTACCCTGCAGGCCCGGCATTTGTACAGGGCTTGGGGAGAGTGAGTGGTAGGCTGTGGTCATTGTAGGGAGCAGGATCGAACCCCAGCCAGTTCTGTCAATCTAAGCGTTGGAAGTGCTCCTTTGCTACACATTATTACATTTTAAAAACAAATATGCCATTTGTTTGTGCTGCATTCGTGCTGTAAAAATTAAGATTTGTGCTGCGTTTATTATTAAGATAATAGCAATCGTTTTTTTGGGTTATTACTGATTAAATATAGGTCACCCAGCATCCCCGTCAAGAGCCAAAACAGATTAAACTTGGCTGGTTGGTTAGTGCTGCTGCTTTTGGTTTCTCCGATATCCGCGGTACAAGGGGGGTCTATCCGGCTTCGATTTTTTTATTCCACCGCCCCATGCCTGCTGGAGAGCGGACAGCTGCTAAATGCGTTCTAAAGAAGATTTTTCTCAGTTTTCTTAAGTAATTGAGCGAGTTTTGCTCGGAGCTCGAAGCATGTGCATCCTCTCGGTATGGCTCCTTGCTAAGCCCCCAGTATAGTAATTTATTAACAACAAATAATATCATAAAAAAGTTAAAATCACACTCACAAAAAACATGGCAAAATTAGAAGTACATTGTGCAAAATAGCTTGTAATCCACTAAATGGGCTAAGTTACATAGAAACATAGAATGTGACGGCAGATAAGAACCATTTGGCCCAACTAGTCTGCCCAATTTTCTAAATACTTTTAATTAATCCCTGGCCTTATCTTAAGTCTAGGATAGCCTTATGCCTATCCCACGCATGCTTAAACTCCCTCACTGTGTTAACCTCTATCACTTCAGCTGGAAGGCGATACCATGTATCCACTACCCTCTCAGTAAAGTAATACTTCCTGAAATTATTTTTAAAGTTCCCTGGTGTGGCCTATGATACCTCTTGAGTTCAACAGTCTCACTTCCTCAGATATCCAGACATGCAGTATATATAAGAGGGTCCATATAATGGTTCTTTAGTGGAGGTAAAGGCTATGTCAATCCATTGGGAACAGCTGCAGCTCGACGCAAGAACTTGATATTCCTCTGTGTTCCGCTCATTTTTATATATAAATTTTGCACGCTTTTCCGGTAGGAGCGTGCATGCGACAGACGAAACACAATACGTGTAATTATGCTCAACCGTCTCACCGCGCATGGGCGCACAACCAGGCTGGAACGCAAATAAACTTTACTGATACTGTTTGCGGACAAATTTAAAGTGAAAACCGGAATGTTCAGAACTTTTTTGCATCCGTGATTATCAAGAAATAGAAGGGGATATAGTAGACAATATAGAATATGAATCATAGAATAAAATTATAATAATACATATTCAATATTACAATAATAATACTACAAGGTCAGAATAAAAATACATGGTCTACTTCAGATTGTTAAAATCCATAACATATATTGTAGTGATGAGTACAGACAATCTTATTCAGGGATAAAAAGGACTCAGGAAGAAAATATCAGGAAGAAGTAAAGTTAACATAAAATACATTAAAAAATAAATAAATAAATTTGGGGAATCATTGTGATTGGATCAGGATGCCACTTCTAATGATATCAGCAGACTGCATGTTTTTCTGAGGCAAACAGCATGCAGAACTACAGCTTCAGGCTTGAATACAAGTAAGATTTTTCTATATTTATGGAGGCATGAGGGGCCCAGGGAGGCTAGATGGTGGTTTTAACACTATAGGGTCAGGAATACATGTTTGTGTTCCTGACCCTATAGTGATCCTTTAACACGCACATTTGAAACATATTAGAGGCCATTAATCGATAACAAACCATAAACCTAGACCTACATTCAAACCCATAGGTACAGTAATTTTTAATTTATGGATCCACTCAGTCTCCCTCATTGCTAAAGTCTTTTCTATATTGCCTCCCCTCCAATGAGGAGAGATAACATCTATGCCAATGCAAATGAAATTTTTAAAGTTAAAATCTTTGCAATTGCCACAATGGTTAATTCTTTCTATTAATACCACTAAAATGTTCTAAAAATCTAATCGCATGCCACATTTGCACTGTAATACATATATTAAGTATTTTGTCTGACAGTTAAAGGAACACTATAGTCACCTAAATTACTTTAGCTAAATAAAGCAGTTTCAGTGTATAGATCATTCCCCTGCAATTTCACTGCTCAATTCACTGCCATTTAGGAGTTAAATCACTTTGTTTCTGTTTATGCAGCCCTTGCCACACCTCCCCTGGCTATGATTGACAGAGCCTGCATAAAAAAAAACTGGTTTCACTTTCAAACAGATGTAATTTAACTTTAATCACATACAGGAGGCTCTTGCAGGGTCTAGCAAGCTATTAACATAGCAGGGGATAAGAAAATCTTAATTAAACAGAACTTGCAATAAAGAAAGCCTAAATAGGGCTCTCTTTACAGGAAGTGTTTATGGAAGGCTGTGCAAGTCACATGCAGGGAGGTGTGACTAGGGTTCATAAACAAATGGATTTAACTCCTAAATGGCAGAGGATTGAGCAGTGAGGCTGCAGGGGCATGTTCTTTACACCAAAACTGCTTCATTAAGCTTAAGTTGTTCAGGTGACTATAGTGTCCCTTTAATGAAGTGTTTAATTTAAACATTTTCTTTAGTTACTGTAATTTTAAACTCAGTGGTTTTGGAAGCTTGAAATTTCCATGTGCTGCAATGGCCACACTTAAAAAAGCCTTTTGGTTTCTCGCTTAAAAATTTTTTTATTTCATTTGTGGATTTTATTTTGGGTAATATACTAGGTGCTAAAATAGATTTTAGATTTTGTGTCTTTATATTTAGTGGCTTACAAGCTCTTTTGCACAATTTAGGAGTACTTCTAATTATGCCATTTTTTTTAATGTGATTTTAACTTTTTTTTTATGATATTATTTGTTGTCAATAAATTACTATACTAAGATATTTTTTTCTTTTTCATTTATAATTCGAGTGGTAATTATTGTCACACCTGTGTGATTGTGGTGCCCTATGTTTTATATATATCCTGTGTGATTATATATTGGACACAAAAAAACTGTTATAACTAAAAAAACAAAGCAGCACAAATAAAAATGTAAACGGCACAAACCAGCACAAACGTAGCACTAACCAACCAGCCTGGTTTCATGTCTTTTGGCTGTTGTAGGGGGGTTGGTTGATCTTTATTAAATCATTAATGTAAGGAAACCAAGTACATTTAAACCTTAATCGGTAGTTTCCTCCCGAACAGGCAGAGCCCAGTGAATATAGTAGACGAATTCCCAATTGTAAATCCAATAGTGTTCTTGGATAATTCCCACAGTAAAACACACGAACTCACAAACAGCATACGTAGTCAGAATAAGGGTACAAAGATGAACTGAAGGTTTAATGACAGGCATGCTCTTTTTATGGAATTCAGCCCATGCAAGGGAGCCTCCCATATAATTAGCCATACATCCAATCCTAACAATATACATACTGTACATCTCCTCCCCTCAGATAACCATTAAACACAATTAAAACGTAACAGAAATTCCCCAAAGTTTGGATGTACCCCAAGGACTTACTGATTGTCTGGGAGACCAACCTATTAAAAACTCAGTCCATTCGGTTCAGCCGTTCGGGAGATATAGGACTTAGAAGTTTTGACCGACTGCACGGGCAAAGTAGCCGAAAACAGTTCCATGAATTCTGGCCCTGCAGTCGGTCTTAGATTGCATGAAAAACCTCCCGAACGGCCGGCCATCCAGCTACCATCCTTGGTTCGCTTGATTCCCCATCTGTTGGTAAGTCTTTCTACCGAACACCCGGTCGTTCGGTAGTTTGGAAGGGGTTTTACCGACGGTCTGGAGGCTTCAGCGGTGTTCGCCTGTTTGAGTGTCCGTTTTCAGTTCCAGACATTCAAGGGCAAACACCGCTGTTCGGGAGCTAAAATGGCCGCGAACACAAGGAAGTCCAGAAATGGCGGCGAGACCTGCCGTTCGTGCAAAACTTCTGCCGAACGTAATCCAGCCAGCAAGGGGGTACAGTCTGTATACAGGGGTGACAGGGTGGTCTGCATTCAGTAGTTTTACCTACCGAATGCCATAGGGAAACATTGCTATTGACAACATATACAAGGAGTGCATATACAGTAAAAAAAGGCATTTCTTCACAATTAATAACTCAAAAATGAAATGAGATAGAACTGAGATTTAAATGGCACAAACCAGCACAAATGCAGCACTAACCAACAAGCCCAAATTCATGTGTTTTGGCTGTTGTAGGAGGGATGGATGACCTTTGGTGAGCTTTATTTAATCGCTAATTATCTTGAACATGTATTCCTGACCCTATAGTGTTAAAACCACCATCTAGCCACCCTGGGTCCCTCATGCCTCTATAAATATAGTAAGAATCTTACAGTATTCAAGCCTGAAACTGTAACTCTGCATGCTGTTAGACTCAGAAAACAAGCAGTCTGCTGACATCATCAGAAGTGGTAGCCTGATCCAATCACAATGCTTCCCCATAGGATTGGCTGAGACTGACAAAGAGGCAGATCAGGGGCAGAGCCAGCATGATTCAAACACAGTCCTGGCCAACCAGCATCTCCTCATAGAGATTAATTGAATCAATAAATCTCAATGAGGAAAGTTCAGTGTCTGCATGCAGAGGGAGGAGATACTGAATGTTTGGATGCATTTTAGGCAGCCATGACCCAGGAAGGATCTCTAACAGCTATCTGAGGAGTGGCCAGTGAAGTTATCACTAGGCTGTAATGTAAACACTGCATTTTCTCTGAAAAGACAGTGTTTACAGCAAAAAGCCTGAAGGTAATGATTTTACTCACCAGAACAAATTCAATAAGCTGTAGTTGTTCTGGTGACTATAGTGTCCCTTTAATAATAAAAGCAGCACAAATGTTAATTTTTCCAGCACAAAACAGCACAAACATAGCACTAACGAAATTCATTTGATTTTTTATTTGTGCCGATTGTAGGGGGCCAGCTTCACACAGCCAGCATTCTGGCATCTATGATAAATAAAGAGAATAATGAAAAATATCTATAAATAGTACCCGTCGTTCAGTTGCCTTGTCAGTTTCAAGTTGTCGACAGCAGAGAAGAAGCTCATGCAATGCAAGACTCATGGTGACCTGAGCAGAGCAGGAACTACATAGAGAAAGAAAATTTGTTTTTACATGTTGCACATATGTTCATGAAAGCACAAAAAGGTTAATAAGCAATCTACAGGAAGGTGGATTCATTTATATTGAAGAATGGCTGGTGCAAGATTAAAGGGAAACAAACCTTCAGCGACTGAGATTGTGAATACTATTTTTACCTATCCCTATATTAAACAATATGCATTTGTGAGACGTTAAAAATGTAAATGAGATGTAGAAATCTGCACATTTTCCTCCAATTGAATGCCTCCATCTTAGCTTCCTGTCAGTCATTGTTATAAACTTTGTCTTTTGCTCTTGAAAGTAGTCACACATTACAGATGATTGTCAATGTTATATTCAATGCTGCAAGTTCCATATGGAGAATGTTTGGACATTACAAAGCATATATCACAGAATGTAAGAAATATCACAGGGCTGAAACTTTTAAGTCCTACGCAACTAGACAGGCTGAAACATGACTTGCCAATGCAAGCTTGGATGGTCCACAGAACACTCAATAAGAGGCATTGCTAATCAGCAGGGCTGTACTTCCACACAATACAGTCTAGAGCAGGCAAAGGCAACCTTCGGCACTCCAGATGTTTTGGACTACACCTCCCATGATGCTTTGTCAGCAATACGGGTGTAAGAGTGTTGTAGAATTATTAGGCCTCTATAAATCTGTAAGGCCCCTTTAAATCCTCTTGCTATACCTCTAAGAGGCCCCCATAGTTTTACAAGAAAGCCTTGTCTATAGAACATAGAATTTGCATGTCAGCAAGAAATAGCTTTGATAAAATGTGTATTTACTAAAAGCCTTGAAACCTAACCTTGAGAAACTAACAAGTGCCAGCTACGCTCTAAATGGATAGCTGCCAAAAGGCCCCTCCCGTCGAGTGAGCTCCTCATGTTAGCAAAATGGCGCTAAAACCTGGAGGAGTTAAAAATGACGTGGATAGTGACCTAAGAATGGGGAGGGCATTTTACTAACATCTTAGCACCTAAGCCAATTAACAATGTCTATTTGTCTATATCTTGATTTTCTTCAATGATGTAATAATGCCTTTAAAAGGGTCTGCGCACCCATTTTCTGCCAGAAGCCATTAAACTTCTCCGAAGTTCTTTCATTACCCTGAACTTTGTGTCTCAGTGTGAATTTACTTCTGCGTGCACGCAACTTTATTATCTTTAATTTGGACAGGAACAGATAGTCATTCAAACTAATTGGTTTGCAGTAAATTATCTACTACAAGAGCATTATGGGGGATGTAGTCCACAACATCTGGAGTGCCAAGGGATGCCTATTCCTAGTCTAGAGGTTAAGTGGAACTTTGAGTCCCGAATACAGTATCAAAACTCCAATGAAGCATGCATCAAGTCCATAAATGTAATCAGTAAAAAGATATAAATCCAGAGTGGCAATGGGTGTAGAAACTGTGGCTTTAATTCATCTCATTCCAATTATAAATAACATTGGAAATGGCTTAACAGAATAAGGGAATATTATCCATAGTTGTCATAATTTTCCTGGATAAATCCAGAGCAGCATTGGATTTTGTTTTCATTTTAACTCCCTAAAGAAGTAGGCAACCTTTGGCACTCCAGATGTTGTAGACTACATCTTTCCTGATATTTTGCCAGCATTATGGATGTAAGACTATTATAAGAGATGTAATCCACAACTGGAGTTGCAAAGGATTCTTATCCCTGTCATGCGTAATGTTGCAATGGATTAGCCAGGAATAAGGAAAACGCATCAAAACTTACTAAAATGTTATTTTTCTGGGTGCATCCATGACAGCATGGAATTCCACTCTTTTCTGTATAGGATATTGTCACAAATTAAGATTGGGAATCATTAAGACGTATATTTATAATTTTAATGTCCTCTTCTAAACAGCCAAATGGGCAGAGCTAAACCACAAGTAATGCTCCCGTGGATTAGAAGAATGATTTTTTTTTTTTTTTAAACTGGCCTTGTGTAGAATTATTGCTATGATTTTGTCTGCGGAGTCATTAAGGCAGCCACATACTCTTTACTATACAATTAATGTCTAACGGTCACATAGGATTCACAGAATATTTGTATATATTATCAGAAAACAGCTGTCAGAAAAACTGGACAAAGTATTCCTTTTACAAATCTTCAAGCTGCAAAGAATCTATTTTTTTTTTTTAAGGGTTTTTCTTTTCTTTTTATTCCCCAGTAACAAGTAAAGGAGAGACAATATACTTTCATAGGCTTTAACATGTAAATACTGTTCACTGCAAACACCAGAAAATCCAACTAATGGAGGTAATCACAGAAGGCCTACTAGGAGGCATTAGCTGATGGCCAACATTCTCTAATCCTGTTTTTTATAGTAATTTGTCGGTAAATGATCAACACAAAAGAAGCGATTGATTGACTGTCATGAGTAAATGTCTGCTGCCCCCGACGCATGCAGTAAGCTGCTTAAAGGTGAAATGGTACCCTGGAGCCTCTGCTGGCAATTGGATTTCTTTATTCTTTCCTGGCTCAATGGCAACAGGATTGAATCGGGTGAAAACTGAATTAAGATTGCATCCTGTCCCTAAATGTATGTATTCCAGTACATATTTATGGTTATTCACTAAAGGGAATTCAAAGTGAATTTCACCTTAATTGCCAAATTAGCCGAACAGGAAAGGGACAGGCTCTGAAAAACTGTGGCCTCAAACTTTAAAGAGACTAAAGTAAAATCGGTCAAACTTAAATTGTGATTTATTATGCAATTAGAACAGCCTGTTTCTAATGTCAAAGGCTACTAAGTTCTCTTGATACAGTCATGGAAGCAGACACTCCGTTGACTTCGGAATGCATTTGTTTCACTAGGCTACAGCAGATAATACCGTAAAATCAAATGTTAAAAAGCCTAAAGCGGCAAATTCATAAACCAGGCATATAGTTGGGGCAATTATCGATAACATAAGATTAATCAATACATATAAGTATTATGTCAACATTTAACGGTTCTGTTTTCCAAATTCCACAATATGATTCTCAAAAATCTTATTTTAGGAAAATACACTTTTTTTTAAGTAATAATGTATTCTTTTTATTTATTTATTTGCTAAGGCACTTTATGGTTTGTTCACGGTACTATATTATTATTTGCAAAAGCAGGCTTGCAAACTTTAACCTTTTCAACACACATGTCCCAACAATGAATTCTAATTCAAAGCTTATTTTTTTATTTAATTTTTTTAATAGTAACAAGTTAAGCAAACACATGACTTCTCTGTAAACGTATACGTACAAGGAAGCATGTTAAATGTCAAACTCCCGAGTGTCCAGCTCAGCATAACAAGAATGAAAACTACACAAGAATCTAAAATACCAAATGCAATTGTGAAGGCAAGAGTTCTTTGCAATTGACCCTTTAACATCTAATATTTCTTAGCAAACGAGATACCAATGAAGATTAGTAAACACAGCAACACCATACTGTATATATATGTTAAACTAAACAAACAACAAAAAATAACTTTAGTAATAAAAACATAAAAAGAAAATCAGTTACTGAACATGTAGTCAATAAGAATTTATTAAACTACAGATGACTGCACTGAAGAGATTACATATACATACATATATATACACATATACACACACACACACACACACACAGAGATACATATAGATATACAAGTATGTCATTTCTAACAGGTTAAATGCCTACTCTGTAAAAATTCACACTAAGCTGGCAACTACACAAGCTCCTTGTAGACATATTGCACACTAACACATCATTTAACCATTTTGTGTTGTCTGCCTTGGAACCCTTGCCCAGTTCTGTTACCCTAATAACTACCTTGACAAGTTCCAGTGCTCCTGCCTCCTCCACGCTTTCTGCTGTGTCACATTCTAATCCGTCCGGCAGAAACACTTTCACTTTTTACTTTCAGTTCCGTTTTTGTCTTCTGACTGTTACATAAACATAAACAATTTAGTGTATTGTGCAATAACTTCCATAACTACCTGCTCCAACTTTTCCTCCTCTAACAAGGTATATAAATAACCACATTTAGTAAGTTTAATAAAGCTACAAAAATGATGATTATCATTATTTATGTTAAAATGTAATTATTGTTATCAGTAATATCTATTAATAATATTACATATACTATGAGGGATGTCATTTTGGATTTTATGCTTATTTGTTAAACTGGTGCAAGAAAACTACCAACTATCCGACACCAAGTAATAAATCCTGTGAAATTATGAAATCATCCAATTAATTCAAATATATCTATATATTATTCTTTGCAATAGCCAAACTGAAAACTTTTTGATGTTTGACCCTAACTTTTATTTTAACCTTAAATTTTAAATTCACTTTGACTTCTTGACAATAATCAATTTTGTGAAAAACACAGATTGATTAGTTCCACGGAAAGTTCAGAAAAACCCATCTCGCTTCCATAGAGAGAGAGATCCTGTAATGGTGCTGTGTTTATCAGGGTGAACAATCATTACAGGGCCAATATAAGTGGTGCCAATTTTAATGTCACTTTTAGGATTAGTGAGTACATCATGTTTACAGGTACCAGGTGCCAGAAGATATGGGGCCATAGAGTAATAATTCTATAATTCTATTATTTGGAGTGATTTCTCATTTACAACAAAACAAAGTGATTTTCAGTTTTCAACATCATGGGAAAATGCCCTTTTCCCTCATAAATGGCATTCAGATTTCATTTTTGGATCAACGAGCTGCTACCCGCTGTCTGTGAAAACTGGTTGTGGTTGTTTTCTTGTCATATGAGGTGTCCAGCTTCCACCCCCTTCTCAATGATGTCACATGGGGGAGCATAATTTCCCTATTGAGCGTACAAGAACTTGTACACAATGAACAGTCTGTTTATGTCATTCAACTCAGTTTTCTTGTAAGCTGTTTTGAGTATACACCCAGCACAACTCCTGCATGTCCAGGAGGCCTACTCCATGTACGTACTTGAATATCTCAATGAGGAAGCAAATGGACCTTCCAGTTACATAGTATTATGCGGTACATGATGGGCCTTGTAAGTCATGCTTTATTCCTACTGCTGCCCTGCTTATATACAATTTATACGTTGCCTGAGACAAATATTCCAGTTAATCACAGTATGGATCTCAAAGGACCAAAAATTGAATTTCTAACAGCAGCATTATTGACGTACTGACCCAAAAGGTTTAAGTAGAAACACGTCCCTCTAGTGATATACCCACTTTATTACTACATCATATTTTGCATTTAGGGCAGGGTTCAGCAAACTATGGCATATGAGGTGCCTTTGCCTTGCATGTGAGGCTTCCAGACCTAAACCAGTTGGGGCTGGCCTGAAAGAGGTTCCATTTGGACCTCTTCAGATATCTGCTAGTGCCCAAATGCAAGGGGCAGTGACAAGCAGTCTTTAATTCACTTGTTGCAGCACTGAGAGGATCAGATCTCAAATCACTTGCTCCCAGTGACTGTGAAGGAGAAATTGTGTAGGAGGAGAACAGCCAGCTAATGCACCAGCCCTTGCCCTGGCCAGCCCAGTCCCACTGGACTTTAGGGTGGCCATCCTCCCACTGCTCAATGGTAAACAATAAGGCAGGTGCATAAAAATAACAGCATTGTCAATGTGCGGGTGTAGTTGTGCCTTGTACGGTGTGTGTGTGTGTCTTGCAATTTGTATCTAGCAGTGGGATTGTATATGAGTAACATTGTGTGTGAGTATGGCAGTGTCTGTGGCAATATGTAACTGCGTGCCTCAACAGCGTGTATTTGAGGGATACCACAAAGTTCTCATGCACATACACATTCCAACACAGCCAACATACGCACAAATACAACCCTACAAAGCAGATGCAGAACAATGATAAATAACACTAGCAGCATACGTCAACATACACACAAATTAATTTTAAAAATGAAAAATAGGAGTGACACACCAAGGGATTTCAAAGTCTTTATAGTATGCCTACCCCTTAAGGACACATTACGGAAATATTCCGTCATGATTCCCTTTTATTCCAGAAGTTGTGTCCTTAAGGGGTTAAAATGTTACTGTCATTGTGTTTACAGTATTCTGTCAAATTAACGCTCCACTGCGCAGTTTTTTGCTTAAGCCAATATCAAACTGATTAAACAATTTAACATCATGCTAGAGTATTTGATGGTTTGGGGGTCCACTGTTTGGGGACCTTTGCTATCAGTTTATGTGCTGAGGATGAGGTAATTTAATACCTTTATGACAGTAGAGACTTATTTCTACACTCTAGTAAAGGCCTCACATTTGTCACCCCCTATACACACATTTTCAAACACTATCTTTGTCTCTCACTCCTGCCACCCGGAACTAATAAGAAGTACGCGCAGAGAGTCGGATGACATTCGCGGACGGACCCGGGCAGCGCGGGAGAGCTGGGGGGACAGATTGTTGTCTCTGTAGTACCAGCCTGGGGTGGACATGACAAGCTGAGCTTGGGGCCATGTTGCTCCCGTCCGACGTGGCCCGGCTGGTGCTGGGTGAGTGTGGACTATGAGCAGGCAGGGGCCCCCGCCATGGGATGCCAGCACTATGTAGCACCCAATGGTACCTGGCTGGTACCAAAGATATGGATTACTGCGTCTTCCCATCATGCTCAGCCACCACAAAGAATGCCTGAGCATGATGGGAAGCCTGGTACCCACAATACCTAGCGTGCCATTGGTTATCCAGCACTGGCCTTGGGGCTAGCTGCAATACCAGCCCCTCCTATGTGTGGGCACCAGAGTGGGTGCTGAGACTGGTGGTGGCACAGTAGTAGCTTTGCTGGGAGTTAGTTGTCCAGAGTTCCTATCTCTTACCTGCTCCAGAATTCTATTTTGAGAACTTATTGTTGTGTTACAGCTGTTGCCCTTGTGTTTTATTTTGTGTGTGTGTTAGTATTATTGTGGTTACGTTTACACAAGTTTGTAAATGTAGATCATTTTCTAGATTTATGTGTCTCCCCTGATGGATCTGAAACTATCACAGGAATTTCACTTATTTTTGTATTACATGCACTGCCCTGTCTTGTGCAGTAGTAGTATGTATTGTAGATTGAACACTGTTCATTAATTAAATAAAATATATTTTTGTATAGATTGGTCCATCTGATTGGGTATGGACAACTTGACATGTAAACTTTTTGCAAGCATTGGTGTTTGTGGTTTGTTGTATTTTTTTTTTTTAATGTTATTTTTTTTACTCCCTTCTTTTGACCCACTCACTAACAGGGCAAATTTCAGGCACTCCAAAATGATCCTGTGCTGACTTGATAGTACCAGGCATTTTTAAGATTCAATCATTGTCATGTATTGTCCTGAAATACAATTCATTCTTGGACACCGTCATATTAATTTAGTGGATGCACTCTAAACCGTGTAAAGAGAGAAATCCTCCAAATTACATTTAAAAAATGTTTTAACCCCAGCTGTCGTTGCCAAGAATAAAGACAGACTCCGGTTGCAGGGCATAAAGCCACGCTGCCCCAACCTTCTGGAGTTCTTTACCGTGAACCCACCTCTTCTATCAGGCATTCAGTTTGCTCGTCGGACCTTCAGAAACTCCTAACTTTTATTTATGTTTTGTATATTTGTAAAGTGCTCTGAGTCTCACAGGGGAAAAAATCGCTATAAAAATTGCAAATTATTATATATTTTCTTTTTCTGGTAAACAGTCATTTGTCACATTTTATTTATTCTTCAAAATTTGGAGCTTAAAATCCTTGAACTTTATTGTGCTACCTAAAGCTTTTTGGACAGATATTTGCCATATTGCTTTTGTAAAATATACAAAACCTTCTACTTTGTAAACGGTTTGTTTCTATGTGTTTTCAGGCTACCTGCAGCAAGAGAAACTGACGGCTACTTGCAGAGCTTTCATTGCAGAGAGTCCTGACCTGAAGGAATATGCTGAATATTTCTCAGAAGACGGAATGATTCCAGGCTGTGTGCTGGTAAGATATTGGTAATATTTTGACAGGTATTATGGTGGTACTGTTTGGCCTGAAGATACACTTGGATATCATTTACTGAGGGCCAGAATGAAAATGTATGACAGTACTCTGGCTCTCGACTCCTGACATTTGTTTCTACTTGTCACATTTGAAGTTTTAGCTTTGTATTTATTAGTAGTATTTATGTGTGTGTGTATGTATGTATATGTGTGTGTGTGTGTGTGTGTATATATATATATATATATATATATATATATATATTTGTGCAGTAATGATGGTATAAGGAAATTGCTGTGACTGTTTTGTTATTTAGGTAAGCATGTCTTTAATATATGAAATACTCGTAGTAAAGGAATTTTTAATGTTTTGGTCCAGTCACCACCTATTTTCTGATGTATTTAGCTAATGATTGAAAGCCAACTCAAATTTGACACCTGGAGCTGAATGCTGTAAACATGTATTTTGTTTGTGTGTGCGCTATTATAGATAATAATGTACTTCATGTATAATTTTCTTATCATTTAGAAACATTCATATTTTATCCACCGAATGCAAATTAAAATGTTAGGTGTGTGTGTACACCTGTAAGATTTTTAATGTTTAATCTCATCCTTACATGTTTTTGTATTAAAACAACTGAGGTATGTTGTGCAACTAACCCCTTATACATACAATTATCCATGCCATCACCCAAACATATCCAATCTCACACCCTCCCACACTTGAAATAGAATTAATAATTTGTGTCCTCCCACTGCTGATGTCTTCTGTCAGTGGTGAGGAGTTTGGGAGGGTCTGCACATTGCAGCACTGTTCCAAATGTCTCAAAAACAGCTGATATGTGTCTTTTTTGTTATTTTCTCTGATCTGTAGTGTTTACATGGAATTTTGTTATAAACAACTATGTTGTGTCCAGATGCTATAATCGACGTGCCTTGTACTCACAATCAGCCTGCTGTGAAATGCAACTAAACCCTATTACTGTCTGGAGCTTTATAGTATTCCTTTTCTTAGCTCAGTTGAGATAACTATTAACTTTGTGAGATTATTCTATGGATTGTGTGAGTTTATTTGTCTTTGTCTGCTTTTTTAAAAAAGCTTTTTAATGATCCTAGATCGTTTTTTTGTTTTTAAATGTAGAACATTTAGTGTGTTTATCTGAAAGACTGTGTTTAATCCTCCATAACATATATATTTTTACAAGTGTTGTGTACCTGTAATATTTCACTGCACAATGTTAGAGTAGGTTTTGTGTTTGTAAATGTTATTTATTTAAAAAGTTCATCCGGAACTGGAACTTGTGTAGTATTGGCGTTCTAAGCACTCTAAATAACAACGTAAATTTGTGTCGGCTGATCTTCTTGCATTAACCTAATGATTCCAAAGCTTCACTTGATCATTATAGATCAAAATAAAACTTCATTTCCTATACTTTTTATGCAGCCCTCACACTAAATTAAAGGAAACTTGTGGCATGCCAGGGTTACAAATCAGTGAACTAGAGCAGGGGTTAGCAACCTTTTTCTGAAAAGACTTCCCCCTAACTTTGTATCCTTGTGTAAAATGGCCACATGTTAGAATATTGAATTAAGATGCTATGTATTAAACAACTGAAAGATCAAAATTAAGAAAAAGCCTTTCTTAATTTTGAACATTCTGTAGTTTAAAAGTTAACTCCTTAATAGATGCCCTCAGTGTGTTTTTTATATGTTAATCTAATGTACTTGTTTAATGTTTTCAGTCATCATTTGGAAAGAACCTGACAACTATCTTAAACGACTATATAGCATTGAAAACAAAAGGTTAGTGCTTTTTCTATATATATTTTTTTTATTTTTAATTTTGCTTCCCTTCCTTCCTGTGTGCTTTAGGCAACCTTTTCATGGTTTATATTGTAAACTAGTTTGGATGGATAATTTCCTCACATAGAAACAAAAAAGGGGCTGGAGTATAATGTAATTATCTGGAAAGATGAACTGTTCAGGTAGCATGCTTTGCACTTTCCAAGTAAAGTTCCCCCTCTTTCCCCCCACCACTCCAACCAAAATCTCCCATGAGTATGGTATGTATTTTTGTAACTAGTGGGCAGTGACAGGGCTTTCAGTTTAAGGTAATGCTCATTTCAGAAATGCTGATCTCATTATAATTGAAAAAGAAAAATGTAGAGTTGATGTGTATGAAACTGCAAAAATACACATAAAATGTAACCACTTTAATCCATTCTTATTTTTTATTTTTTTTAATCTTTTTGTTCGTGCAGAAAAGAAAGATGAGGTACCCCTGATGATGTCATCTCTGTGGAAGAAACTTGACCACACCCTTTCCCAGATTAGGTATGATACACATATTATAATACCAAGAGTACTTATTTTTTTTTGATGTGTGTAGAGTAGTACACAAATGAATAATAACATGTCAGCTAGGGTATACATATCAAATGGAAATACATGTAAAAATTATCATACTTTTAAAGGATATGAAAATTGCTTATGCTAGGTCAACATGCCGAAACAGTAATAAAACACACAGTATACCATAAGAGAGAACTGCGTGTGTGGCAGAACATGCAATGAATAAAGACTGAGATTGACTGATATGAGCTAAATTCGAGGAAAGCTGTTGCTAGTGCGCATGGGATTTTTTATGCTTAAATTTTTTTTAAGCAAGGCGTGTGATGCATCAGTTTAAAAAATATTAAAACGTAAAAAACAAAACATCTCAAACTATGACTGAGCACTACCAAAAGTGATTTTAAAGCTTCTCATGTGAGAAGAGCAAACATAGTAGTGCTGCAAACCTTGCCTAACTTAAGAGGGATCTTGTAAGTTCCCAGGAATTTGTTACTTTGTGAAATTTTTAAATTAAAATACAAATACACACCTCTTTACCATGCAGCAAGGTGCCTCCATCCTAGCGGCCAGTTATTTTTATGAGTTCTGTCTTTTCTGGTAGTCCGCATAGAGAAAGCATTCAGAGAAGATGAAATAAAACCATAGCAATTACATATAAAATGTTGTTGAGTTCTGAAAAAATGGTGCAAAGATGGAATGGAATGTGCCACCTTTCTCTGCTGATTTAATTAGTAATTGCCCCACTTCTAGTGCTTTAGAACACGATACATTGAATATCCCCAAATGTTTGTATATCAACTCATTTGCATTGACTGAACTGGTAAGTGATATTTCTAAATCCTTACTGTAAATTTAACAGAAACCAGAATATCACATGAAAAAAAGATTATAGATAATTCTTTTTTTTTTTTATTCAGCGGTGTCCTTTCCAGTAAAATTACAGTTCCCTTTTCAATAAGATTTTAGTGAGAAAAAGAGAGTACAATGCGCAGGTTAGTTAATCAGGCCCACTGGTAAAACCTGCATTTATTGGAAGAGCATGCCAAAATAATTTCGGAACCCCTATCCCTTTTATCAATGTAACAATGACATTTTCTCACTACTTTTTTTTTTTTTTTTTAATCCAACCACAACAATCTATGTACTTATGCTGTGCTTGGTAAAAGTTAATTTATTTTTATTTATTTTCTGCTACATTTGAGTATGCATGCTCCTACATATTCCAATTTGCAATAACATTTTTTTGTGCAGGGGCACTTGCTGTTTTCAAGATGTTATCTTTGCATTATCGATGTTGTATTTTATATTCATGTTATCTGCTGAGATAAATAAATCTGATGGGCTCCTCTATTTGTGGAAATTAGGTGGATGATGATAATCTATTGGCTGTGTATTTTCATTTATTTAATGCAAGACCCCTAAACAAACCAAATGTATTAAAATGGTCTTGGCAGCTTACACCAAGCTAAATTATATGTTTAATTTAGATTGTGTGGACCCCTCTCCTCCCCCCAGTGTAGGGAAAATAGTTTCTCAGTTTTTAGTTATCTAGTCTCTGGATCCCTGTCCTAAGGCTCTAACTAGCCAAACCTTTTATTTCACTGACTGGTAGTTTGCGAATATTGCACAGGGTACCTTCCTTTTTGAATTGTTTTCTTCCCTTTTATTTGCCTAAAGGACAATACCGTAGTTATTTGGAATGGACTGTAACTTTTATGTAAGATTGTGTCTTTTATGTTAATTTTATTTTCTGTTTCTTATAAGTTAATAGAATTGTACCTATTAGGGTGTTCGACGCTGTAACAGTAATTGTTATTCTCTACAGTTTGTGTTCTAATAATTGTATTCTGAGACCCATCACGTGGTGTGTGTGTGTGTGTGTATATGTGTGTGTATATATATATATATATATATGTATATATGTGTATATGTATGTGTATATATATATATATATGCCAGATCCATGCATCGGATCAAAAGAGCAGCAAACCGATATTTGAAGCTGCTGGTGCCTCTGGAGTCCCACGGACATCAAGGTGTAGAGTGCTCCACGGTCTTGCAACTGTGCATAAACCTTCTATTCGGCCACCACTAACCAATGCTCACAAGCAGAAATGGCTGCATTGGGCAGAAAAGTACATGAAGACTAATTTTCAAACAGTCCTGTTCACTGATGAGTGCTGTGCAACCCTGGATGGTCCAGATGGATGGAGTAGTGGATGGTTGGTGGACGGCCACCCTGTTCCAACAAGGCTGCGACATCAACAAGGCAGTGGTGGAGTCATGTTTTGGGCCGTAATCATGGGAAGAGAGCTGGTCGGCCCCTTTAGGGTCCCCGAAGGTGTAAAGATGACTTCTGCAATGTATGTGGAGTTTCTGTCTGACCACTTTCTTCCCTGGTACTGAAGGAAGAACTATGCTTTCCGTAATAAAATCATCTTCATGCATGACAATGCACCATCTCATGCTGCAAAGAATACCTCTGCATCAATGGCTGCTATGGGGATAAAAGGAGAGAAAGTCATGGTGTGCCCTCCATCCTTCCCTGACCTCAATCCTATTGAGAACCTTTAGAGCATCCTCAAGCAAAAGATCTATGAGGGTGGGAGGCAGTTGACATCCAAACAGCAGCTCTGGGAGGCTATTCTGACATCTTGCAGACAAATTCAAGCAGAAACTGTCCAAAAACTCACAAGTTCAATGGATTCAAGACTTGTGAAGCTGCTATCAAATAAGGGGTCCAATGTTAAAATGTAACGTGACCTGTTAAAATGTTGTTATAAGTTTGATTGAAATAGCTTTTGATTTCAGTAAATATGCTGCAAACACAACAAATGACAATTTTCAGTTCTTTATAACCTATAAAGTGTTTTGAAACTTTTTTTTATGTTTAAAATAAATACTGTTATTAGGAGGTTTGTTCAATAAAATGTGAATTGTACTCTTATCTAGTTGACATGATAATTATGCTGACTGTTATTTACATCAATTATTTAGATAAATGAGAAAAATATCATTTGCATAATAATTTGGAACAGGGTGTAGATATAGAGAGAGAAAGAGGTGTAGATATGGTGTTACTTTATGAGCAATCAGACTTGTTGGCATTGCATCAGTCTGTTATTACTGTATATTCACATTAAACACTCCCCCTCCCTATTCAGATAGAATTGGTCAGAGACTTTAAGGCGGAATTGTCCAAAGTTAAAAATAATGAACTTGAAGAATTTGTCATTTGTGAATAACACACAGTTTCCTTCTGTAACTTTTTCATTTTTACATGTTGTTTTTTATTATAATGCTAGAAAAAAAAATTTTTTAATTTTTTTAATCCAACATGATTGATTTCTTCCTGTGTTTTTTGATAGGAGCATGCAGAACTCTATAGCTTTTCAGACTCATCAAAGAAGTAAGTACTATTTTTATTTATTTAAAGAAATTTTCTATATTTGTGAGGTCTGCTAGTCGCTGCTCTCCTCTTCCACTAGTTCAGCCAGAGGTTTTGTGCTAAGGCCAGTGGTGCACTGCAGGGCTTAAACGACCACTCTAGGCACCCAGACCACTTCAGCTTAATGAAATGGTCTGGGTGCCAGGTCCAGCTAGGGTTAACCCATTTTTTTTTATAAACATAGCAGTTTCAGAGAAACTGCTATGTTTATAAATGGGTTAATCCAGCCCTCAAATCCTCTAGTGGCTGTCTCATTGACAGCCACTAGAGGCACTTGCGTGATTTTCACAGTGAGAACCCGCAAGCGTCCATAGGAAAGCATTGTAAATGCTTTCCTATGAGACCGGCTGAATTCGCGCGCAGCCAGCCGAAAGGGAGGAGAGGAGGAGGATCGGAGGCGGAGAGCTCCCCTCTCCCCAGAGCCCGGCGGGAGGGGGACTCTGAGTATGTTTTCCTGCCGCTATAGTGGTCCTTTAAATCAGATGGCTAACAGACGTTCCTTCTCAGCTCTCTCTCTGAAGTGGTAGAAGCGTGGAGTGGCGTCTGGCATACCGCCGTTAAGAAGTCAAATAATTGTTAAATGTTTTTACTACTTACAATGACCAAACACCAGGGCTCTTGTGGTAGTGGTTTTAGTGCTTGGAGTTTACCTTTAATACCATACTTTTCCGTGCTGCAAGTTATCCCCGTTATACAATGAAATGCAATTCGTTAATATGCACAGCTCGTTGTGCTTCAGTGTCTTAAGCTAATGCTTCTTGGAACAGTTTCACATGCTGTCATAATCTACCCACAAATTTTCACAACATATCAAGCCTAACATTCAAGCTCGCTCATACTTGTCCATCTCTTAGTGGAGCATGGGAAGGATTTAATAAGAGAAAACTAATCTATTTTGTTTATCCTGTAGCTCGCACAAGGACTGGGATAGAAAATATTAGACGTCAGAGAATGTTGCCTACATCTTCCCCTTTACAACATCCTACAGTACAACAGACCTCTACACCAATAATGGCCACACAGATTGTCCTTCGACCTTGTAACGATCAAAGTGCTCAAGCTAGGCCTTTGTTTGGTGGACAGTCGACAATTCAAGGTGGTATTTCTTCTCCAGCTATCATGAGCAGTAAGTAAGAATACAGCCTTTGATTATAATATGTGTTGTTATTCCTTTGAGGGTTCTATGGACTTCTGATGCTGATCCATTGATAGTGTACTTAAACCGGCTCTTGTCTCTAGTGGATTTAATTATAAAACATATTTAATAAGTTAAAACAGAAATATTGAGGATAACTTAGTTAGTGGTCCTACTTGGATTCCAAACAAGTTTGTGGCATTACAGTGGGGAAATGATACCATATGAATATCAGACCGATCTCACCTATAAGGGAAGTCGAGTACTAAAATGCTAGGCCAGGTCGAGATGAAACAACCCCATATGACTTACTGTTTCTTTCATTTCTTTGTGTTCTTGTACAGTTCTATTTTGGAATCTATGTTATTCCGTATACCCTCCATATATTATAGAATTATACTTGTGAATGTAGCCACATAATTAGATTTGTTGCCCATATTTGTATATTCTATTACAGTAATTGTTACTCCCTGCTACAGTTTGTGTTTTTTAATAATTCTAAGCAGCCGTAATATCACTGATTTAGGTCATTCTTATGGTTCAAAGTACTCTGCAAGATCTGGCTGCTAAACACTACATTACACTATTAAGCATGAAGTTTCTCCATTTACAGAAAATTCTTTATTTAATTTTACTTCCAAAACCTTTAAAAAAAAATTCATTTTTTTTTTTTGCATGTTTCAACGAAGGCACTCTCTGAAATGTTCTGTTGTAGATAATATGTATAATCATCTGAACTGCCGTAGTTTCTCACGGGTTGTTAAAGGACCATTATAGTGCCAGGAAAACATACTCGTTTTCCTGGCACTATAGTGCTCTGAGGGTGCCCCCACCCTCAGGGTCCTCCTCCCGCCCGGCTCTGGAAGGGGGAAAGGGGTAAAAACTTACCTTTTTCCAGCGCTGGGCGGGGAGCTCTCTGCCTCCTCCTCTCCTCCTCCGATCTGCCCCGTCGGCTGAATGCGCACGCGCGGCAAGAGCTGCGTGCGCATTCAGCCGGTCGCATAGGAAAGCATTCATAATGCTTTCCTATGGACGCTTGCGTGCTCTCACTGTGATTTTCACAGCTAGAAGCACGCAAGCGCCTCTAGCGGCTGTCAATGAGACAGCCACTAGAGGATTTGGAGGAAGGCTTAACCCATTTATAAACATAGCAGTTTCTCTGAAACTGCTATGTTTATAAAAAAAAAATGGGTTAACCCTAGAAGGACCTGGCACCCAGACCACTTCATTAAGCTGAAGTGGTCTGGGTGCCTAGAGTGGTCCTTTAAAACTTATTTTTGTCTTCTGAGTTGAAGCAGTAATACCCAGCAGTGTGTAGTTGCCCCTCATCTCATGCTGGACCCTTGGTTTATGAACATAAGGGTTAAATCCCTCCCCTGTACCCCAATATAGGATAACTACTTAGGGTAACTATAGCTTTGTTGTAACAGACCCTAATTTGTACATTGGGTGCCAGGTTCTACATAAATTTCCTCACTGTTTAGGAGAGATGCTAAGTCCCCTGGCTTTATTGGCCACAAGAGAGAAGTGTTCAAGAAGTTGATACATATTCGATGATGACCCCTGTCCACCCCCAAAAGTGCCTTCAATGCGGCATCAGAACTGGACCATGAAGCAATAGAAGAATGTTGCATGGTCTGATGAATCGCGTTTCTTTTAGATTGGATGAATAGGTGTGTGTGTGTGTGTGTGTGTGTGTGTGTGTGCATAGTTTACCTTGGGAAGAGATGGCAGCAGGTTGCACTTTGGGAAGAAGGCAGGCTGGCGAAGGAAACCTTGGGTCCTGGTATTCGTATGGATGTTACTTTGACATGTACCACCTACCTAGAGATTGTTGCAGACAGCGTACACCTCTTCATGGCATTGGAGTTCCCTCTTTTAGCAGGATAATGAACTCTGCCACACTGCAAAAATTATTCAGGAATGGTTTGAGGAACATGACAAAGCGTTAAAGGGGTTGCCTTTGCCTCCAAATTCCCAGATCTTTATCAGATTAAGTATCTGGGGTGTGCACAACAGATCTGATCTATGGAGGCCTCATCTCGCAACTTGCAGTACCTAAAGGGTTTGCTGCTAATGTCTTGATGCAAGATACCACAGGACATGTTCAGAGATCTTTTGGAGTCCATGCCTTGACATTTCAGAGCTGTTTTGCCAGCACGAGGAGAACTTATACAATAATAGGCAGGTGGTTTTAATTTTGTGGCTGATCAGTGTGCATATGTATTGTATTTGTGTTGAGAGTGCCTAAGCTAGTGGAAACTACTTCGCCGAAAAAGGAAAAGCAGTGGCAAAAAACAAAGCTTTCGGATTGTTCTACCTGATGGTTATCAGAAGCAGCTGTGCACATGTGTAACACATATGAGTGACATTAGAAAAAACAGCTTTTGTAAATTGGCTATAGGAAAG